ACAACGAAATCTTCTCGTGCTTTCGTTCAGCGGAGAATGTACACTTTGGCTAGCAGCTCGACTTGGTTGCTGAGACTTGAAAGTAACTCCAAGCGACGGTGTTGCAAGCTTGTATTTTTACCGTACTGTTGTTACCGACCTCGATGGCAGTACTCGGCCTACTGCCCTCGTCTGCCTCTTAAAAAAGATATGCTTAATCTCATTGGCTCTTTGCACAAAAAAAACATAGATACATGATTTAAAAATACGTACGCTGCATTCCATTGATATTCCAACTTGTATTAAAAACGAAATAGAGTCGGGAAGAATTTGAAAATTTCACCAGTGACCTCCATAAATCATGTGCACTGTCAAATGAAGCAACGTCATGCAGTGATATTGAGCTTTATACATATAAAAATTTCGACTGTTATATATAAAAGTGAGAGTATTGTTCAGTATTCGAATTTAATGATATATTAAAAATGACAATTAATTTTCTGATAGAGAATTAATCTGTCTTCTTCTTCCTGGTGCGTCGAGACTCAGTCCTTGACGAGGACATTACATTCGCGCTGAGCTCCCACACACTTCCATAGTTACTTATTCTGGTCATAAAAGAGTTTGCCATATTGTTGTTAGAAATAGAAGATGTTGTTCAACATCTTTTTCCAAAAAATCATTTCAATCACTGATCGGAAATTGATATTAAAGGTAAATTTTTCCAGTAATCCAAGCTGATAATGGTCATGGGACAGATTGCATGCTCTTAATTGCATTAAATTCCAAATTGACCTGGACGAGCTAGCTGAACAAAATTTTGTGCTGCTTGTCACGCAATTTGATGCCAAAGAAAATTTTTAATTTGACCCAATTTACTTCCTGACAGAGTTCTTAGAATTTTACTTCATTGCACTCCACTCATACACGGGCGCTGCTTGAGTTCAATCGGCAAAACAGATGGAGTTCCAGCATTTACATTTTCGAAGGAGTTTCTTTAAAATTGGTTTATTAACAATTAATATTGATACGAACTTGACCAATTTAAGAGCAGAGGATTTTTATGCCTCATCCACATTCATGGGAAGAAATTTTTCGTTTGATTCTCAATCTATTTCGTGCAAGTGAACCTATCGTAGACTGTCGGCTAAATACTTCAACGGGCGGAATTATGAACGTTTTAAATTATGCGCTTTTGTATCAGGTCATGATCGAACTTCTGGCAGAATTTCTCTCTTTTTGAGCGGCGATAAATTGCAATTTTTGTGGCGCGGCATAAAAAACATCGATTATTTACTCGGAAAAATACATTTCCCCTTATAGCTCTCAAATGTATAGTAATATAAGATATTCAAGTACTCTTATATCAGATATTCAGGTACTGTTACATCAAATATTCAAGCACTCTTATATCAAATATTCGAGTACTGTAATATCAAATATCCAAGAACTCTGATATCAGATATTCAAGTGCTGTTATATGATATTCAAATAATTACTTACTATATGTGCAGTTGCGTCATTACCTCATGCCAACACCACGAGTTTGCCCTGATTGGTTATGAAATCATTGTAATATTTAATGAATTTTTGATCACTTACTCATTAGAGAGTGATTAAAGTGATCCTCCAAAATCTTATCAATGATCGTTCAACATCTTCTTTTTCTAAGAATTCAATCATTGCTAGGAAATTAATATTCAAAGAAAATTTTCCAGTAAACCAATGATTTAATCAAAGAAATTTAATTTTCGTCATTCAATTATATCTATTTTTACGCATTTATGAAACAATTTTCCTTACTTTGATAGAGATCAGGCTTGGAGAGGGAGGTGCTTGTGACACCCAATTCAACACAATTTTATACAATAAAAGAAACAACTTCGTAATTTTAGAACAAGCGGAAAATGACGTGGTCTATATTTGATTTGAGAGATTAGGTTTACTTAGGAAATCCTCGACTTTTAATTATCATTTCTGCCGATCCTTTGTGAGGTGTTACAGATCTCTCATAGTAATATTAAATTCAATTTCTGAAATTTTTACAATACCGAGATAAATTGATCAGAGATGAACAGTTTGCCGCCTTAGATGTCACCAAGCGCGTCCGGACATATTGAATTAATTAAGACCAAAGCTTTATTTCCTATTAATTTGCTCTGAAAAACACTAAGGCGAAAGCAAAAAGCAAATTTACAGTCACCAGAAAAATAACTTGTAAAAGGTGTGCGGAAATATTGCTGCCAGCGATGCTTGCTTTTTGCCAGTCATCTGTGTGAGAGGACGGAGGTTTTTCTTTGTCTGTTTCATTCAAAAGTATTATAACTATTTGAGCCTAGATATGACATGAGTAATCCATCAGAGTGAAAAAAATTTAAAACAGAGTCAATGTTTGAAACTCTGCCGATGAGTTCTGCAAGTTTGAATGGACAGACGTTCTGCGGCCAATCAATTGCCGCGCCAAAAAGTTCAAAATTCACTAGTAAATTTAATGAATAAAGACCACAGCATATTAAAGTGAATAAATAAAATTGATAAATAATTAAAAGTGAATAAATAGAAGAGAATAAATTTCGAATGTGATCATCATAAAGAATAACATCTGGTGCTGTAAAATTTAAGCGACTTTCTCGCGACGTCACCACAGAGTCACTTCTACTACGGACGGCCAGGAATGCGTGGCAGCTGCGCCGAGCATTCGTTGCTAGAGCAGCCAAGCTTCAGAGCACTCGTGTCGGGAGTCGGCAAGCCTTGCAGTACACGTGCCCAGAACAGCCAAGCTACAGAGCACTCGTGTCGGGAGTCGGCAAGCCTCGCAGTACACGTGCCCAGAGAAGCATTGTTCTAGTTCATAAGTGCCCAGAGCAGCCAAGCTTTATAGCCATTTACTCAGAGCAAGATATTTTTTGTGTTATAATATGAAGCCTGGCCAGATTCTACTTGGTGAGCTCCCATTGTAGGATGTGCGATGACCAAAGCTTCGTATTGGTCAAACATTGACTGGTGGCCGTGGGTCGACATTTTCTGATAATTTATGATCGTTATTCTAACCATAACGTCCATAAATTTCGCGATTACGAGTCCTGCAATGAAAAAAACTTGTCCAAAAAATCCATTGCGCTTTATTAGAGAGTTAGTTTTTTCGGGTAGTGAGTGATAGAGTTTGTTTTAAAGCATTCATGCCCACAACCCGGAGCTGGGATATTTATATCCGCAACAAGGAGCCGGAAAATTTATGTCCGCAACAAGGAGCCGGAACATTTATATCCGCAACAAGGAGCCGGAACATTTATGTCCGCAGCAAGGAGCCGGAACATTTATATCCGCAACAAGGAGCCGGAACATTTATGTCCGCAGCAAGGAGCCGGAACATTTATGTCCGCAGCAAGGAGCCGGAACATTTATATCCGCAACAAGGATCAGGAACATTTATATCCGCAACAATGAGCCGGAACATATATGTCTACCACAAGGTTGAGAGAAAGACTTAACATTGTTTCATGTTTATTTGCTTTGCTTAGGTGTGAACAAAATCATCACGAAATTCAGAGGTGGGCAGTAGCGCGCTACATGTAGCGGCCGCTACATTTTCAGTAGCGGTAGCGGTAGCGACGCTACATTTAAGCAATTGTAGCAGTAGTGGTAGCGCCCGCTACATACTTAAGTAGCGATACGAGGTTTTGCCGCTACAGCGCTACCGCTACATTTATAGATAAAGCCTTTAGATTTTACTTAATAGTAATAAATATTTAAAAACCAGCATGATACATACATAATATAAATTACAGAATGAAACTGTACGAAAGATTTCGGTGTAATGTTGTCAACCCCAGCCTGTTACTTAATGGAGTAATAGATGGATGATGATGATGATGTTCATCATGGAGCATCAACTTGATGTTCATCATGGAGTAATATAATTTTAAATATAAGACATTAAGAAAATAATTTTTAGTGAAATTTTTTCGTAAATTTACGCAGTGTCACTAACCGTATAAAACAGTTTACAAAATTTTGTGCTAAAGTATAGCTCCATGAAACTATCACCACTGCAGTTACAACCAATAACAAAATTCTCATATCATTTGCCTATTTTACACGTCAGCAAAAATCATAAAAACGATATGAGTTAAAAGTCATAAGTTCTAAGCATCAACCACATACAATTCCCGCACCCGACCAGACGGCACTCACTGCTCTCTCTCTCTCTGATCTTCTTTTGCCCTACAAAACGCACTATTAACTTTGAATTAAGTCGAGCGCTTAAATAACGACAGTTGGGGGTCGCTACGGCAATCGACTGCTCGCTGGTTGTCCAATTTTACATATTATTTTTACTTTGACACGTGATTTGTTAAGAAACTTTCTCGCGTCTGGATAGATAGTGATAAGTTTGCATTTTGATATGATTTTCGTAGGCACATCTAAAAATCGACGTGATCAAATTGATTTAGTCTATAATTGAAAATTTATTGCAGTTTTTTTAGAAATACGTTCAATATTTGAAGCATTCAAAAACGCGAACTCTAATTATATCCGCGCTGAACGGATCTATTGCTCAAAAACGTGCTCTTGCCTACTTAGTATTTCTAAACTGATCCGTTGATTAGAAGCGTAATCTTAATTGCCTCCTAATTCTTTGATTCAGAACGGGTTTGTTGAAACGTTCTCTTGCCGCTTCATTTACGTTTCATTACACACTGAGACAGAGAACTCTCGGTGCCCGCGAGAGCAGTTAAAAGAACTTCTATCATGCGGTGTGATGGTATCTTCATTAACTTTCCTACCACCGTATTTACTCTATTGTTTTATTACGTGAAAATTACATATTTCGGATGTGCTCAACCCTGCAGATAGGTAAACATTCCCAAATCGCCAGCTTGTGTCAAGCTGACAACTATTTATACCTAGAACATATAGTTGACATCACTTGGCAGATAAAAAATGCAGCAGACCATCGTGCTTGCCAATTCACTATCATCGTCACATGCTTATTTCTCTTCCTCCTACTCTCTTCCCAGGTTGAGACTGCAAGCTTGCCGAGCGCTGCCATTCTGGTGCTGTTTTAAATAAGTGGCCCCGACCCAGAATGGGTTCCACGGGGGAGAGTTTCGCACCGAGCTTCACACAGAAGCCCAAACTGCGACAAGAAGACGATGGCAATAAGCTTATCTTCGACTGCAAGCTCCTCGCGAACCCTCAGCCCGAAATCAACTGGTACCGAGGGGAGACTCACATCAAGGAGAGTAAGAGGGTAGCAATAAACATCAAGTCAGGGGGCAAGGACCTTTACGATGTACAGCTTATCTTAGACGATGTTGAAGAAGAGGACGCTGGTCTCTACAAAGTCAAGGCCAAGAATAAGTACGGTGAAGTTTCAGCCTCAATCAACCTCAACTTCAGCCGTAAGTAGTATACGCTTTTAGAAGCTTTAGACACTTTAAGTTGCAAGTCTATACCATTTTTGTAGCAAGGCTGATACGCAAAGTGTACAAATGCTGCAGATTAGGCTTCATTCGAAGATGAATTAACATTATTTCCCAAAAAAACAAATGTAGCGTAAACTTTTAGACACTCTCAAAATCAGTAAAAGTCAAAATGAACACTTGAATGACTTTGAATAGTCTCGTGATTTTTAAATGGAATTTTTAGTTCAGTTAGTTGTAATTGAGCAAATGAAAAGTGTTCAATTTCAATTTAATTGGAGTCGTATAATCGATTACTAATTTTAAGCCCATTTATTTAACTTGCAACCATGTCATTCAACCTCAGAGCTTGACAGTAGTTTCCACATTTAAATATAAAATTATTGTTTTGTTTGAAGGATTGGATAACTTGAAAAGTAATTGTAATCGGTTATTTTGATGTATTATTCACATGTCTCCCTTTTTGCGACAGAAGGATATTGTTACGGGTCAAGTATTGATCAACGTCGAGGCACTAATTATTCAACAGACATTTATGGACTTTTCAAAAGTCTGCTAATTTCTTGATTTATCCCTAAGCAGGCCACATCTAGGATTGATGTCCTCTGAAGAATGATGTCTATGTTCACGTCTGGTAACATCATAATCCTTATAACTACTTTTACCCTCCACTTTTAAGAGTTATATATAGGGTCGTGCATGAAAGAACTGCAGGATGCGGAGTAAATTCTTCGTTTTGATGTTTTACAGGCGCGGCCTTGTTGATTTTATTGCAAATTTAAATCATTAAAAATATCATGACCCGATGAATTTGTTTACTACAGCAGATGAATTATTTACTATTATTATTTACTTTTTTTACGATAACTTATTTACTGTTTTACTTCCAACTTGATTGCTGTAAATGTCACCAAATTTTTATTATCATTGAAGCTCTGCAGTGGATGGACATTCTGGATAAAAGACGAGTGAAATATATAGTAAATTTCATGTTTAAATTGGCTGATCAGTGCTCTCATGTTTAAATCTAAACCCAAATTATTGAAACTTGTTCCCGGTTTAAAAATTGATGTAAAAGTTCATTGGACGCGTGAAAATTATGGACGAATCATAAAATTAATTAAAATTTGCTTACATTTAACTAAGATAAGAAGACTTCAACTGCTTCATGATATTATACTTCATATTATTATCACACGGTTACAAATGGGCAGATATATTCAGTGATGTAGACCTAATATTACTAATACCAAATTTTCAGTCAAGGTTCTTCAAGTTTTAATAGTATAATATATTTCCCGTAGCAAAGCTGTTCCAGAATTATATATGTTTTTACAAGGCTTTCACACCAGATTTTATATAATTATCTCTTCTATATCATTATCTCCTCTATATCATTATCTCTTCTATATCATTATCTCCTCTATATCATTATCTCCTCTATATCATTATCTCATCCATATCATTATCTCTTCTATATCATTATCTCCTCTATATCATTATCTCTTCTATATTATTATTTCCTCTATATCATTATCTCTTCTATATCATTATCTCTTCTATATCATTATCTCGTCCATATCATTATCTCTTCTATATCATTATCACCTCTATATCATTATCTCCTCTATATTATTATCTCCTCTATATCATTATCTCTTCTATATTATTATCTCCTCTATATTATTATCTCTTCTACATCATTATCTCCTCTATATACAATTATCTCCTGATAGTCCAGGGAGCTGGTGCCAAGTGACATGTGCCAGAACAATTGCCAGCTTACCGTGGTTGCGATACGTCGATTCCTTGTCTCTAAATTCCTCTTCCATTGATTGCTCTAAATTTGTCATGTTCTTATGCCTCTTAAATTACCGGGCGTGCTCTTCCGATAAATATCAATGTCCTTGTGACGCCGTTTTTTGTCCCACCAATGTTTTTCCTATAGTGCGTCCATACGTTTAGTGTGAAAACCTCGCAAAGTACATGCGATGCAATTGAGGAGTAAAATTTGCATGGAAGTGTGTAATGAATTTCAAACGAGGATTTTGGCTGACTATTTAGGTGACTATTTTTTTAGGTGGCTATTTTTAGTATATGTCGCTTTGTTTTCTTAGTAGGACACTTTATGTCAACTCGTTAGAATTCTAATGCATTAACTCACGTGAAGATTTTTGAAAACGATCACGAATTAAAATTGATTTACCAACCTTAGTGAGTTATAATATATTTCAAGATATCAGTCATTGAGTTATCTCTATTTTTGTTCAAACCGAAATGCGCCACTCGTTATTTTACTCCTCAACTGGATCAGTAAACACCTGAGAACAGGATCCTTCATAGTCTACAATGCGAGAGTGAACTTGGGTCATAAATACCTGCACGCACTAGATACATGATCCATCTAATACGTCCTCCCCTCGGTCTCTCTTACAGCACTTGACGATCCTCCTGAGAAGTAAGTCCAGCACCAGGCAGCACCGTGCAGAGTTCACTTTTCAACAAGTTTAATGTTGTCGTACACTCTCGTTGTACCTGACACACCAACATATGATACTTATTTTTCGTACTTTCTTATAACCGGAAATCGGCTCCAAATGCCGGTTTGTAAATTTTGGTTTGCTGCCTAACACTTGAAGCCTGCTTTCATGTAACGAATGACCTAACACATAAATAGTTGACTAAATAACTAACTGCCTTACAGTGTCGAGCATGATGATTTTTATGGTTGATGCTGTAACAACATCATACTCATCACTAAAGTAAAAGAGAGGCCAACTGCAATCTACTGAGATAAGTGAACAAATAACTAAAACTAAAACCGACATTGTTCGTCTCTAAAAGATTCATAATCCATACAGATGGCAGAACCGGACTCATGAAATGGAATTTGCATAATGTATGATCGCATCGTATTGTCTTGACAAGAAGTAAAACCGTCTGTTTAAATATGTGAATATATTAATATTTTTCGAAGCTAGGAAACAATAGTTAAATTATCTTAAATGCAATAATCTGCATTTGCGCTCGTTATTGATTTGTAATATTTTTTTCTTCACTCAATAAAAATGATTCAACCCAATAACGTATAGGCTACAAGAATACACCATCTTTTGCGTTACACTTACGAACCAACGCGCATCTGTTAATCAACGCATATTTTCCTAGCTTCTATAAACCTTTCTTATGTAAATCTTCTTCTGATAAAACTTCTTTTTGTAAATATTCTATAAACGAAAATCTGCTTCATCTGTTGATTGGTTTTCAGGCTTAACTGCTTTCAGTTGCATGGACTAAAGTATGTATGTTAAATTCCACCATCTAATTTGCACATGCCACGCCCTCGAAAAAACTACGTCTAACAAATCAATGCGACAATCACCTTCGTTGAAAGCGATCATTTCCGAAGCTTAGAGTTATAAATTAGTGATCATCAGTCCTAGCTTAGCTTTACACCTGCTTAGAATGAGAAAATTATGAACATTCATTTCTGATTTGTTTAAAACAATAATCCAGTATGAATAATTCTTTTCCTAAGCATTATCTTTCTTCATTTTTAGTAGGATACGACATTTATCACGGTAATACACTTTGATTTTGATGCGAATAAACATCGCATCGTATTATTTTAACCTTGAAGAATGGCCTACACAAAGTGTCCACATGAACTCTTTCCCTTCACCTAAAACGTTCAAAACTTAAATCTTTGACCTAAATTGATAAAGAAATAAATTTGTAGTTAGTAAACTAACTTTAATTTCTAACCGTATCCTCGAAAATAAACTCCGTTCATTCCGTATAATTATTGCTAAATTTCAGTTATTTTTCAGGGGAATCTGCAAAATTTTATTTATATTATTACATTTGGCTTTCATTTTCGGGCCTTCGATTTAATTAATTTCTTTACAGTTCATTTTTTTGTGCATCAGCATGATTTACTCATTCATCCGCGTACATGTTGTTTCAGTTCTTCTACGGTCATCTCCTTAGTAATTCATTTTCAACTGTTTTCTCTTTATTGATTAGTTCTTCTTGTTTGTTTCTATCCTCAGCTACCGAGCCAACTCCGGACACAAGGTGAGAAACTTTTTGCTTCTATACTAAGAGTTTCTTGACCCAAGAATTGGCAATTTTGCCTGCATATTGAGCTAACATATATTTTAATTAATTAGGATAAACACGTATATATTTATTATTTCGTATATACACATATCTTTATATTTACATTGCTGAAGGAATTGCTTTTGTTAAAATTTGAGATAAGAGCAATATCTTCATAAATAGATTTCCTTGAAATTAGTATTTTGCCCCTAGCAAATGCATGCTATTACTACGAAAGCTTCATGAAGAAACACACGATAAATTGGGATCCTCGAATGAAAAAGCAATGAGATTACAATGTAATTAATTTCAAAGCTTTCATCGACTGCCATGAAAAGTTAAAAAGACTTTTATGCTGATATTGTGTGTGTTCACTTTGAGGAAATCATCATTCAATGTATGGACTTTTCGAATCTGGACTTAACCCAAAGAATTACATTGCCGATATAAGTTTTGCCGTGACCACCACTTCTTCGTCACCATTTGCCATGACTACAAAATGAAAAAACGACGTTGTCACCATTTGCCGAGACTGCACGATGAAATAACGACGTTGTCATTATTCGTCCGTATGCTATTCATTTTTAAATCAGACTGCCTCATGTTTTTTAGGAAAATTTGTCAACTAAAATTTGTGCTGAGAAAAAAGTCCTAGAATGGCTGATGTACGCCATCACCCGAACATCTAAAATTACCTTACCTTACAAAAAGGTATTTCAAACGATGGGTAGAATTTTTCTCTTTTTGAGGGTTTCAAAACTCACATCATGTGCTCACGAAGTGCCGAAAATATGTAGGGTATCCTGCACAATTTTTAGGTGACATTTAAAGGAAGTTGAGCCACCAAAGTGTGTAGCCAAGACTGCGTACCTGCTTTACTTAGCTGGCGATGACTGATGAAACTATCAGGACAAGACGGGCTGCTGAAGCGGTCATACTGGCACACGCTCCGGGCTAAAATTATCTAGCTTTGTCAATGCCATGAACTCTTCGCCAGCAAAGACACCTGCTAATTGCATCCCAAGAAGTCATTTGTCGCGTCGTCACGGTGTTACTTCCAGCTCAAATTAATATACCGTTAAACCGATCTTTATACGCGCGGAAAATGTTTTTTCTACCCTGTGAATAACACATGAGGCCTGAAGTTTACTCATAATTGATTCGACACAACTTCAAGTGCGCCATTATGAGAGAAGGCAATGAGTCAGGATTCTCATTTAGATCCAAGTCAATCGTACAGATCAGTGTACATTTCTAGAGACAATGTGGCACCGTAAAAGGCACCATATAACAATATGAGTTGAACGTATTCTGCTATTGATGTAAACATTAGCGGCATACGCTGGTTATTGACATGTTCATCGCGAATCACTGGGGAAAACTCATCTAATTGGTATGACCTATAATGTCGGCTGGTATTAATTGAATTCGCTTGCATTAATTTGCATAATTTGTTGATTTGCAATTCCTAGATATACTCTTAATAAGCTATTTTACGATACGTAATTCGTAAACGTGGTTAGTTGCATACAATCTATTTTGCAGCAAAATTCTACCCAAATGGAAAAAATATTCGAAGGAAATGAAAAATGTATGCATGCTGCTACAAAGCGAGCTTTTCAAAATTCCACATGCGTAAACATTTCTGCAAAGCTGGTTCCTTTGCGAGCACATTCATTTGCTTCGATTTTCAATATATTTAAGTAAATTACAAATACTTCCCTATCATGGAACCCATTGCAAAGTCTTTTACCTTTAATCTCATTTCCAACTGCCCCTCCCAATCCTGAAGCATACTAATAAGCCTTAACAGTTCCAGGAACATGCAATAGTTACTCAGAATTTACGATTCGAAATCTTCTGGTCAAAATCTGACGAATAAATAGAAAAATTGAGAAATCATCTAATTTAAGGAGTCAATTACTGAGTTCAGGTGTAAGTAACTCGACGGTAAATTCAAGAAAAATAAAAAAGCCTCGTGTCGTCTTTGGTGTGAATGCACTGTAATATTTGTTGTTATTGATTAATACAACCCATTAGTTCATCCATTGTTGTTCGAAAGGTTTGCTCATTTTCAATGCTGTAATAAAGCTACCTCGTGAAAATTCTGAAAATGTTACAGGAACGTATCCCGTTGAAGAAATTAAAAAAATATTATTTATAGATATCTGACGGAAATAGAAGGATAACAATTAGATGAAATGGGAAAGAACTTTAAATATTTTCAAAGATTCATAGAGATATGATATGTAATTGGCATATGTAAATAAGATCTGTAATTGGCATCTCTAGTACTGTGACAATCGTATAATTGTTTATTTAATATTGGCGGCATTTAAATTTTTTGCCAATATTCCTGCAACAAATAATTGACAGAGGCTATCATATCATTAAAAAATAAATTTGAAGCCTATTCAGTATTTTAAAGGCACGCATATTCAGTAAATAATTCTAAACACATTATAGACATGAGCTGAACTGGTGCATCAGAAATTAATTCAGCACAGGCGTTACACTTGGCGAAGATCTGTATAATGTATATTCAGTTTTTTCCCTTGTCTGACCCTTCATTAGCCATGACAAGACATGGCATTTGTTCAGCAGCGCCTGTGTAGACTTCATTTGTTAATGCCTTAAGCCATGACAAGACAGCCAAGTCTGTCGTATTGTACAAGCGTTGGTCATCAGTTGGGCAAGACAGATAGGAAGCATCATTTTTCTGGCGTTTGTGTGCGTTGACGAAAATACCACGAGCGCTGCTATCGAGTTTCACACCGTCACCGAAGGCTGCCTTGCCAATATTCTCTGCCAACACTCCCACTCACATTGCCAGCTTCCTATCGTTCCCTTCTATTTTATTTAAGTTATACAAAAACTTGCAGGCAAAATTACCCATAACATTCCAATGAAAGGATGCATATGTTCAATGGGGCAGCTGTGTCGACAACCACTTCTGCTGTACGAGTGGTTATCGCAATTAAACCTTACAAGCTCCACGACAAATAATTTCCGACCGTAGTTTCATTTCTGGTGCACTATTTGTATAATTAATGTATTTTAGCTCACAAGCAAATTCATTTTTCGAATTGTCCTAATCGATTTCTTAGGAAGGCTTGTGCGCATTGAAGTCAAGAAAGATTTGTACAATTTCTGACATTACATCCACAATCACACAACCGACTATTGAGTACCAACCGCTTCCAAATTTTGCCTCTGGTGATATTTATTTTACCCAAAATGGTAGTAAAAAGTTAAATATTAGTGACGAAGCTGGTTCATTTATCTCTATCAAACTTAAAACTCAGTTGCAGCAATTGGAACGAAGACGGAGCTGTGAATATTAAACCAAAACACATAAATTTATTTATTGAATTTTTGTCTGGTTTCCCATTATTCATTAAGCCAGTTTTTAAATTGAAACCAAAATTTTTAGGACCAATTCTTTGGAGGAAGCATATAGAAATCGTAATCCACAACAAACATTTGTTTTCACTAACGAAACATCGGTCGAGGTAGAAGCTGATGAAAGCTTTAAAATGAAAAGCTAAACGGGCTGATGAAAGCTTTAATTTTGGTCCCACCAGGCAAATCGATGGCGTGGCTCCATCCTTCCACCAGAAACCGATCATCAAGCAGGAGGGCGGCGGATCGATCATCGTCTTCGAGGCAAAAATCAAGGCGGCACCGAAGCCAGAGATCGTTTGGTTCCGCGATGGCAATCCGGTCAAGCAGACCAGGCGGAGTCAGGTCAGGCTCGGGCCGATGTTACTCAGCGTGTATTGAAACATTATTATTATTAATTATTATTAATAATTCTAAAATATTATTTACTGAGATGGAAGTTAGGCGCTGCGGACGTCCTTCATCCTTCAGACAAGCCAATAGAGCAAGACAAGTTACCGTAGACCGACAGCTATTGAATAGAGGCAGCCTTGTGAATTCATTTAGCATTGAGCAGATAGGTAATTTAAATTTACCAATACAGCACACGAAAGTTTAGGCAAAATCGACGAACTTGCGTTAATTCAGGTAGCCGTAGCTTCGGGGGCGCGTATTGGGGGCATGTGGGTGCCAACAGCGAACAGGAAAGTTCTGTCGCCGTTTTGGGCTCCGGTACCGCCGTCCCTCCCTGACCCAACCTAAGTCCATGCGCCTACAATCAATCTAGTTATGCACTATACGCCAACTTTCAGCCCCCTACTGTCCTTTCGATTTCTCCTTCTCCTTTCTGGTCACTCCGTGGTACCTCTTGTGTTTTCCTCACTTTTCCTAGTGGCACCGCACCACCACCACCAGTCGTCAGCGATCATGAATATCAGGAAATAAGTTCGTTAATGTTTTTAGCTAGAACGATCGTTACGCTAGAAAACCATTGCATGTTTTTAGGTCATTGATGGCTTCGAGTTATTTAAAGGTTATTTACGGGTAAGTGATGAAGTTTTAGCACAATTCCTGTAATTCACATGATTTATAAAGTTTAAATTGAAATTATTAGTGAAATATTTAGGGCTTACCATATTGAACACTTCCATATGCGAGGTGCCACTTAGGTCCGAGAAGAACAACGTCTCGACGATTCTTAAGAGGCCTGACCACGCTAAGAACATTTTACTTTCGTCCTCAGCTGAGCATTCAAAAAGAAGACGGCTTGTTCGTGATTCTACTGAAGCTCACTGACGTCACAGTCGAAGACGCTGGCAAGTACAAGGTTACCGCTAAAAACGAACTGGGAGAGAGCAACGCTACCATCAGCCTAAATTTCGACAGTGAGTAAATATGAAGAACAGGATATTGTGCTTCTCAGGACACTTGCTTTTCAGGTATTGTGATGAGGGAAGCAGGAAATAAAAACGGCTCAGTTGGCAGGGTCAAGCAAACCTTGTTGCAAGAGTCGAACGAGTGTACACTATTATCGGTTTCGATGCTTCAAAAGAAGAAATGGCCCGCATATTTCCAGAGATTTTCCATTATGTGTTCGCGGTGAAATTTTTATGCCGGATCACCAGCGCTGTAAATAAATGATCCAAAAATTGCATTTGACCTTGAGAAATAGAAAGAATAAGGACTTTTAGCTATTTTAACACTCCAAATTTTTGGCAATGTTTGTTTAAAACATCATTATTGAGGTATTTGTCTCGTATGGTTATTGGGTTCATTTCCTGTGCCATGTCTTTAGTTGCGATTAAAGTTTCCCACTCTGCAGTTAAACTTATCGTACATATTAACTATTTCATAACCCATAAACGGCGTATTATTTTATGTATCTAGTGAAAATCTCTTGTACAAAGTAAAGAGTTGTTCAGCCACTGGCTTGTGCAACGCTTGTTCAGCGTCTCGAGGAAACTCGCTGCCCCGCGCTACTTGCATCACTTCTCTAGGTCTAAATCAGTGACGAACAACAACTTCGAAACACTGCTTCATAACTTTGTGTCTTTCAATAATACCATAAATTTGAATGATGTGTCTATATAAATACATTTACCTTGATCATATTCAACTCCTCAGTTTGTCGTGTCAATGGCTGTGGAATACGATAAATAAATTAAAAATGAATACAGGAATCTCACTGTTGCTGTAGAACAAAGTTCCAAAATTTTAAAATTCTGAAAGTTTCGTTTGAAAACTTAATTTCACACGACTTAACATACCGCAATACCAACTTTAATTTCTTGTAATCCCTTTGCAAATAGTAAAATTAATTTACCAAAAACAATATAAACATCAATCAAAAGACGTTTTGTCATTTCCATACGAGATTCAGACAATTTCTTGCACCGTATATCACGATATCAGTGGACATTCAATTTACTGCACAGCCTATAGGTGGCAAGACACGTGCCAGAGTGTTTCCGTTCACTTAAAGCTTTATTTGTTATAGTAAGGAATAAATATATCAGTTCGATTGAGAAATGTTATAAGTTGATCGGCTATACTGGCAGAAGTGATCAATAACAAATAAGTAAACTCAGACATTAGAATTTGAAATGAACAAATTTTCAAATTTGCTAAAAAGTATTGAAATGTTGAATATATTTCATGCTGGGAATGCCGCAGAGAAATAGAGTAGCTCTAGTTGAGCCCTGAGCTGCCAGCATTGCCGGTCACTTAGTAAAGCGAATATTAAATGCTTCTGATAACAATTATTGTCTTAGTTGTTATTGTTTACAATATTTTTGTTGTTGCTCTGGTGCTCTACTAAAAGTTTTTTCAGCGACAGAAAAAAATAATCAAGCGAGAAGAGCAAAGTCAGATTTTCTGTGAATCTCTCAAGCCGGATGATGAATTGAGTTAAGAAATATCTAATGTATTTTTTTCTCTTCTCTTCCTTCTCTCTGCTTCCTCATTCTTTTCGTCTGATCTTCTCTTTTGGATGCAATTCTACATCATCTAACCTTGCAACGATCACGTGCTATGCTCGGCACGGCAACCATTTTTCTCCGCGTGGATCACCGAATCGGTATTTTTTGGATATTTTTTTATTTGAATGCATTTTTTATACACTTTAACTATCGGTTTTGTCCGTGTTTCAATATAAATGTAATCACTCGTTCATTTTCCTATTTCACAATTAATATAATAACACCTAAACAATTATTTTCATCAACTAACATTTCTCTTACAACCCAAACGTATTTCGGATTATTTACTTCCAACATAATTAAAATTATTTGCTTACTTCGAGTCCTAAACTTACAAATTAACGTTTTTAAACTCTTAATCCACTTTATTGTATTCTTGGAATTATCTAACACTTTTGCCTGACCGCGGTTGAGTTGCATCCTCTTTGGCATCCTACGCTTGAGATCCTTCGTCTCGACGGCTCTCCTCTCGTCTGCCTGGGCTGCGCTGTAGGCTCCTTTATGCTCAAAACAGGCGACGATTCTCCCCCACCGGACCTCCTCAAGCCTGCCTTCACCGAACGACCGGCCATCCGGCAGTCCGAGGACGGTTCCTCCGTCATCTTCTCGACGAGATGCGTGGGCAACCCGCAGCCTAACATTTCGTGGTGAGTTTCATCTGCTTTCATGAGTAATTATATTTTTTTTCATTGTAGCGGAGAAAAAGGTTTTAGGTCGACAAGGTGGCGTAGCTGTAAGATGTATTAATGCTTATTTCGTTTAAAGTAGTATTCTCTTATCTAATCATCTTCAAGCAGTGACTTATTGTAGCAGGAAAAGAGGCTTTAGACGCGGGAAGTTTCGGAATGTTGATTGACTGGAAATAGTCAAACTCGAAAGTATTGCTGTTGTTCAGGGGCGATTATGTTGTTTATGAGATTGTCTTTTTTTAGCTGTTTTGTTCTGCTGCATTTTGTACCGTCTGGTCGTGAAATTTGAGAAATCAAAAGATATATCTTAATCAATGCTCCAGCCAAGCATAATGCTTAATTAATATTTTACGAAAAAATAATACGAAGTAATTTATAGGTGTCTTATTGTGGGCATACTTATTGAAGTTTTCTATTCCGCCTTGGCGTATATTCACGAGATGTTACATTTTGCAAATGATGGTAACTAAATTTGGGCGATCCTTTTTAATTTATAAGTTGACTCCCTTCATTTCTGTAAATTATTGCTGAAATAACGCAAGAAACTCAAATAAACTCTAACTGAAATACTGAATAAACTCTCTGTTTCATACCTTCATTTTTTCACCGCGCCGAACCGACTTGTTGCGACAGGTTTTTCCAAGGGATGAAGATATTGGAAGGTCTCAGGCACAAGCTGAGCATAGAGCCTGATGGCAAAGTTTACTACATCGTCAAGCTCGAAATTCAGAAAGTATCCAAGAAAGACGAAGGCGAATACAAGATTATGGCTTCGAACAAACTTGGGGAAGGCCACGCAACCGTAAATTTACGATTCGAAGGCGACGTAGCAACTGATAAACCGAAGTAAGATATTGTATATATGAAGATTTACATCTAGATTTTCATGATGCTATATGGCGCGGCCGTGATCCGCAATTCTGTAATAAATATTTTAATTGCCATCAACTTACACTACCGTTTCATGTCATGGATTTAAAAATATTTTATTTTTATCTGATAAACAAACAAATAAATCATGATGCTTTATGGCCCACCAGAATCCCCGACGGCAAGGCTCCCCGGTTCCCCAAGAAGCCGGAGATCAGGCAAGAGGGCGACAAGCTCATCATGGAGTGCATGCTGGAGGCCAACCCTGAGCCTGAGGTCACCTGGTACAAAGACAACACGGTGAGCCTCTGGGATAGCACTGAGATAAATCGGCAAGCCATGGATTTAATGGATATTGAGATAAATCGGCAAGCCATGGATTTAATGGATATTGAGATAAATCGGTAAGCCATGGATTTAATGTATATTGAGATAAATCGGTAAGCCATGGAATTAATGGACATGGATTTAATGGCCATAGATTTAATAGACATTGATTTAATAGACATTGATTTAATAGCCATGAATTTAATGGACATGGATTTAACGAAAATGAATTTAATAGAATAGGGTTGAATGGGCATGGCCTGAAATTAAGGAATGATTACCTGCCCCTGTGAATAACAACTAGTCTTGAATTTGTAGAGAAGATTCGGTTGCCAGTTCTGGTCACGAGGGATGAAGGCTTAATTTACATTTTTTACGGTTTCTGCATGGTATTTTGTCGCTCAGCTCATCCAAGAGCACGGGCGGATCTCGATGTACAAGAAGATCTGCGGCAAGGACCAGTACGTGGTGTCGGTGACGGTGATGGGACCAACAGCAGACGATGGAGGACAGTGGCGGTGTAACGCCTTCAACCCCTTCGGCGATTCCAACGCTAACATTGCCCTCAACTTCAAAGGTTGAAGCGTAGAAAAGATGTATTAGTCCTCAGATGTGATTACAGGCGATATATTGTGAGGCTTATAGTTTACTTTTGATAATTTCGCTAAAATTCTTGGAGGGAATTCATGAGTCAATTGGTAATTTGAACAGTCGTTCGTTCTTTTTGGAATGAGATCATGAACGAGACAAAATTTAGAGTCACTATTAAATTATTTGGAAAAACTAATATGTACAGACAATACGTTGCTAATATAAATATTTTGGAACACTGACTGGAGCGTATCATTGATTTTCATGGCGAAAAGTATTTCATGATCAATTTTTCTCTCTAAGTAAGAGTGAGGACTCGAGGATTTGTTTGAGCAGAGGGCCTGGCCGTTCCTGAAGGCTATGCACCCACGTTCTTGGACAAGCCTTCCATCATCCCTAACGAAACTGGCACCATGATCACCATGAAGGTAAAATCATAATCCCAGATATAAGATATTACGAGAGAAATAAATGTACGTAGTTGTTTCTACATCTTCGATTGCTTCGTTTATTGGATTAAATATTTATTAGTATTATCAGAACGATGCAATTCTGCCCCCATTCACATGGATGCTTCAATTTCTACTGAAAATACAAACATTCCCTAGGTGCGGTGCAAAGCCAAGCCACAGCCAACAGTCGAGTGGTACAAGGACGGCAAGAAGGTCGAGAGCGCCAAACGACTTGTCATTAAAGAGCATAAAGTCACGGAAGAAATGTTTGAGTATTCTTGCATCGTCAAGGTGAGGATCCACGTGTGATAATTGACAATACACTTCAGCCTGGTCTTCGCAATGCAGGCTACGTGAAACAAGCCTCAGTGAAGGGAATAACTCGCTGAGGATTAAACGCATCGTTAGTGAAGCACTTTCAGTGAATTCAATCTCGGCATTCCATTCATAGGAGCGTCTAAACGTAAAATGTTCAACATGAATGATTTCTCAACGCATAAACAGAAGAAAAAATTGTATTTGCGACTTAAATTTTGTAGTCTGTATTCAATTAAGGTTAGGGAAAGGAGTATCTCCATTCTACAGTATCAAACAACATCACGAGCTTCGTACTACCGTTCATGCTTCTGCTTGTCCTCTTTGTCACGTTTCAATCTTTTGAGCGTGTCGAGGTTAGATCGCTTCTGGCAGGAAATATGTTCCTAAGCTTAATAAGTCGATGGTCTCTCAAGGCTTCTTGACTACCCTTCTGGCAAAGATTATTTATTAAACTTTGTAATATCAAAATATCTAAAATTATTCGTGTTAGATCATTTTATAAGGACACTGCGAACTGATTTATTGCGAGAAGTTCTATATCCAATTTGCCGTCTGCATTGCATTTCAATGAGATAAAAAAATTGCTCACTCAGAATTTAAATGCTACTTCAATTACTACAATCCTATAAAACATATTCACCGCTCTTCTCTCGTTCTTTTACTTCTCTCAGTTATTGCAATTTTTTGCCAGAAAGACATTCATCGATTGCAGGGTTGGTGGTTAAACCATAAACTTGTAGACGAGTTTTCTCACCTAGAGTGATTTGCGTGAATCCTATGAATGATTTATGGGATGAAGATGAGAGATAAGTTTTTTAGTTTTTAGTTGCATCAAATTCTTTGCCTCTTAAATGCGGCTTCAAGTGAAAAATTCCTTAGATGGAAGTACAGATACGATTTTTGAACGGCTTATGTATTTCTTTCGACTGACCCTCAAACATTTCATCCTCCCAGCAGTATCCCTGGTTCAACGTCACCAATAAAATCCATGACAGGTCTTTAAATATTGTTTACTCCTAGCGTAACCCTATGGCCTATAGCGTTGAACCCATGCATGCCTCCACTTCTATAAATTAATTAGAGACAACATTATTTATCAACAGCTACACACATTTTCACATGAGTGAAACAAACATAAAATTTGTGATACCAAACAGGAGCCTTGTGGTAAGGATGCTGGCAAGTACAAGTGTGTGGCGATGAATCAGTTCGGCGAGGCTACTGCAAATGTTAACCTTAACATCGAGAGTGAGCCAGAAGCTCAAGGAGAACCTCCAACCTTTGTAGAAAAGCCTTTGATCAAGTGGGAGGAAGAAGCAGGGAGAGTTTTGATGATTGCTTTAGTAAAGGCAGATCCAAAACCGTCCGCCGCTTGGTCCAAAGAAGGCGTGTCCATTTCTAGCGGAGGCCACTACACCATCACCGTGACGGATGACCGCCCTGATGTCTACCGGATCTGTCTCGAGCTCAGGGTACCAACATGTCGTGTATCGTCGCTAACGTGTTCTTCTAAACCAGAATGATCTGCCCTAGCATTCTTGCACACTACATTTTGCAGATTTTCTCACGCTGCGCACTACTACAATTTTCTTACTACTCCGACTCGCTAGCGTAATACTGAGTGGCTGCTTTCAACAAATTGCTTGAAGGGACTGCGCATGCCCGGAACCTTCTCTGCAACAAATTTTTCATTATGTCACAGATCCACGGATGTCCCGGGTGCATTATCTACTTTCTCGTATTTTACTCGATACCTTTTACTAGTTGTTTTCGGTGTGCCCCGTTTTCAAGTTTTATGAGTGTTATAGTATTTTTTTGATTGGATGCTGTTTTTGAGCGAATAAAAGTTTACCGACAAATATTACTTATACTTACCTTTTAATATTCGCTGAAAGGCATTAGAAATTCCATCTATGCGAATTTCTCTTGGGCGTTTTTATTCTAAACTTACTCAAAGTTACTGCGTGCTGAGTGTGTGGTGAACAGTTCCAACCTTCGTAGCTTTTAAAACATGAATTCGATTCCAATTATGTTGATTACATGTCTTATAGGCACATAGAACATGGAGAAAAGAATGCTTAGAACTTGCATAGAATTATTAGGTACTAGTAAATATATTTCTTATGCAGAAACCTCAGCCGTCGGACGGTGGCATCTACAAGTGCAACATCAAGAACGAATTTGGCGAACTGAACGCAAATTTGAACCTCAACATCGAAGGTCCGTTCTACTTGAAATGTATAATGTAAAGAAACAACTCATTTGGTGGAAAATCCGGCCGCCTGATTCGAACCTGCACAAATATAACATTGTTGACGTGTGAATAATTATCATTATTTTATTAACGAAAAAATTTAGTTAATGCATTTTAAGAGATTTGCTAACTTTTAGAGAAATAGATGCAAAACATTGTGCATTTTTCACAAATATAAGAAATTTAGGTACCTGTACTCTATGGTAATTTGTTTTTAATGTTCTCTATGTACAGTGGCTCCAACTATCAAAAAGGCCCCGAAGATCATTTCGATTGTAAACAAAACGGTGATCATCGAGTGTGTTATTGTGTCAACCTCGAAGCCTGCCTGTGAGTGGAGGAGAAATTCTACGTCCGTGAAACAGAGTTCCCGCCACAACGTTTCAGTCAGAGAGGTGACTTTTATCCTGTACCTGAGGTATAATGGATTTGAGTCAATCCAAATTATAAGAAGGGTCACGTGAAACAATAGACTGGAAGGAAAATATTTCAGATTTATTCGTTTTGATTGAAAGCAGATTTTAAATTATGTAATTGCGAAAATTGTTGCCAAAATTCATAGTACAAATCACCTCGTGTTAACACCTTATAATTCTGGTTTTCTGCACTAAAGCTCAACGAGTTCCATGAAAATTTTTTTAGAACGTGAATACGAGGTATTTTTCAGTCAGTGGAACATAGACGTCTGCCATTAAGTGAAAAATAATAATTGTATTTCGTTTGAGGCTTTATTATTTAACTAAACACATAATGCTTTATTAGAATTTTTCAGTATATAATAAAATAATCTCGGTATGAGCAGGCTTCTGAAGGGTGCTACCAGGTTCAGCTGGAAATTAACCAGGCTGACAAGAGTGACGCTGGCTCCTATAAAGTCACAGCCAAGAACGAGAAGGGAGAGACAACGTCGAGCGAGGTGGAGTTGCGCGTCGACATGCTCGAGGTGAGCATATGTACTATTATCAGCATGAGAGCAATCGTATCTTGTAATGCCGGATTAAATTCATTGGTTAGAGATGAAAAGACGGAAGTAATCGACGAAATCGTCAGCAGGGAAGCATTCGTATCTTTTGAATGTGTGATTAAATTCCATTGGTCTGAAATGGAAAGACGAAATAAATCGAGAGTTCAATGTTAAGCAAAGTAAAGCAACTTGCAAATTAAAAAAACTTTTTGGTGGCAATTGATGCACTAAGATTAGATTTTAGCTTGTGAAAGGTTACCAATTTCCTTTAGCGATACATGCCAGAAAACTTTAAAATCTGTTCTGGTATTGTGATGTGCATGAGCTTGCTATCCTTACGTTTACTAGTTGATTACGTCAATGAAATGAAATTTATGACAATACTTTTAAAAACAGTTTGAGGTGAATGTAGAGTTTCGTAAGATTCTAGACTTCTTTTGAAGGTAGCTCTAGAAGCTTAACCACATCAATGTACTACAACACAGTTAAAAAGATAACTGATACTGTTAAATCGGACGCGTCACCAGGTTATAGGGACAGAGGTGCTAAGCCCAAATGAGATGGAATACATGATTGAGCGAGCGTTCAATTTTCAAACAGATAACAACATCTTTAGTGCAGTAGAAAACACATAGGAAGTGCGTTATGATTACATTATTAACAACTTATTCAGGCCACATTATACTAACTTGAATTTGTCGATATTTTTGTAAAAAAATAATAATTTTAATAAATGGACTCCTGTCAAGAACCTCTAATAGTTCATCAGCTGCTCTGGTTGACGCTTACAAATATTGTTAGCTAATTCAAACTTTTGCTTTTCATACGAGTTCACGAGATTCATGAATAGTTTTCAAAATTAGTATCGATCTACTCGCTCAAAATTGAAACAATTAAAATACGCCCGACATTTTTGAAATAAGAAAATCTGACGTTTGCTCTCATTTTAAAATTTAAAAGCATACCACCACACAAAATAGAACAAAAATATGGAAATAGCACGAATTTACTTCACTGAAATTGTTACGGGGCTTCACTACTGACGGAGATGATGCATTCACTTCGGGGCTGGGGTCCTCTATGTAGAAGGTCGAGTAGATGCGGTCAATGAATTTACTGTTGGTGGAGTTGACAGAAGATGTGGTTTTTGGCTTGACGAGCTTGTGGCGATGTTACTAGTAGTCAACTTGACGGATGGCTCGGATATCTCAAGCTTCAAGCACAGGCATTGGATGTGGCAAGGCAGGAGCACTATTGCATGGTTGAAAAAAAAAAACAAATTATACAAATAGGGTTAACCCATGAGAAGCTCATTTTCGCGGATGTAGTTTATTGTTCGCCTGTGACGTCACTGAGATCATTGACGTCACGGCCATTAACCAATCACCGATATGTGATCAAAGCAGTCAACCAATCCGTCATGGGAATGAAGGATTGGTTGACGTAACAAGAAAGCTGAACTGAAAGGCGGAAATCCTCGTGGGTCAACCTTATATAGTTCAACTACCGGCACTATTTTTGGCCGGTAGACAGGATAGCAGACGCTCTCGTGTGTTTTTTCCCCGGGCATATATTGATGATTGCGTGTATGATCTTCAATATGAACAGGAGGAGATTGTGGAAGAGGAAGAGGTTGTAGAAGAAGAAAAAGAGCCGATCGAAGAGGAGAAAGAAGAGAAAGTAGAAGTTAAGGAGGAAATTAAGGAGGAGAAAAAGGAAAAGAAAGAGGTGAAGAAAGAAAAAGAAGAGAAGAAAGAAGAAAAGAAAAAGGAGGAAAAGAAAGAAGCAAAAGTCGAAATAAAAGAAGAATTGGTTGAAGAAACAAAAATTGAACAGAAGAAGGATATTAAGAAGGCAGAAAAAATAGAGGAAAAGAAAGTCGAGAAAAAGGAGAAGAAAACGGAGGAGAAAAGAGTAGAGAAAGTCGAGGAGAAGAAGGCAGAAAAAGTCGAAGAGAAGAAGGTAGAAGTGAAGAAGACGGAGGTCAGAGAGGAGAAAGTAGAGAAGAAGCTGGAAACGAAGGTGGGCTGAGCTTCATGGTTGCCACTGACGCGCTTGCTGCGAAGCGCTCTGCTTCAAGCGTTTTGCTTCAGACTAACTTGCTTCTGTACTGACCGCTGGTGTTCCGCGCAAACCTTGTCACAGCTCTTCAATTACTTTCGTGTTGCTGTTTTTTTTTTGCTTCAGTAATCATAAGGATTAGAATTCAGATGCGGCCAAACTCTGTTACATGGTTTTCGAAGGGGCAAACGCGACTAATAGTTGATTACGAGGCTTAGTTTGCTCAAGGTGGCCGGGAACTAACTTCCTAACAAGCTTAATCACCAGCTCAAACAACAAATATAATATTCTCAGCTTTCAATGAACTGTGCGTGCTTTTATGTGCGTCTGCTTTCTTGTTGCTAACACTGAACCACTAACAGGTCTTGCTGAACCACCTAACAATTATTGACTCTACAAATTTTAATAGAAATGTTAAAATGTTGAAAGTTTGCCTCCACACAATTTTCACTTGATTTTAAAATGGTGTCCTTTTAACAAACATTATTCTCCTAAGCAACATTCACAACTACAGATCTTGTGCCAGGAACCTTTTAATTAGATTAAGTTTTCGTTAGGTAACCAAGTTCCGAATCTGGATAATTTTTCAACAAAATCTATGAATGATGAACTGCGAGGAAACTTCGAGCTGGAACTTTAGCCTCAAGCCTCGTCTCTCAGTCTGTGTGGCCTTTGTTTGATTAAAATGGTTCATGCACAAAGCTCCCCTCTTAACACTTACCAAGTGTTGGACTTGAAACGTCTCAGCAATGCACAAAATATTGATTGATGTCAGAGCGGCTAAACCGAAGCATATTTGCTCAGGTGACTACAAGGCATCTTCAATTTTTTGCATCTGCTGAAGGCAAAGATCATTTAGAAAATTCGAGGCAACATAAACTACTGCTAGCACCTCTCACTATTGCATAGTATGACTATAAAGTACTGGATCTATAATTTTATCAGAACTTCTATGAACTTCTTTTATATTAAATAACTTGTGTCGTGGTAATTGATAACACATGGAAATTAGTCGTGATAAAGCGTGATTGCTGTCAGCGTAGGATGTTTCTCAGAAATTAGAAACCCTACAAAATATATTACTGACAGAATTGATGTTTAATAGATTGCAACAACTTTGACGCAAAATTTTACTTATATTCCTTTGTTTTAAAGGCTTTGATACCTTCAAACGGTTTCGGAAAAACGGCCATCTCATACTGGGAAAATTACTGCCAAGTTAATTAACGTACTTTATGTTTTCTTTCGGTGGAACAGGTAAGGTTTGAGCGAGACAGGAAGCTGCTGCTGACTTAACTATGCATGAGGCCCTGAGACACTCGCTCTGTACTGCGAGTGTCTCTTCCAGGATAAGTATTAATGTAGTCAAAAGTTTTTAGAAAATTTCTTCTCTGTTGTTTGTCCATTATTAGACCTAGTCTCAATGTGCAATTGTCCTTTCGTCTTATAGCCTTTGTTGCATGTCAATTTCCCCCCCCCCCCCTCAAACTCTCTTAACTTGCATTTTTACGAATAATTTCGTGTCCAATTATTTTCCTCGTTGAGGAGAATTCAATGTTTGTCAGTTATTTCCTGTCTAGATATAGCAGTTTTTCTCCGTGTAAATCCAATGTCCATCTGTCTCTGTTTGTTGAATTTTAATGCGTCTTATCTTCCATTAATTTTAGAATGTAAGAAAGACTTCAGTCCAAGAAACGGATGAGGATGAAAACGAGAATCGCCCCGTAAAAAAATTGGAGAAGACAGATAAGAAGAAGCCGTCCCAGGTACGTATGGAAGAGGAGATCACGGAAGAGACGGTGGACCGGAAAAAGGGCAAGACGACGGTCACAGAGACAACCGAGGAGGAGACAACGGAATCCAAAAGAAGCTCTAAGAAGTCAGAGATCGGAGATAAGCCTCAAGCAGCGCCGCCAACTTCAAAGTACGAAGAAAAGAAAGAAGACACGCAAAAAACTACAGATTCAAAAAAAGGAGAGAGAAAAGAGCCATCTGACCAACGAGATGAGGAAACTCCCAAGGAGGAACGCAAAAAGTCTGTTGATCAGAAGGTGGATGTAAAAATGACAGCGCAGCAGCGCAAGAAATCGGTTCAAGAGGAAACTCCCAAGGAGGAACGCAAAAAGTCTGTTGATCAGAAGGTGGATGTAAAAACGACAGCGCAGCAGCGCAAGAAATCTGTGCAAGAGGAAACTCCGAATGAGGATCGTAAAAAGTCTGTTGATCAGAAGGCGGATGTCAAAACTACAGCGCAGCAGCGAAAAAAATCGGTTGAAGAGGAAACTCCGAATGAGGATCGTAAAAAGTCTGTTGATCAGAAGGTGGATGTCAAAACGACAGCGCAGCAGCGAAAAAAATCGGTTGAAGAGGAAACTCCGAATGAGGATCGTAAAAAGTCTGTTGATCAGAAGGTGGATGTCGAAACGACAGCGCAGCAGCGAAAAAAAACGGTTGGAGAGGAGACTCCCAAAGAGGAACGTAAAAAGTCTGTTGATCAGAAAATTGATGTCAAAACTCCAGCGGATAAACGAAAAAAATCTATCGATGTGAAAGAAACTGGGGAAAAAAGCGTTTCAGAAAGCAAAGTTCAGCCTGAGAAGACTGAAAAAATCGCTCCCGATGAAAAGCCTGAAGAACCGAGCGTTGGAGTCAGCATCGAAAACAAAAAAGGAATTCCCGACAGAAAAAAGTCTGAAGTGCAAGCCGAAGCAACAGTGCCACAGAAAACCCCTAAAACTCCGCCAAAATCTGAAGCAACATCATTAACAGTAACAAAAACGGAGGATAAAATCTCTGAAAACGCCAAAGCAAAAAGTCCAAATTTTCTATCGCCTCCAGAAAATCAACATGTCGCGGTCTCACTCGAAGTCCCAGTTAAACCAATTCCAAAGACAACGTCCAGCGTGGATGAGAAAGCTACTGTCAAGCAAAAACCTGCGTCGTTAGCCCCTGTTAAAGAAGACGAAGAAAATGTTTCACTGACAGTTCAAACAAAAGCTCCAGATTCCGAAGATACGACTGAAGAAAATAAGCACTTGTTTGTTCCTAGATCCATGGATGATGAAGAGACTCCATTGCAACGTTATCTAGATGAACTTTTTCATTCTAAAGGGGTATGGCTACTTGGCCTGGGTTTTATGTGTATGCAATCTTGCATAATTAAACGTCGCATTGAATGCTGAGGTGTGAGGTTGAACGAGACTCGCTCGCAACCAATTATCAATTATTATTGCTCAAACTAAATTTTTCGTACTAATTTTCCGTGGAATAATGGGAAGTAAATGATCTTTCTCAAATATTTAATATTTTTGATTGGGATGTTACCTATACACCTCAGTTTTCTTAGGACAACGTTTCCGTTTGTGGCTCAAAATGCTCGCTTATTCGTATTTTTACATTTGCAACTGCCTGCTTGTAATTTAACAATATCTTTGGTGTGCGTCGCTCCTCTCTCTTCCTTTCAACTATCTCCTTTTATTTGTTTACCTACGAATCCATGGATATTTTTTGCATAAATTCCATAAAATGTTAAAGTTTATTTTTAACTAAGCGCATTTAGTTTAGATCTCATATAAAAATAAAGAAACTACTCAAGCGTCTTTAGACCAGTCGCGTTGTTTAAAAATGCTCTTTTAAATTCCCTGATCTTATTGAAAGTTTATCTAAATTATCTATTGAAACGTGCAAATTGCTCTTTTTGTTTGCAGACTGTGGAGAAAAAGCAGATCCAGGTACGTTTATAACAACCGATCGCAGGAAATTACCCTAGAATCTACTTTTGTCGGTTGAAAATTACCCTTATTTGCATGCAATGGTTTGTCTTCTTTGTTAATTGAACTGTAATTGGCAATTAAGTCTTCCAGTCGAAGATGTCAGTTTTCTCATATATATTTCGACAAACAACAACCCCTCCCCTTCCAAGAAATGAAAAATTTATTAGAAAATCCTTGCACACGAATATTCATCTATTACTAATCATCTATGGCTTCTAATTGATTCAACTTACTAACTATGAAGAATTATTGGTGGAAAAAAAGAGAATGAGCAAATTCATGGGAGTGTGAAGGTTAAGATCGTATATGTAGTATATCTTGTGGCCCCAAATGAATGCAAGTCGACGTAAAAATCTGAGCTTTTTATGTAGATCAACATTGAAGTTCGTCAACATGAAATGTTTACATTTGATATCTTAGAACAAGTTTATTAAATATTCGATTTCCCATTGAATATTCCTCAGTGTTTCCATTGATGTACGTCAAAGCTTGCTTCTACGTCTACTCGCATCTTTGAAGTTCACCCTTGACATGACTGTGTTGGAGTGGGCGGAGAAACAAGAATGCGAGTTTTAAAAACTTTTGGATTTTGGTTCCTGTTAAGAAGCTGATGTTGGTATGCTTCACTGCACATCTTCCAGAATTATGAATTTATTGTGCCCATAATTTCAACATGTTTGTGAGTATCGAAAGTTTGTTAGAAAGTTTTGGGCTACGACGCATAGCTAACCCAAAATCGACGAAACTCTCAATTTCGGCCTCACGCCATCAAAAACAAGGCGAGAAAAGTTTTGAAATACACAGATTAGAAAAAGAGTTTTGAGCTGTAGAACATTGATAGTTCGATCCCTAAAAGCAAAAGACATGTTATGAATGTAAATGAATTTACGAGAAAATTGGTGAATTGAAATGACAATATTTTCTGAGAAGTGAATGAAGAGATAATTATTTGATGATCTAGTATATATTCTAAAGAACTATAAAATTTATGTAAAAATCTACCATTGGTATATCAATACTTTAGTAAGCATGGTTGTTACCCAAGTCAAATGATTAAATCCAGTTTCCACAAGTTCAACTGATCGCAGTCACGTTTTAGAGGGGCGTGATCGCCATGCCAGCAGACGTTCAAGATTCGCCTAAAATTATGGCTTTGGATGCACTTATTATGAAGTCGACTTGTCAATTTCGGTTTAATATTCCTTTTTTAGTCACGCTAGTACTCATTACATAATCTAAATTAATATTTCAGGTTTTAAATCATAATAAAGTCTCGAATACAAACTTTTCAACGCAGAAACCTTTTAATCTAAGGAAGACCTTGATTTGCCAACACATACAGTATAACATTTATGATGCATTCCAATGCAGGTAGAGAAGGTCTGCATAAATTAGCACCTACATTCGAATATTTTTTTTCTTTAGCCTACAATTCCAGTAAGGTATATCTGAGTCATTCCGGTTGAACGAATATAAACTTGAAGAGCCAGCAAAGTGATGCGCTTTCATGCTTATCGCAATAAATACGAAAGTAAGTGTCTAGTCCACCCTCAGTTACATGAAACATTTTGCTTTCGTTACTATTCATTTCCAATTAAAACATTTATCCGTCCCATAGATTCAACTCTTTTGAAACTCTTTATAAATTGCAGTTATGTTTCAGTTAATTCATCCGCGCTCTTTCACTCATCAATGGCTTCAGTGCTAGTGATGAACTTGGATAAGATGTTTATCTTAATTTTTTTCTCAGAGCAGGATAATAATATCCATAAACTTGTCTGGTTACACCTAGAGCGCTCAATATCCAACTATCACACAATTTGGCTTTGCAGCATTTCACGGTCTCGTCCTTAAATCTTGCTTCATGTTACAGTGCAACTTCCTGATACAATGTGGCTAGGGGATAACCAAAAACCAGAACTATAGGCACGGTTATCGTCTTGTTGTGTGTCTTTCTCTGTGATTCTCTTTGGTACGCGTCCTTTTAACAATGATGAAATCTGTCAAATAACAAGTTTTGCACGAGGAGAGAGTGTTCAGTGTCTTTTTCTTTATGATATCAATAGACAGAAGTCTCAGAAGAACAAGAAATGGACCCTAAGAAGATCATACCAACAACTGGCGGCTTGAAGAAGCCAAAATTTAGACGCCAGTTACCACCAAAAGAAGAATCTCTCAATCTCGCTGCCATTCAGTTGAAGCCCACACCCAAGAAGAAACAGAAGACCGAAAAAACTGAAGAAGAAGAGGTCTCCACTTCTTTGCAATTTAAAGGAGAAGATGTTTCTTCTGGTGGGGTGCAGATTGAAACTTTAAAGAAATCACAACAGCGCAAGTCAGAGACCACACTTGAGAAGGAAAATGGCGTGGTGACTGCAGTGACTCAGTCGACTGAAGAAACTACTGACGTCACGACTCTCAGGAAAAAGAGTTCCGGTGCTCTGAAAATTCCAGAATCGGTCACGGACGCACCTGTTCCCTTAGTCTTCAAGAAGAGGCGAACAATTTTGCCAAAACAAGAAGAAACACAAGAGAAAATTCAACTTAAGCCTACCCCCAAGAAAAAAGCTGAAGCGAGCACGGAAAAAACCGACGAAGTTTCTACAGACCTTCAATTCACTGGCTCTGATGTCAAAACAGGGGGTGTTGATGTAAAACTTGCAGCTCTCACACCTTCCGCTGATCTACAGGTTGGTGAAGATCATAAGCAGGATCTTTGTATCGTCTCAGTGTCAGAGTACAACGACTGCCATATTCGACGCGACAACTTCTATGAACTGTCCTTTCTCTTACATTGGTGTATCATTACCGCGCAAATGTTCAACATAAAGATTTCGTTGTTCTTCCTTGCGTCTGTCTCTGCTTTCTGCGTACAATCCGTGCTTTGACATCTGAAATTTATGCTTTATCGTGTACTATATTGTTCCAGTGAAACTACGAAAGTTCCAGCTGTATCTTTCGAGCCGTCAGAGGAGACGGCAGTGTCATCGTATTTTCAAATCACGTATGCCAAAATGTCCCTCTTCTGCCTCTGTGTTTTGAAACTTTCTTCGACTATCTTTCCTGATTGTAACTGCGGGGTTGTAGCGAGTGCGTACTGTACTCAGAATGACTTACAAGTGAAGCGTCAGAACTTGTGCGCTATTATTGTCGTATGGGAGAAACTCTTATACAGATGTAATGTTCTAGGTGTTGTGAACAACGTGTACTACATTAGTCACTCGAGTAAGGCAAACTATACTTTTATTATTTAGGATAAAATATAATTCCTTCTTGTTAATTTGTTTTCTTTGTTACAAAATATTTTGTGTTATGTTTATTTTTGCTTCCGTCCCACTTTCCTCTCTATCGCCCATGCACCAAATTCAACCGCTCAACGCCGTGCTCAGAGTGACATCACAAAACAAATAAAACTTAAAAAAAATTATAAAGCCACAATAAATGTGTGACTAGCCACGTGTTTGTTTAATTGGTTATTGTGTGTTACTAACGTAAACTCTCTTCAATAAAAAATCGTTTATTATTTATTTGTGACATTTATTTTGTGTTGACGGTTGTGTAAATTCAGTACTCAAAAATGTACAGCAAAAATTTATATTTTATTAAAGACTTTTTTTTCCAGGCCTAATGCTATCAAAACCGAATGATTTCTTCTATTACGATGGCAGCGCTTCCGTAATAAAAGAGATTCGGTTATGTTTTTGTCTGCTGGATGCTCGCAGTAATATATAGATAATAACTCCTAGATTAAAATATCTGACCAAAAATATTACAAATGTTTTCATGTCTTTTCTGATATTCTCATGCTATTTTTCGATAAATATTGTTTGAATAAATTTAGCTTTAAGATATTTTGCCTATATATTTCTGCCCATATTTATGCTGAATATTGATAAATCATTTTTATAAAAATTCGTTGTTAAACTTTTGTACGGGTGCATTTGAATGGAGATTTTTAGCTCGAGTTTAATCGGTTTATTACAGTTGGCGCCCCAGACTTTGAAAATATATTGCTCTTCGTTGCGCAATTTTTTTTAAAGTTTGATTGGATAATTATGACTTTTACTTTCAGCAGCTTTAACGGAATTCGTATTAAAGACCATTGTCCTTATGATAATGACCACGGTATTCAACACATCTTTTACACTAAATACAAATTCAACAAAAAATTTATACAATAAGCGAGGCTTTACGTCACAAGAAATCCACGAAAAATAAAGTATTGCAAATTATTCCGCGACTTTAACTCCAACGTCTTCACCCAGATCCGTTCTTCTGTGTGAATTAAATCCCAAACAAATGAAGCTTCCATTTTAAATTCCGCATTAGTTTCACAGAAAAATAAACCATGTTTTGAATCCCTCGATAGCAAATGGTGACTTCAAAATGGTTCTAGATTCGAAATGCCCTGCCATTTTCCTGAAATTTAATGTTATATTGAATGCCAAAATTACTTCTGTATGCAATAAAATTATCAAAAAATGCAATCTGTGAAAAATGGCAAGGCAATTCAAATTCTCAGCAGAGGACACATTTTGTGGCCACTAATTTAGATGCATTTTTCCGAAGAAACCTTTCGCCTAAATTTCCATTAAGTGCACCATAAAGTAAACAATAATTTATCTTTAATAGTGTATGTGAGGATGACATCGTTGCTATAAACACTAATACGCCTTTTTTCTGCTCCCTCTACTATCGTTGGTGGACTTCTCGGCGACATCGACACGCCAATCCTTCTCTCTCCTAAACTACTTCTTTTAAACTCCTTTCAATGACCTGGGTCGTCATTCTCTCTCTTTTAAATCTCCATCTTGCCTTTTAACTATACACCTTCATACGTAAATTCCTTGTTTGAACCTTATTTTCTTCCTTTTATTCTTTACTATGCATTTTAAATCAATTTTCGAAATTTTTCATTTAATTTATTCTCTATCTTTAAGTATGATTTCACAATCTATTGTCTTATTTCAACACTGGCCTTTCACTTCTCTTCAAATTCTTACACAAATGAATTATCAAAATTCTACGGTGGGTGGCAATTGACCACTGTAGGAGGAGGCACCGCAACCGCAAGAAGATGAGGTAATTGGTTCAAATTATTGACTAACATTACCCATTATAGTTTTCTATGGACGTTGTTCATTAAGAACGGCACTTATTTAAAAAGAATGTTATGCTGTCTGGGTCTAACCTGCGAAGTTCAATTCAGTGAAGCGTGTTCAAGAATCGTGAAGAAAATTTAGGTTATTGGTTTGAAAACTTGACATTATTTTTCATCGAGGTAAGGTAAGGCTTGGAGGACATCCGTTTTAGTCGGTTCTAAAACTAATAGTGAGTAGTCGAGTGGTTAGAATGTTTATTTCCCGTTCTACACACACACTTTTCAGCTTCGGGTAAGTCGAAATAATGTAGGAGCATTTGGTTTGCATGGAAATAAGCGAGTGGTTAACGGGAACTCTTTAGTTTGGGGTTGGTAGAACACAAATAACGCATGCGTAGCAAGCATTCGATATGAAATTACGAAGTTTAGTTCGAGCTCTGACGACCACGCACGCATACGTAGCAAGTAGTCGAGATGAAACTCGTGAAGGGTGACCGCAGAGGCCGAAACGAATGGAAATGGTGCCTTTTCACTAACTTTTACTCCTTGAAAAATCTGACTAATTTTCTTACTTTCCTTGTGAAGACCGTGCAAAAATTGCACAATTCTGAATAAGATAACTGACAACTTTCCTGAATCATGAACGGTGACTTGGACATATTCTTATACGGAGGAATGACTTGCTGCATGTTGCTATAATGTTAGACTAACACTTTACCTTGCGAAACTAGAAATTTCCGCCTTATGACGGAATGAAACCGTGCTACCGGTGACATCGGCTTGGAGTGAATTCCCTCCGGCGCTGGCGTTCTATCCTTGCAAATGTGCTAGAATATTAAAAAATGTTCCTTCTATTCTCAACCTGAACTTTTCGGAAATGTTGACTTTCCTTAGACTAAAATGAGGATTCAATTTTAATTCTCTTGAATAACTTCAACATTTATGGCTACATGAGCGCCGCTGCGTCTTAAGGGATGTTAGACTCCATCATGCCATCTTTAGGAACTGCACAACTTCTATTTCACGAACACCTTAAGGACGATGTTCGATTGTTGTCTATTTTAAAGTAGGCGAGGATTGACGAATTGACGCATTTTACTGAGACGTGTCTGTGCTCCGTTGTCATGTCAAATGAAGTCATAAATGTTATTTGTTTTTGCATGTCCTCTACCTATCTACACCTCGTGTACGGCATGTGCTAAAATATTATCTATCTTACAGCCAATGGAATCTAAAATTCTTTCAATATAAAGAAACCTCAATAATTTGGTCCGTAGTTTCATGATACATTCCTCGTAGACTCCGTTTGAATCAGAAACTGCAGTTACTTATTTTAAAAATACCTTCGGAGTGATGATTTTTCTTAGTCTTCTTCTAGTATATTCTTGAAATTCAGTTTGAATCGTAAATATTCTAAAGACTCAAATACCTCAGGCCTTCATAAGTTTGTGTTATTATGTGGAAAATTACCTTCTACTCATTTGTATATATGTATAGTTTAGTCTAGTCCTATGTGGAGTCCTGTTTCTTGATTGTACCTGTGTCGTTCACCAGCATGTTTACTTGTGAAATTTTCACCCGTCGAGATCTCGTCTGTGTAATGTCACGTGCAACCTCCTGTAACCTTTTTCTGTGTCAACGTCAAGGAGGAAGAACCGTTGACTTGTCGTCCACCTGATACCGCCCCTCCTGTCAATCCCTACGATGACTTGGACGACGATGAGATTCCTCACCCTTACGCTTCTCGCTTGAAGGGTTGGGTAAGACAGAGGATGCTAGCAAATACTGCTTCATTAGCCTCGGGCCTTGTGCCCACTGCTGTATTATACCCTCTTGTTCAAGCGGGACCCACGCTGGGCAAGCTTACATAACAGCGGCTCAACTTTAACCCTGTGGTTATGGTGTGGAGTATGGTAACTTTGTGCAAGCCATACTCTCTACTAACTCTTGGGTAAATGTTTACGAAACAAAATTGACAGCAGAATCCATACTAATAAGCAAGTGGAAATACTGGAGACAAATCTCTGCATGCTAACCTAACAGATCTTACAATTTATTTACTTCGAATACGGCACAAAATAATTCTCAGCTCATGAAGCTTCAATTTACTTGACATTCAAATCTCAACCGACGACAAATAAACAATAACCACTAAAACTGCGTAATAGAATTGAACTTCCTTCCGGTACTATACTGAACCAACCCCACAATTCAGCATGGCATACAAACATCACTTCTTTATCTCTGTACTTCTGACTATACATAAACTTGAGTGACGAGGTTCACAATAAAAACGCAATATTCTTATGCAGGGACAAACATTTATTATCTGTACACTCTTCATTGCCACTGTCTTTCATTGGAGTTAACGTAGATAACAAGATTGCTGGTTCCATTTGTTTTTACTACATTTTAACTGTTACAAATAAGTCATTATTGCAGAACAAATTACAAACTTAGAGCTACAGACTCATATATGCCGGCCTTGTGAAATAAAAATTACATTCATAGCTTAGTGAAAAAGACGATTTGGTGAATTATAGTTACACTAAACGCGTTTTGCCAGGGAGAGCAATCGGTTGTATGTATAAATAATCAAGAATATATAATAAGTTTCATAGTAATCAAAACTAATTAATATTTATTCTAGTAAATTTTCACTATAGCAGCAGCTTCTGTAACTATATTGTATATGAATTTGTTTCCAGATTCTGATACCCAGCAGAACTTCTCGTCAGTCTTTATTGTGGAAGATGTTAAGCTTATTAAAATTAATGCCTGATCAGTTAATGAGATAACTAATACCATTCCAAGAGGTTCTCTGAGGTCGCAATAATGAATGCTAAGGTAGCATCTAATAGAAACCCTTCTTCTTCTCTCCCACGCCGTCCCTCTGGTGACCAGAAACCACGCATTGTAGAGCCGGAGCCTCAGCCGGTGAGTCGTACGGCCTGAGTCACTTGCTGCGATATAAACGCCCCGCTGAGCTCTCAAGTTTTGTCGACTCTTATCAGTATGACTCGAAACGCTTCACCCCGCATTCCTTGCCATATTTAAACGAACCAATCCGAATCCATAATATTATTATTTCAACCTATTATTTGATCTTATGTTGATATTAAAAAGGTCTCAGAATAAATGGTTTTTACGTCATATTACACTATAAATAAATAAATAAATCTAACGATTGAGTTAATAAACGTTTAAATAAAACCTCCATTTCCAAAATAAAGGTCGTGAAGTTTTCTATGGAGTAAAAGTATTTCGGTAGCCTAACCGAAGTTAGCAATGTACGACACTCTAAACCTCTTTGCAGTGCGTTGTACGGCAACGTGTTGCGCGTGATGAATCATCATCTGTATAAAGTAACGCTTTATCGTAAATAATTCGGTAGAAATTACTGCAATAACTTCCATATTTTGAGTGTTTTTGTTACAGAAACATTCGCAGTATTTTACGGAGTAGTGGTCTAATTTACTGGTAAGTTGTGGTGCCTTTGACCTATTACATCTTATTTCACGGGCGCCAATCGTTCGCTTCATTCGAGATGGTTTCGTTGAGCCAGTATATACCATCAATTTCTGATAACTTATAGATAGTATTCGTTGTCGTCTTTTCCGCACGCAAAAGTTCTTCACAGTCAGTCCTGGAAATAGCATTGCGCGCATAAAAACTAGATTACATTGGCAAACCTTCATCGGAATAATAATAATGACACAGCCTATGAGGCATAATTATTTTCGTTTACATTTTTTTCGTGTAGTTTGATTCAAGACTTTTTCGAGCACTTCTATTCACAGTACACGATATACTTTTAAATAATCTGCATAATTTTTCTACAGGAAAGTGGATGTGGAATGCTGGTTGCTAGGCATTAATTTCCAAATTTCACAATCTCTTTCAAATTTATTATAAACTAATTACTCATAATGGAACCGCAAAACATCCAACGCCATTTCACGTATAATTGGCCCATTGACGTGTACATATTGCATTTATTAAATTATTTCGTTCGCTATGCACTTGAAATAAACTTTTTGTTGAATACTAATGTGATCTGGGTTACTTGACTAGTCGAAGCACCAGCTAGGCTAGCTTAATCGTCTCCATAATTAAATTCAAATTTTTGATAATAATTGGTCATCACTTTATAATAATAATAATTATTAATTTTAGTCAATTTGATCAATCCCGTCTGTGCTTCGTAATAAATTTATTTCTATGAAGCTGAATTTGTTAATTATTATTGCAATAAGCTTACCTCAACAGGACTGTAGGACTCACCAGTTGTTAGATGAGTAATAGGATGTAGGCAAAAATTGCAGTTTGCATTGTATCAACGTTGATGATACCATCAACGCATTCGTTGGTGCACTGCCTCGTTAGTTCAACCAACCTGCAAGGTACAAAGCTCCAAGAAGGATTGCACTGCACGTTAATCCTGTCATTGTTTTTGTCACAATAGTTCATGGTAGATATAAAGCGTGCAGAGTGGAGACGAATTTCTTAACTAACGTGTTTTCCATTAGATTCGTTGGCCTAGATTTTCTAACACCAACCGGACTGTTCTTAGGGAACGCATGTGAGTGTGGATAGGAAGCCTGGCTCGAAACCTGCACTGGACACGGCAAGTATGGCTCATCGAAGAAAAAATAATATTATCAACCTCGAATTAAATACAATAAATAATACAACAGAAGATCAACGTTATCCTGGAAACACACTCACACAAGCTCATGACACTGATTCCGAGGCTCAAATTAAAGATTCGTCACGACCACGCACATTCCAGTCAGAAAGGCGCAAATCAAACCAGTCACATGAGAATAAATTCGCTGCGATTGCGTCACTGAAAGAGAACGAAACAAAAAACCCGCGCTCGATGTCTCTTCCAACGATGAATAAACTCCCTCCACAACTCATCCTCGCTACAACAGCCCTCGCACATCCCGAGGACGATGCTAGAGGCAGTCCTACTATCCTACCTGATATCCTGGAGACGTTGGAGGAAGGAGATAACAGTAGAGGGTTCCGTATGTTCTTACAAAGGAAGCTCAATCCTCAGGTATAGTCGAGCTCGTCTGTTCTCGCCGTTGTCGCTTCGTCGATGTGAACAACACACTCGCTTCTCATGTGGGTAGTCTCTGTAACTTTGAGGTCGATGTAAGTGACTTAACTTAACTAACGATCAGAAAGATGCTTGGTTGTATTGTATTTAATTCTAAACGGCTTTTCGTGAGTGGATGCAGTAAGTCGAGAGACAAGAAAAGGTGGAGTTAATTTTAATTATAACATAAATGCACATTTTCCATGTGCAACACTAAATTTTTCTTTTCCAGAGTAATGTCTGTGAAATGGATTCTTCTAAACTCCTTCGCCTTTATTATCCTAGTACTACATGCTACTTGGTGTTAAAATTATTGTTTTAAAATTATCTTCTTCAAATCGTAACACCTTTCTGCAGTAAAAGCTTGTAAATAATAACTGGAACGATATATTTCTTCTCTGACAGGTTCTAATTGTCTTCAGCGCTTGGTTCATGCATAAAAGCTTAACCATTTCTGCATCTCTATAAAATCTACTTATTATTCAACACGGTGACCTGGGAAATGGGTTTGCTTCATATAATATTGTGAATATCGATCGATTTCAGTTTGAGAACGACATATGTCCGCCGGAATTAAAATTACTCATTTCACCGTAGCAAACTCATTTATTATTCCATTGATTTCCATGTCATAGGATACGACCCCGAAAATCGAAATATCAGCGGACAAGAGAGGTTCTCTTGCCCCTGTTTCTGGCCCCTCGAGCAGACGAGGTTCCCTCATACCCCCTGAAGATGCCGGGGGACGTCGACCCTCGCTCATCATACAAGAGGAGGTAAGCCCTTAATTAGATAAAATTGTTTTGATAGGAAATTTGATTGGTAAAATATCTGCGCAAGTAGTTCATTTCAGTCGTTATTATATAATTTTACGCGCTCGGGAAGTGACGAGGAAAAAATTTATATTTTACTGAAAAATACCATTACACATTCAATCGTAATATTTTATATTCCGGTTTTCATGAGTAGTTTTATACGTAACATCCTTTCGCTGTGAATACAAGCGTATTAATTCAATAATATATTATATAAGAGAGCTAGATTTTGGTCTGTGCTCTGAGCTTCTGACATCGAGCGAGCTCTTGAAAAGTAAGTTTTGAAGTAGATATAGTTATGGGATTTAAAGTATTTCTTTGAAGCCTTCAATCTATGCTGCACTTCAATCTTCAAATAGATTAGAAAATTTAGATTCTTCCCGTACTGTCCTTTAATTGTGCTTCATTATCAATTGGGACATTTGACTAAATAGTTCAATATTAAAATCAGCTTATAGATTTACAATAAATTCACGCTAGGAGGCGAATGTGTTGATAGTCTCAAGCTGTTCATAAATTTCTATGATACATGCAGGACAATATTCATAAATTCAGTTTGCTAAACATTTTACCGGAATTTTAATAGATTTTACTACGTACGTGTACAGACCCTAAGATTTTCTCATCTTCTTGAGTGTGTTTATTATTTATTATGTTTATTCAGTATCTTTTCTATGAATAATGTCAAGTTAGATGCTCCCCTTTACATGTGCATTCCCTATTGAAACATTCCCCGAATATTCTTTTATGTCCCCTTCAGCCTTCATGTTCAGTGCATGCGTGATGATAAACTCAGCGTTGGAATATCTTCCAACACTAGAATTTCTTATAATAATTAAAAAGTTTCTTCCCAATTAAACAGTAAATTTGAAATAAATAATGTATTTTGAATAAGATCGTTCATCCGTGAATAAATAAAATTTTGGCTCCGAATTGAAATTAAAGTAGATGCGTTAATTTACACGACCGTCGCCGCCGCGTCGCTTTTAAATCCAATGGAAATACGAAAAACCGTTAAATAAAATCCGACATTTAACTTATGATTGAGTGACGCCGCCGACAGCGTATTCCGGCGTCTCCACGCGTGTCTACCACGAGCGAACTTTGAAGTAGTGCTGCGTCCGGCCTTAATTAATCAAGATTATTTTAAAATGCTATAAAGCAATGACGCGCGCATAAACAAACTACTGGTCTTCCAATAATGTCTTATTTTATGGTCACAATTAAGCTGATAATTAGAATCAATTAAGCAGATATTTTTATAACCTATAGGAAGATGTGCGCGGACCAAATGTATTAAATAATAAAGTAATTAATTTTTGATTCAGTATTTATGGAGTATTAAGGTAAAGGTTCACAGTCGTGGTTTCTACAGGTGTGATAATTTACAGTTGAGACTGTGAAGGGCAAAAGAATTTCAAAAGTGCGTAGAAAATTTATAATAATTTTTGTTCAACCCAAATGTATTTCATCTCAATTGGTTCGATACGTGGAAAATAGAATTTCCCTAGAGCGGGACATATAATTTTTATCTTGAAAAAGTTACACACCTTTGCGCGTATCTTGGCAAATTAAAAATTGTCAATTTTTAATTCTTCCGTGCAAAATTTGGGAGTATATATCTCAAAATAAAAAATAGACTCAAAATTTCTTGTTATTGTCCATTACTGCGTCGTTGTCATGTAACAGAATTAAGATAATTTCTTTGTAATTAACATTTTCTAAAAAAAATCATGTCTCTTGGTTATCTTGATTGATTTTATGAATGTTCGATCAAAATTATACTGTTACAAAGATACAACGTAAGCTTTTGCTAAAAAACCACAAATTGTTTATCAGAATAGGGGCTATAGCAATTTTAGTGGAAAATCACGACTGTGAACCTTTGAGAGTTCGAGACCCAGGCTGAGTTCTAAATGAATCCAAAACTGCGATACGCGTTTCTTCGCTATCTCGAAATCCTTTGCCCCCTTTTAATTCAGCTCCATACGTGAGTTTATTGAATAAATCCGTTACAGAATATCTATTTCTGCCTCCAACAGTTATTTAAACACATGAGTTTTGCTCACATAATACTGGTTAGATTCTGAAATTTAGACCGCCATAGATCATCCCACTTAATAAAAATACAACAACCCAACATTCTCCAACTTATGAATGTAAAAAATTCCCATGATAAGTTATTTTATCCACGCGACAGGGCAAAACCCTGAAACCTGGCGAAATTTTGGAGAAGGTGAGATGAAAAAGATGGCCTTTCCGGTCATCAAATAAAGCCCATGGGAGATTCCGCCTAAAATTGTTGTCTTTTATAACACACGGCTGCTGTCGGCTATGCAGGCATCGCTTAATAACATAAATAGTCTGGTGTACATAGAAATATTCTTGCTTCTCTCTGTAGCGAAATAAACAAACGCTCACCAGCGTGCGTGGATTCTACCTATACTTTATCAAGCTCATTGTGTAGCATGCATTATGAACTTGTCGCTCTTGACGTGACATGATAAAGTATGGGTAATAAATTCTTTTGTGGGCAGTCGCCAATGTCAATAATTAAGCGCCGAAAATTGGACTTCAATATCTGACAATATCGAAAAGGGATTCGCAAAATTACTCGTCGTTAAGAAGTCCCAAGGAATGGATTTTGGAACCGAGCGTGCGCCATTTTTGATAGATACTTTTTGCCTGGCAAATGCGTCTTAACGAATAAAAGCGTTCCATAGGATTACGATTTTATAAACAGGTTTCTGCGTACTAAAATATCTAGTGTAGTTTTCAGGATTCATGTTTAAATTAATTTTTTTTACTGCGGCATGTTTATTTACTGATTACAATGCATATTCTTCTCAACTGAGGTTGTTTGACACAGCGAGACTATGCTGGATTAATGTTTAGTTTTTAATAGCAAGATTCTAGTAGTTTATCTCTTAAATAGTGAGATTAAATACAAATTCCCGGCATTCTTATTTACTTGCTTTAGAACGGCGTCAGACAAGTGCTCTTAGTCGCTTGCGTTAACCAATTTAGATGCCTTCTAGATAAAATACCATAGTTATAGTCAGTTTTAAAACTTTTTCCTTCTTTTTCAATTTTCGGTGGGATATTTTCCCCACATTTTTATGTGGAACGTAAAATGCCTGAATAAATAGCAGTGGAGAATATCATTGGTAAAAACTCATTTGCATAAGAAAACAGCAACTTTTGTAAATTCTGGGAGTTTGTTCCAATAAAATGGAGATCTTAGTACGTAATCTTCAACAAATACCATCCTTGTGTTCAGTACACGACATTATTTTGATTATGTAAACGAGTTACAATGCCGATATTCTTGCTGTTCCCTGCTGTTAGAATAGTCATAAACTTACGTGACGCACCTTACTTCTTGTTAGCATCTGTCAGTCTCTAAAAGATCGGCTTGCAATCACTTGTACCTTCATGTTTTTAAAATTGATTCATTATTTTACTTTCCACAATTTGCACTATTTTACTTTCAATTTCCCCACCATCGATGCTCTATGAAGGAAGGTGCGTGATAAACTACTATAATTCTCCCACATTAGGAAAATTTTTTTAAAATTGCCTCATTTTTACTTATTTTTGTGTGTATTTTACCTGTAGAGTGGGCGAAAATTGAGACCAGGAGAAGTGGTCGAAGAGCTCAAGGTAACGATGATAGCCCCTAGACCCTCGTGTCGCTCGCCGTGACTACGTGTTGAGATGGACTCCTCCGACACCACCTAACTGGGGACGGCCGAGCTTTTCATTCTAAAAAAACATATATTTGATCCAATTTGATTTTTCCTCTATCTTGATAGCGACTACTTTGTTATTACGCGTAATTAAAGGATAATAGGTAACCCTTTGCATTCTCGTCAACTTCGTGGTCACTTTCGAATTCACAAGAATTAACAACAATATTTTTGCATAATAGTTTTGCTTTGCATATTAGAAAAATTGTTATAAAATGAAAATCATTTTTGGTGCCAGAAAATTAAATTTTTTCCTTTATTATTTTCAATATCCGGCGTCTTTTCTGGTCGAGACACCGACTCTATTACTGTAAATCGGCTACAGGTGTCGGGGGAGTTTAGCTCAGTTGATGTTGTTACGTGCGCTCATTTGTACGGTGAGCGCCCGCAACCGAAGTGCCTTGTGACTGCGACATCCTAAGCCTGGAACTGCAATCCTACGCACCAAAGAATTGAATCATACATGAATTAAATGTTAGCAATTAAAATAATTAAAATTTAAATGCAGAATAGTCGTCAGATTAATCTTTATTTTAAATTTTGATTACAATGAATTGTTACTTTTTCAATTTTGATTCAGCATTCTCGTATAATTTGAATTTATATCAGATTTTCATACGGTGGGGGGTTGTTTTGTGCCAGGCTTATGGAGACATTGCCATTGCCTTCAATGTCGTGTACTGGTGATGTCGTCGCCTATTTGTTCATTACAGGACTACTTGTCTACGTAGCTGGAACTTTTATTATGTCGTCAATGAATTAAACAATTCAATAAACGTATAATTGTCCTAAACATGACCGTCGACTTGTCGTACATGTGCCTCGGTGGATGTGTCTGTTTTTCCTGCATGGAAAACCGCTCTCGTGACGTGCCCTCAGTGTTGCGCAGCTGTCCAAGCCTCATAGAAGGAAAAGCTTCGTCCTTCATCAGTATCATTGTCGTATCAATCGTGCAATTCGTACGTGACACCACAAACCTCGCTTGAGATGTCTCGATGTCGTTTACGTTTTATTGTCCTGTTTCGTTTCCGTCCATTATTTTTTCGTAATGTGGTATTTTTTGTAATATTTTCATGTTAAATTTTTCCTATGTCGCTAATTTTATTTGATGTATCTCCACTTTCAATAATTTTCTATTTATTATTTATCCACACGCTCTTAGAGAGCGAATATATTTCAGTGTCTCTAAATCATAATTTAATCTTCGCTTAGTCTTCCTTAGTTGTTTCTGTTACAGTTCACTATTATCTCTCATTGATATTTTCTAATTGTTAATTTTCTGGTTAAGGTGTTATTTTATTTTTCTCGCTCACTTATCTCTCGCTTTTTTCATTTCATTTATTTGACATTCATAGCGATCTAATTTCTTGGCATCGTGAGCGAAGGGTTTTTCTCTTTAATCAAGTAAAAATTTCGAATGACCTTAAGGAAGAGTTTGCACATGTACGCCAAGGCATTAACTGACGTGGTTCTCTATGCGTTCATCAGGGGGGCAAACTTAAGCCTGGCGAAAGCGTTACTGAAGTGAAGGTGAGATGAAAATGTTATTATTCCGATCGCATCCAGTTTGACTTCGCGTTCTGCGCATCGCCCTTCGAGTTATTCATTAATGATACATAGCAGCACGCTTTGCGATGACAGCTAAACGAAATCTGTTTGGGATTTGAAATAACGAATGTTCGGTTCTCGTCTACGTGTTGTCTCGATCCCGATCAGTGAATCGTCGAACTTAATTAGCAGATCTATAGTTGTCGCCGTGTGCACGCGAGTGAAAGTGTATGTCTTAGCTCTTCACAACTGTCCGTTTCAATTTCCGTAATTTTAAGGTTGATTCTTGGAGTGCAAGCAAAAGTTTTCTGATTTTGTCGCATGTTTTCCTGAAATACAATATTTCATGCCAGGGTGAAGTTGTTCGAGAGTGACTCGTTAAGACCAGTATGTTTTAAGACCAGTATGTCTTTAGTGTTCCGTGTCACAGGATTCGTGAATGTTGTGCAGTGACAGGCACCTACTGTATCAAGTCCAGCAAACTATTCACGTTCTCCTTTTAATAATTTTAACCGAGATTTTTTTAGATCACTGCACGTTCTCAATATTTTTATCCACATGCATTATATCCACCACAGCCATTCATTTTATTCATGTCATTTTTCATCTTCCCCTGGATTACTTCTGCTTCCTCTATTTTTTCTGTATTTCTGACACTTGCGGATCAATAAAGTTGCATAACGCGTTGACACTGAAAAAAAAATTTGATTCCACTGTTTAATCCAAAAACAATGACGCTATGACGGATTACGTTCGTGGCAACAGCAAATAAGCCAATCACAATAACCAATTCCCCATCGTTTTTATGCGATTCTCTTAACAATGACCATATTATCTAAGGAAATCCACGCTTCTATTAGTCCTTTTCCCAGAATCATTCATTGCCACGACTTTGAATTTTCAATTTTGTGCAACTCTGATCCGCGTAAAGTCTGAACTTACATATGGTCGGGCCAGTGATTTCACACAATTTTCGTATACATGCCTTACCTTCACTCATTAACATCATTTAAAATCCTCCACTGGCATTTAAGCTTCAAGTTTTTCCTCCATCTCCGGCGAAAAAACATGAATTTTTTTTAACTTCTGTGCCTAAATCACGGAAAATTCCTACACTAAGCAATCCATCCTTGTGTTTCGATGCCACATTTTCTGCAGATCAAGCTACAGTGATTCATGTTTTGCACTATTTTGGAGGGTACTTTTTTACCCCAATGTCTTTTTTTCATTCCTTACCAGAAACATTTGCGACCGGGAGAAATTCATGACGATGAGATCCAGGTCAGAAGGAAATTTTGGAAGTAGACCTGCTCTCCGTTCTTCATAGGTTTATTATTTTCTGAATTTGCCTCGCTTACTCAAATTTTTCACGCTGATTCCCTTTTACTGATGCTCATTTTTGCTTCATCACATATGCAAGCTTAACAAGTCTAAGGCGGCGGTTTGATTATACTCAGCCATGATGTTTGAAGGCTTGAACCCTCCATATACTTCAAAATTATCCGACATTTCTTCAATTATTGCACCATCTGATCCGTTCATATTGAATTGGGACAATAAAACTTGTCTTGAATGAAAATATTCGCCGATTTTTAAGAAAAAGTTGCGGTGCTTGAGTTTTCAACTGTAACTCCCTTCTTGATACAAAATTTATCGACAGATGTACGGAAATTTGTAATCTTGTTGAAGTCTTGATTGACGAACATTAACAAATTCAACCTTATATATGTTAAGACTCATTTACAGATGTTATAATTTGTAGTTTTCGTTACCCAACTGTGAAAAAAATCAATTTTGCTCAATAAACCAGGTTAACGGAAGTTTCCAGTACATACATTTTAAGTGCAAGTGCAGAAAAGCTCCTTGACTTGATTTTAGTTTGTGAAGAAATTTCTCTCGTTAATTAATAAATGAAAGTATATTCGCAAAAACGTTAGTCTCTGTTGTTGCCGTTAGTCTTTTTGTACCATTTACATTAATAAAAGCTGTAAAAAAAAGTCTGCCAAGCAATACATTTTATGAAAGTACTTTTATTTGTCATGCTCTGAAGTTCAGGTATTTGTGATCGGAAAATCATGGCCAATAACCCTTCCTGCTCTTCCTGTTTCTGACAATGCACCGCTATTCGAATACTTAATACATGTTCATTTAACCTTCATCCGCTAAATCTCCATGCCTTTTAATCATGATTCACTACATATACATTTATATTCGTATCTCATCCATACCCATGCTACAGTTTTTCCTGGTACTTATTCATTTAATTTTTGCGTGCATGTCTTTTATCAGTTTTGTTAACAATCATCGCCTTTTTGATGTGCAATGACGCTTCTACTGAGGTGAGTGGAAACCTTGGAAGCAAATTTTAGCAAATTTTTCAAGAAATAATATTTTAAAATCGTAAATTTTGATTCAAAACATTATTTTAAGCTGAACAATTTTCTCTTATATGGCTAATTTTAACGCTACTGTGATGAGAATAATTTTATATATTTTATCTATCATATTAGACCAAACTTTTGGCACATGAAATATTTTTTACTAACCTTAGAACAATTTTAATATTTTGTCAAAATAAAATTTCATTCCAATGTAATGTTTCTAATTTATTTATTTCATCCCCCTTCGAACCTTCTTCCTGACCTGCACCGAATTCCATGGACACTGCATCCTGAACCTCCTGGCCGAACTCGTCCTCGACCGCGCGTCGTGCTACGGCTTCGTCTTGGCATCCATCATATGAAACTTTAATGGCTACCAATCATTGAGAACTCAATCTTAAATTCTGCTTGAGGTTTACTCACATTTCTTCGATACAAATAACCTACGGCTCGATTCGTCATGAAACACAATAGGGCCGCCGGCGTGCCAGCACCGACAGACGAGGCTCCGAGGCGCCCACTGCAGAAGATGAGAACCGCATTGACAAGCCCTCCAGCCCGCTGACGCCCGTCGGCAACCCGGGCCCTCCAGCCATCGTTGATGTGCAGCTCAAGTACAACGCTGTGGAAGGTGCGTTCCATTATTAATCATGTGATAACAATTACATTTAGGTTCAATTATATGGAGTGTCTGAGTCTGCACCAATTCGCATCCGCTTACCCGGTCAATTAATATTTTTTATGATAGCATTTACCATTAAAAATGAGACCATCATGATCTTAGTAAAAGAATCGCTCAGTTAAATTTTATAAGTTATCAATTCGCTTTACATTTTCGATTTAATAAAATGAGCTTACTCAACGATTTTCTTTTCGCGTGATTTTTGGTGAAAGTCAGAAGGAATGAATTGTGAAAATTGAAATCAAATAAAATCTTTTGTGAAAAAGAAAATGATTGTGAACCATCGCGGTTGCAGGGTCTAATGGCTACATCGATCTCATCGTGGAGGGCAACTCGGTGCCCAAAGTCAAGTTCTTCAAGGGAATCATGGAAATCGTGGAAAGTGGCAGGTATAAAATTCACACCGACGGCGCGACCAACACCGTCACGCTCTGCATCCGCAAGACGAAGGCCAACGACGAAGGCGTATACAAGGTCATCGTCAGCAATGAACATGGCGAAGACTCCGCTGAGATGGAGCTCTACGTCTCTGGTGAGTGCTCACCTGTGTGAAATGATATATTTGATCCGGTCTCTACGTCTCTGGTGAGTGCTCACTTGTATGAATTGATATATTTGATCCGGTCTCTACGTCTCTGGTGAGTGCTCACTTGTATGAATTGATATATTTGATCCGGTCTCTACGTCTCTGCGGTGAGTGCTCACTTGTATGGATAATTGATATATTTGATCCGGTTACACTGTGACTTGTTGCAATGTAGCAGTTGTAATCTATGCTAATTATAATGTGAGTATTATATTATTCATGCAGATTCAAGTGGCATGGATTTCCGTAGTATGCTTAAGAAAAAGAAGTACGCAAAGTGGAAGCAACAGCAAGAAAAGGAAGAGGTCGACCTCAAAGAGGTGGATAAAGATCCTAAGCCAGCGCTCAAAAAAGTTGAAAGGGTGAGTGTTATTAAATTATTTAAGTAAAATCCTGCTATTTTAGTGGTAATTTTTAATAACATAAATATCACATACTGGTCTTTGAATTCACATTTTTTTCCTTAACCTTGTATACATTTTAATACGTACTTTGCTTAAACTTCATTTTCGGATCAAACAGTGAACGACTTTACTTCAGTGGACTGCGTTGGATGAATGGAATTCGCCTCATTCAGGTGTTCTGAACCACACTTATTTTTCAGGTGCAGGCCTTTTCCAATTATTAAATTTAATTCAAGCTTATTTAAGAAGATCTCCTGATCGAATTTATGAAAGATTTTCACCGAACGTCCGCACTAGCGTCATTGATTGGTGTAATACGGATAAAAAAGTGTTTAGCTTATAGCAGGTCATAAAAAATTCACGAGTCAAAAGGTGGCCTCGCATTACCCAAACTAACTAATTGCCCAGTCCCCTCGAAATATTCGGGTAAACAGTCTATTTTGTCTATCAAATCGTGATATCTGAGGCTGCTTGATTGCTAAACTATTAGTAAACAGTGTTAGGGAATAACATTAGTAGTCCCACGGCAACAGAAGTGGAAACCTTGGAAGCAAATTTTAGCAAATTTTTCAATAAATAATATTCTAATATCGTAAGTTTTGATTTAAAACATTATTTTAAGCTGAACAATTTTCTCGTTCATAGCTAATTTGAACGCTTTTGTGATGAGAATAATTTTATATATTTTGTTATTTTGTCTATCATATTAGACCAAACTTTTGGCATATGAAATATTTTTCACTAACCGTAGGACAATTTTAAGCTTTAGGATTAGTCGAAGACCGTCTATTATCGTTTTCAAGAGCCCAAACAAACTCATGTTTTTGTACTATATGGTGGAGGCTTCATTCTTGTCTACGCATCGATCTCAATTTGTGAGTACATACTACACAGTCACGAGACCAACGATGTTTCCTGGAGTCATTAAGCTGCTCTCGTTTAGGATCTCTGCAGTTGGGACTACCGCCCCCCCGATCGCACCAAAGAACGCAAACCTTCTCTTGCTGAAATCATTCCTGACTGGCCCACGCTACTCAATGTCAAAAAGAATAAGGTTTTATTTTTGATCATCTCGCTTGCGCTCACAGGACAAAAATGCGTCATTGTTAGTTGGGTCATAACTAAGATGAAAATATATTTGACCCGGGCTCTTAACATGACGATCGATGTATTTAGCAAATTAATTTATAGTTTGTTGTACTTCGCATGTTTGTGTATCGTCAGGTGTATCGTAACATTTTAAAATATATTTTTACTGTCTCATTTATTCTATGTTAAATGAATCGCAAAACATTCTGAGATGAACATGTAGCAGTTAACTCTTATTTCTAATAAGACAAATCGTATATTCTCATTTGAATGTATTTTAGTTGTTATATGATCCTTGCAAAGTGTAAAAAGTACACACCGGGACGATGTTCCTTGATTAAAAAATTTATCTATATGTTCTTTTATATTCTTTCTGCCCACGTGGACTAGCCTTCACTATTCACCTGTTTCGAGGTCATTCATCGTTGAGCTTCATACGTGACTGACTGAACGCTGCTAAATTGCGAATCGACCTTGTGGGTGACCGAAATTCTAGAATTCTGTAAGATATTTTAACTTTCTTCTGTGTTAACATGTGCAGCAAAGCTGTGTAAATATTTTCTATACTGTTGCGTTGAAACACAACCTGTTGGCATGCACACGCAAATTAATTCTCAATCAAATGGAATGCATTCACAATCTGTTGACATGCATACGCAAATTAATTCTTAATTCGATGGAATGCATTCACAACCTGTTGGAATGCATATGCAAACTAATTGTTAATTCACCAGAAGGAATTCAAGGATTTTCATTTATGTCCTAAATGTATTACCAGCACCTTCACCTATCGCTTAACTCATTGCAAGAACACACTTGGTAATAATATTATTTTCTTGATGTATTTTTCCTGCAGCTGGAACAACAAGGTTGGTATTTATTCATGTATTTACAGCTCTTAATTCTAAGGAGCGAGTCGATTTCGTTAATAGATATTAATCCAATTTATTTATGCCACAAAATTGTTATGTCCATCACATCAACGATTTTTGATAACTTCTCGCCTGAAGTGTAACTTGATTAACAACGTTAATAACTTATTGTAATTATCCATTAATGTAATAACTTATTGCTATGCATTATTCACAGAAACAAGAGTCATGGACGAAGCCTCTTATTGATCAAACAGTGAAGGAAGGCAAGGACAAAGTGGCCAAGTTCGAAGCCGAGTTTTCCCGCAAGGATTCCAAGGCTAAGTGGTTCCTCAAGAAAGATGTAAGACCTGGTGTTTTATGTTGCAGTCTAGATGATTTGTTTAATTTCCTATAAGTTGAAATTATTAATTCATCTAAACCTGAAGCAAGCAATCTGTTATATTATTTGTAGTTCAGAATTCATGAATATATATACAGAGACTGACTCAAGTTTTGGGTTAATTATTTGCGAATTGAACATCAAATGGAAGTGAAGCTGCAAATATCCTTGCAGATATTATCTGCTTTGAGTTTTCGCTAGATCAAAATTATTTTCTTTTTAGATGAATTCCGATGTAATGCTTTTCAACGCGAGCTTTCCAGCTCTATTTTAGAAGTGCTCCAGCTCTATTCAACTTAAATAACGGCAAAAAAGATTGTTTATAATTACAATAGAGCTCAGAAAGCTGATACGAAGATTTTTTGTAGGAAATCTTCAACGACTCACGCCACAAGATCACGATGGTTGGCACCACACACACCCTCGTGATCACCAAGCCAGAGCAACAGGACATGGGCCGATACTCGGTCGAGTGCATGGGCATCTCCTGCAACGCTGTGCTCACCGTTGAAGGTATTTATATTTATCTGTTGTTAGAAATTTATTGGTTAATAAAACGTACAGTATACAGTTTTGTTTTCCCTTACAAAATACAGTTTATTCACAGTATAAAATTTCTAAATTATACATGTTTTGAGCCATTTTTCATTATTTGGTTTACGTTTTATGTCATATTAAAATATTTTCGTGTAGGAACGTCGATTTATAAATCTGTTTTCGAATTTCTCTGACGACTAAAAAATTCTTCAGAACCGGATCCAGACTTCAAATTCGTTCGTCCGTTGCCAAAGAAAACCGCCGGTTACACCACGAAGGACATCGAAATGGAAGCTCAGACGAACTCTCACAAGGCCATCGTGCACTGGTTCAGAGGAGAGGAGAAGCTTGAGGTGAGCTCTTCGATTTAGAGGATACTAATCCCAAGATTTTACAGAATTATCGTAATAAATTCTTAGCATGATTATTTGGATGGAAATCAAGTTGTTCTCTTCATTAGAAATTCATTAGATACATTCAGAAATATTTCTCATGAAAACAATTGGCGCTGCAATGCATGAAGCGTCATGTTTGTGCGCTGCTTAGTTTTTCTATTTACGACTCTGTATGCTTTAATGTATTGTAATAAGTAGCTTTTATTGTATTAACTTGACATTCACCAAAAATTAACTGTTAGCAGAAAAAGCGTCGAAATTATTTATTTGTTTTTATATATTATCTATATATATATAATAATATATATATTATATTATTACGATGGTTATACAGTGTAAATACTGTCGCGGGAGACAAGGAGACATCGATGCTTACGACGACCTGGATAATCAAGCTTGTTCTACCTCGAGCAGGGGGAATGAAGATTTATTTCCCTCTGTTTCTGATGGCTCTAGAGCCAAATATTATAAACTTTCAGATCCGGGCATATCATGTTAATTTATGGCGGTAAAGTGTTAATTCAACGTAAAAATTTCTTTTTCCTGCTGCGGAAATTCAGTGAATTTTCCAATAAAAATTACTACCTAGACGATTGTCATCTGTGGGAATTTTAAAGCTTTTCGTGATATAGTTGTTACAAAATAAATTAACAAAATATTAATGTATAAAAACCATCCATATTTGTTGCAGGAGAACGAAAAGTACAAGATGTACAAAGACATGACGGGCACAGTTCGCCTCACCGTCTGCAACGCCACAAAAGAAGACAAAGGCAAATACTCGGCCAAGATTTTCAAGTGTCCCAAGGAGGTGTGCGAGACGACGCTAAAAGTTGAAGGTTCGTAAATCAAAAGACTCGGAAATTTAGGTGCTATGAAAGCTGTATTCATGTTTCAAAATTGTGTTTTTTTAGATAATTCAACGAGACTGTACGGAAGTAGTGCAGTGTATTTCCTTTTATATGGATGGTTGAAATTTATCATTAGGACGTATGCATCCATCGTACGTGGCTTTCATTTGCTATATTGTATACCTTTTCTTTGGCTGGTCATGTTGACGTGGACAAATTATCGCGAAGTTCATCATATAATTGAAATAAACTAATACTGATTCACGATATTGATTTAAATCAGATATTATTAATTGTAAATTGTTGTAATTCTATTGCTATTGTTCAGACCAACCGTTCAAGTTCACGAAGCAGCTCAAGTCGAAGACCGTCATCGAGAACCACAAGGTGATCCTAGAGTGCGAGGTGGACGAGGCCGAGGCTCCCGTCACCTGGTATCTCGGAGACCAGAAGATCGAAGCCGACAAGTCGTAAGTCTTTTGACACGTATTACTCTTATGATCTTTTCGTTCATTAGACGAGTTTTAACCGCGGAAAAATTCAAATGGCTAATGTAGGTTGAGTTTACTCAGGTGTTAATGCCTAGCGTAACTTTAAAAATGCACAAAAAAAGCCATTAAAAACTACAATGTAATTAACAATATATAATATAATTTACAAGTAGTTACTGCGGGAATATAGTGAAGAATGATAAATATTATTATTACCTAGCAATGAGAGCAGTGTAGGATGGTGACATTCCTCATAGAAATGATGAATAAATCTGCATTTTAAAGTTCGATTACCATTCTATTACAGTTCGTTGCATTTAATTTGTGTTGTTCAATGATGCAAAATCAGTTCGAGGCAACGATGGATAAGCTCTTGAGAGCGGAGTTGCTGCAACTGTGGCGTGACCACTGCTAGACTACCGATACTTTCAGTGTTAAGAATTTATGAAGCAGAAAATTTTCTGTAAAGCTTAGAGATATCAAATGAGACAGAGATGTTGTCTCTCGCTTACCTGTTGTAATAAATGCTGGAAACTTCCTTCGAGTATACCAGTGAAAAATAATGTAATTTGTGGGCTCTGCAGTTATACTTTGGTAAAATATTATTAATATCTAAGACATATTACAGCTAAAAAAAGAAGCAAAAGTGTGTCATTCCCAACTTGATTCTAATTTGTTAGGTATTTTTTTGTGCATGATTCAAAGTGTGTTGAAACGTGTAAAATTTTCTTGATTACAATGTTGTGTTGTCTATAATATACATGCCTCAGTTACGAGTCCCTGATATTGTGGTGTCTGTAATTTAACTCAATTACGCGCCAGAAGAAATAATTACGATGATAATAATAGAAGAATTAGGACGATTATAATAGATTTATAAAATTTGGTGTTTACTGAAGATTCCCAATAACACGTTGTACTTCTCACAGGGGAGATATCACGCACTTGTTTGAGGACAAGAGGTAACGGGTGTCATGTTGGCGCCAACACCACGGGCAAACGCCTCCTCGTTCTCTATGTCTAAACTACCAACCAATAGTTTATCAAAACTATTTAATCATAATTATTATTCGAAATATCGTATTGATAATTCTGGCCTATTTAAAATTCGAATTATTGGTGCCAGGTTTAAAAATCGGTAAATTAATTTTCTGTCCCAACGGCCTCTCTGGCATTTGTCAATCGAATCACTTTTGGAGACATATTACCTATTGCAATATGCCAACAGTTATAAATAAAATATCCCCATCATAAATCAGTACAATACTACTTGCCAAATTTCCTTCAGATTGCAACTCGAAGATATGCATTCGCCCAAAAATTCATGGCAAACTCTTTGTCTGCACGGCGAGGCTGAGAGAGAGACGTCGTTACCCAAGTGGTGTTGGACGAGCGAGCTGTGTTGAGGGTGCAACTCTCGCACGCTCTTACATTTCTTTCCCTGTACATCCCTCTCTTAAAATATTTCATACGCACGCCACTTACGTAGCAGCTCGAACCATGCACATTTTGCACCTATATGGTTTTTGTTATTTGAAGAAATATCATTGCACAATTGATGTGACCGTGAAAATAAGTTCATCTTGGTCATTCGTTTTTTTAGTAAAGCGAATCTTATTCCATCAGCTATATTAATTTAAAACTGGATACAATTTCCTAATTAATTGTGAATATTCCAAAATTTAATATAACATCAGAAATGTGAATTTTACAAACCATTCACATTTAATGATTACGAGCAATGCTTCGTTCGTTGGCGATGTGTGGTAGATATTCTTTTAATTGAGGAATGATAGTTTTTGCATCGTTAAAAGTGCTATTATTTCCATTATTGTAATAATGCACACTATTTTTTACCCTTCTCAGAACAGTGGAGCATCACTGGGTATTATTTCCTTGGTTTAAAATGTAGCTTTAATAACTCAATCTTCCTCTCCTGTTATCGAGGTACTCTTCCCCTAGTCATTACCCTGTCTTGGTGCGTTTAAGTCGAAAAGTTCGTTTACTGAATCCGTAAAATGTTTCATAACGCAGTACTGAAATCATATAGTTATTTCTTTCCTTATTTCCATATTTGATAATCTAATATTCCTCTACGAGTAATAATGATTCATGTAGCCTTTTTGGTGCATAAAATATGAAGAATTCTTTATGAAGTTTCCCCTATGTTGGTGAATGCCAAATGCAAGCTACTAGATATTAGTCATCAAGTTTATGATGATGTTTTGTTTACACCGAGTGCTGCGTTAGTAAGCATGGATGTAGCTTAAATTTTTTTAGTCTTAAATTTAGATCACACGGAGCGGCAACAGAAAGTCGCAGTTCGTACAAATTTTATTAGAAAATACAATTTTTGGAGGGACGATCACGCGTCGATCATCAATCCTTATTTGCCTTGGTTGCCTTGGAGAACCTCGCTTAGCCCTGGCGAAGTGAGGTTCTCAGCTTAGGTTGCAGTGGCTTCAGGAAAACATGCTCAGAAAATATGATGTTTTGTAGGATTGTTCATATTATGCTTCATATTTAAGTTCATAATATGGTTCATACGATAGTTCATTGGATGCTACACAGGATGGTTCATTAGATACTTCATGAAAGTTTGTATGTGATAGTTCATTGGATATTTCATAGAGTAGTTCATAGGATAATTAAGTAGACGTTTCATAGGGTAGTTCATAAATCCCTTCGTTGGACGTTTCATTGAATATTGATTGCATAGTTCATTAGACATTTCATAGGATAGTTCATAGAAATTTCATTGGACTGGATGTATCATAGGATGGTTTATTGGATGTTTCATATGACCGTTCATAGGTTACTTCCCTCATTTTTTCATAGGATAATTCATAGTCCACTTTGTTGGGTGTTACATAAGAAGTACATTGCTAACTTGGGATTGGCTTGCAATACGCGCCACGCCAGTTACCCCTGCGTCTTGGCTGATAAGTTGGATGTTCTACGTCGATTTTTCTCGAATTTACATTTCTATAACAACTCCCCATATCTATTTGTCTAACGTATTTAGCTCTTTATTCCTTACCTGATAATTCCCGCTAGTTACTATTTATTTATTATATGCTCTTGAAATAGGATTATTAGCTCCCTCCGTTTCTATTTCTGTCTCATCAATGATCTTTCCTTACAATCAATGGCTTCTAAGACTTCTTGCACGCGCATCAACTTCAAATGGGTCTCCGCTCTCACTAATACGGCTTTATAATTACACCATGTAATGCCAATACAATTTAATGAACTATGATCGTACGTGGAATTGCGTTGCAAGATTTCCGATGCCCTCACAAGCGTACAGCGCAAGCCTCGAAGAAGTGAGAGCAAAGAAATCAAGCGCGCTCTGAATACCGATCAATGTTCATCGAATTTAAAATCCTTAATCTTTTGCGTGAAGCCAGCTTTTTTCCAAGCACAATCATGGCTTCCATTTCCAAAATGATAAAAATAAATGTATGTCTGATAAGAAACCATGACACAGAGCAAGCACGATTACTTCGAAACATTTTAATCGATATTCCACTGATGACCTAACCATGGTTTGTGTGACGACAGCGTGAAGATGCTCACCGATGGCCGCAAGCGTCAACTCGTCTTCAAGAGCATCAAGATGGGCGATGCCAACCACTACACGTGCAAGACTAACGCTGACGAGACAACATGTGAACTCATTGTCGATTGTAAGTAAACGTAAAAAGTGCACCTCATCCAGCATGTAGGCAGCTCTTCGCCATTGGCAATGTTTACACAAATTAGACGTCGATACAGCTATTTTTATCATAGACATTTCGCTACTAGCGTTTTTGTGTGACTGGGAAGCATGGGCAGAAACTTGATTTTATGCAACTATCACGATTTTATGCAAGACTTGAAAAACAATGTACAAAATCTCAGTTGAAGCTCATAAGGCTTTATTGCTTAAAAAGCTTTCGAATATTTCATCGAAAATATCTTCCGCTCCTCCACCTGTTATAGGTAAAGCGCCTAATTAGAAACTAACAAACCGATTTTCCCAAAGTTGACGTGACTACACATAACGTAATAGGCAGTGAGTTTAATGGCAAAACGAGTTGAATTCTTGTTGAAATTTAGTTTTTTGTTTTGTTATCTGCAACCTAAAATCGAATTTTACATGTTATCAATGAGTAGAAGTTTATTGTTTTAGATTAATGACAATAACCGCTATGAGAAAAATATTTCATTATTTGCACCGACTTCATCATATCATATATGTGACCACTTACTATCCAATATTATATGGACTCGTATATAACATGTTTCTTATCATATCTAGTATCAACATTATATTAACTCCCTATTTCGTGCTAGTCAATTTTTAATGACCAATTGCATGCTGAGAATCAATTATTCATACTATCAGCAAGCTTATGAATCGTTCGATATTTTACCATCCAGTTCCTTATAAGTCGTATGAATTCTTTCATCTCTCAAGCGTTATATTTTCCGTTAACACCATTGAGTTCTAATGGAATTATTCATGTACGTCTGTTGTGAAAAGGTTTCATTATCACACACAAAACAGAATCATCTCATATACTAGTTAATTATTTTAAAAATGTGCCTTTTTGTTTGTGCACAACCTGTTCACCATCTTATAATCAATCATGGAATTCAGACGATATTATGCAGGTTCTGACGGTAAAATCAATGCGAAACTTGAATTGCAAAACATCAGAAAAAAATAATGCAACTGACACTCGATTCTTCAAATCCTTCTCATCAAATGAACGGATTTTTTTTTTTGTTTTATCCCTTAAGACCTTAAGACCTATCCCGTGACTAACAAGAATCTGTTGCAGGTGAGAACATGTTCAAGAAGAAGCTCCAGGACACGACTGTATACGAACGCACCGACGCTGTTTTCGAGGTCGAAGTCACTGATGTGAACGCGCCGGTGACGTTCTTCCACCGCGGCAAGGAAGTCACGCCTAGCGAGACCACGCAAGTTGAACAGATCGGCAAGGGACAGTACCGACTCACGTTCAAGAACTGTACCATCGAAGCCGATGAAGGAGAGGTCAAAGTAAGTTATTATCAATAAGTTTAATTAAATATTGAAGCCTATCTCTGCAGAAAAATTCTTGATTAAATATCAATGTCATGATGATTCTCGTATCTGTCCAAAGTCAATCTGAGTTTCAATTTCTGAAGCTTTTTGCGATGATTAAATTTACTCTCGGTCCCATCAGGCGGTGTCCGGGACGATCGAGTGCGCGTGTCAGCTGAGCGTGGGTGAGGGGGAGAAGCCCCCCAGCATCAAGCCCAAGGAGCCCATCGAGGGGCCCTGCAGCCGCCCCATCACCTTCGAGGTGCCCTACACGGGTGAGTGAAGTGCCCTACACGGGTGAGTGAAGTGCCCTACACGGGTGAGTGAAGTGCCCTACACGGGTGAGTGAAGTTTTTAGGTTATGGGTTAGTGTCACAATTTAACACTTTTATTTAATTGTAATTAATTTATCATTTTAATTTTTAATTTAATATTACCTAGGTTGAAACTTAGGTAACATTTTTCTATTTTCTTGCTTTTACAGCTGCATTAGCCAACGTTAAATAAATCTATTAAGAATAAAACTTGCTCGAGATGCGTGAACAACTTGTCCTCTTTTGAACAACTATCGCTGTGTTTGTTCAGTGCCTGGGCCAAGGTTGTCCAAAGTGGACGCGAAGCTCCTGAAGGATGGCAAGCCCATGAAGGACGTGGAGGTGAGCGTGCAGGACAAGCAGGTTGTGTTCACCATCAAGAAGCCGTCGCGTGACCAGACCGGCAAGTACACCATCAAGATGAGCAACGCAGCGGGCGCCAGCACCAAGGATGTCCACATCAACATGCAGGACAAGCCTGGACCTCCCACCAACCTCGAAGTGAGTCCTTCTTTGCAGTGCATTTCTTAGCACGGCTCTAATAAGTCGTCGTTAATCCTTCAGTGACCAACCAAAATTTCAAAGAATATCGGCATTACGCAATTAAGTTGTGAGTAAAAATAATCCATGACTTCTTGACTTGCTTACTTTGAGCAACTTTGGCTTCCTAATGCCGTCGCATTGCTCCGAAAATTTTCGGTAGTTCTCGGAAATATTTTTGGTCGTAGCTTCAATGCAACTTGATTGCATTCACGATTTCTTAACATAAATAAATATTGAATATGACCGGCCCCAAACACAATGTAAAAGTTCTGTATTAAAACTTTTCTTGAGCAATACTCTCATTTTAAACAGAGTTTTATACAATTACATCTAACCCATAGCAATGATACCTGTTATCTTGTTGCAGGTGACAGACATCTTCAGTACCTCGTGCTACTTCAGCTTCCAGCCACCGAGAGACGACGGTGGCATGCCGCTCACCTTCTACTCCGTCGAACGTCAAGACGTGTCGTTGAAAGGCAAGTTGAACCTAATATTTTCAGGTCACTAACCTGCCTACGAGAATTCATTTGCTAGTGAAAAGTGGTCGCGGACCACAATTTCTCGCTCCAGCACGGAAAGAGAGCTACCTGCATGCCAGATTCAAGTTGCATAAACTTGCGCGGGCCCATAGGCTCACAATTCTCGTCACAAAGTGCCTAGAAATTTACTTACATTTTACGTCACAAAGTGCCTAGAAATTGTATTGCTTTTCATTACATACCAGTCATGACAGATTATTGAACCGTTAGGAGAAATAATGCCCACATTTAAATATCAGAATGTTTTCACAGTTCAAAATAGTAAGTTAAGCCATCCTACGAGCATGTTCATAATTATAATTCTATAATAAAGACAATTCAATAATATCATTGGCGACATGTAACCTAAGATTGTATTTGAATGAAGGGTTATGCGAATTTCAGTTCCACCACTTCGAAAAGTTATCAGATAAATCGAATGTTCCGTCTGTACCCAACGCAGGAATGTACATAAGAAACAAGTACGTTGCCTTCAGGATCTTGCAGTTTCTTGCCTTGTCTTATCTGTTGGTTTCCTCTTGAGCTTCAAAACGGCGCTTGAGAGTCAAGCACTGCTTGCTGCGACACTTGATGCGCATGCCAAGCACTGCTTGCTGCGACACTTGATGCGCATGCCAAGCACTGCTTGCTGCGACACTTGATGCGCATGCCAAGCACTGCTTGCTGCGACACTTGATGCGCATGCCAAGCACTGCTCGCTGCGACACTTGATGCGCATGCCAAGCACTGCTTGCTGCGACACTTGATGCGTCCATTTTACTACTCACGAGCCTGTAGTTTAACACTGAATAACAAATATTCTATAATACTCATAGTTGGATGACAATAAACACTTTACGCTTGTTTCAACTTAAACTCAAATACACTTTGGCTTATTGACTCACCTGGTGAATATTTAGACTCATCACAGAGTCTATGCATGAGCGCTTACCTGCAGCGAAATGAATTTCTCGAGCCAGAAGCATTTGGCTCTCGCTTTTAAAGTAGCGTCTTGACATGCATTTCACTGCATAATGTACATTGTTTTTTTTCTTGCTTATTCTAACCTCTTGTTTCATTGTAGCTGGGATTGATTAGATTGATAGGAATATTTTGAAGGGGAATTTTTCGTCATTTTGAATGCTGATTTTTTTAGTGCAAATGTTCTGCACTTCAACTTGATGTAATATTTTATATAGCCTGTGGATATTTGCTGCTGAGTGTAGTTAATATTTCCCATCCGTTGAGTCTGTTTCCGGTAAAGGTTTTGTTTGCAATTTATTCAAAGTTCATTTGTCTTTTAGTAGATAATTTTTCAAAACTACCTTGAATGCATCATCAATTAAGGCATCTTTAGCTATTTAATACATCAGTTTGATGCTCTCAAATCTGTCTTCTGTATTGACTCTTGAAGCAAAAATTATACGTGCAATATCTTTGTTTTTAGACTTCATTTCACAGTAATAATTCCTATAGATTTACTAAACAAATTTATTCGGCAGTGTAGGGTTTTTTACGCACTGAAATATCTTTTTGCAGTGCATTGCACAAATTCGTCGAAATAAAGTTGACCAATTTTGGGTCTTAAAAATTAAATAATTCAATAAGAGGGTCTGATATCTTTTGAATTCAGAGGGTTTCAATTTGCTGTAAACAGTGATTGTTTGACGTTCAGCTTCTGTGTGGAATTACATTTGTGTATTTGGCCGCAACATGCAATCACCAAGCCGAACAAAGCTTCCTGTCTTCATTTAAATGCTTCTGTTTTAACATGTTCATTAATTCTACAGATAGCCACCCACGTGTCTGGGAGAAATCAGGTATACATCCAACCCCGATATTATAATTATAAATAAATAAAACTAGATAATAGATCTAAACACCATTGTATGGTGGCATGACGCGTTCAATAAATGCATTCTCGTAAATTCGTGTGATAAATAAAGTTTGCAGGACGTGCCTATAAAATGGATGTCCTGTATCATCAATGAATCCTCTTTCTGTTAAAATGCATGTCGGTCTCTCGGAACACTTGCCTCGAGACTCTCGTTAAAATATGCGTATCTTTTGAAATTTTCACAACAAAATTTTAAAAAAGTATTCAAAATCCTGATTGGTCATGCGTTTTATGAGCTAATTTGAGGAATTATAATTAATTTTTAATTAGAATTGTTCCAATTAATAAGGGGATTCATATTTAGGAAATGACGTCTGTCCCAACCTCTTTCATGCAGCCCAAATTTCGTCGTGGTCTCGTAGCCTTGGGTCAAGCTTGAGAGCGTGTAATCAATATTTTTGTATTCATTTAAGTTCATTAGAGTGCAATCCATGAGGCTGTGACACTCACTTGATTGGGTCAGGGTTCACTTGAGCTCCTCCCTTAAATTTGGTCATACCTGCTTACATATCAGCCTTACATAATCGAATCTTTATGAACTCGTGTATCGAGTCTCAAAATACCTGCTTACATATCAGCCTTACATAATCGAATCTTTATGAACTCGTGTATCGAGTCTCAAAATACCTGCTTACATATCAGCCTTACATAATCGAATCTTTAGGAACTCGTGTCTCAAAATAATGAGCCTGGGGCAGCTGTTCCGTGACTCATTCGAGCCTTATTTAGTTATGAAATCCGCAGGTGGACGCAGTCGTCATTTATGTTCCCGGTAAATAGCGTACCGATTATAAATCTTTGTGTTTTTATGTTATCTCTTCTAATCATTACCTTATATTTAATTATGTGAGTTTCTATTGAAGTGGCACTGACTCTCCACAGGTACCCTTCAGACTATTTGAATGATAATTTTACATTAAATTCTCCTTTGATTCAAGCATTTCCTCCTATAATAATAATAATTTCCTCCTCAAGCATTTCCTCCTTATTGATAATTGAAAACCTATTTTCAACAACGCATTGCGGGCGATAAAAACCATTTTTATTTGGCTAATTAATGAAGAAAATTCTCTACCATATATCCCCATAAACTTTCTTATCTGATACGATTTAAATTTGAATGATACGATTATTCGTCCTTTAAATTTTTATGTTGTACCCATTCCATACATATAAACATGTTTCTTGTCGCATTTAGAGATCTCGAAGTTTAGTAGTTAACATATGTAAGTCATTATATTATTGACCGTACATGTATATAATCAAGTTTTCATCCTCACATCCTATTAATCTTTCAACAGCGTGAACAAAAATTGGTTTTGTCAATGCAGAAAGTCATGTTCATGGTGCTATGCGTAGATTTGATTTTTTAACACGCACACTATACTGAAAGGTCTGTACAACCAACGGAAGCGAGTCTGGAGCTGAATGTCTATGTCAGTCACACGTTTGTTAACATTTATATTTCACTTCATATTGTTTCCTCCTAGGGATCTTTCATTTGCCACGATTTTTCAGTGCATGGCATGACAATTCTAAAAGATATTTCAAATGTATATGTTTAGCACCCATGGTTTATGAACTAGATGCGTTCATAAAAGATAAACAAGCCTGAAGCTTGGTGCAGACAAATTAATGAGGCAATGCAGATATTTTTTGAGTATTTATTTCACTTTTAGTACCAAACTGAGCATGAGTCCGGCAAGCTTTTCAGCTATTCGAAATACATAAGTAACTCAAGGTGTACTATGACTTACCATCCTTAATTTCGGATTTTATTCCTCATAGAAGAACAAAAATATGAGGTGGTTTTCTAAGACTCAATTATTCATCCTGGTTAACCTTAGACTAGATCCTACAAGTGATTGAACTTGTATCGGAACTCACGCGACTCGCGAACTAAGAACGGACGTGTTTTTTCTTATAGTGAGCCACTTTTCTTTTCGTCTCCCCTCACAGATAGTGTCCTTTTGTGTAGCCCATGGTCCTCAAAATTCTAAGTTTGTCATTGAAATATAATTTTCCTCTGTAATGTGTAACTATCTCTTCTAAAACCTTCAATAATTACATTTATCTTCGTATGATATGTTCTGTATCATCAACGGTGATGACGCTGTTCCTGCACACCTTATCGAGCTGCAGCTCTCACATCGCTCATACAACTACTACCTCTTCTCTGTCACCTTTGGCACCGCCAACACAACCCTTCTCAGACACCACCACCATGCAGTAGCTCTTCTCTAGCTCAACAAACAACAGCAACAATAGTTCTTCTCTGACCCCACCACCAATAGCCCTTCTCAGACACCACCACCAATAGCTCTTCTCTGTCCCCGCAACCACTAGCTCTTTGCTGACACCACCACAATTAGCTCTTCGCCACCACCACTACCTCTTCTCTGACACTTCTGGTACCATCACCAGGAACTCTTTTCTGGCACCACCACTACCAATACCAGAACGTCCCTGGCACTTCTCCCAACCCTGATACTAACAGCTCTCTGGCTCCTTCAGGCGGTTGGTCACAGATCGCTGAAGTGCCTGCAGACGAGACCCTCAAGATTAAGGTGGAGGGTCTGGAAAACAAGAAACAATACAAGTTCCGCGTGTCTGCCGCTAACAAAATGGGAACGGGAGAACCTGCCACGCTGCCTAAAGTCATTCTCGCCAAGGATCCTTGGGGTTAGTCTGGTCCAGTTTATACCATATGTGTCTGCCTTGAATAACCTGCTTTATTAAAATCGTTTTATGTTCGTAAATAGGTTCCAAAATTTCAAAGATTTTAGAATTCATTGAACCCATATAGGACAAATTGAATTTTAAAAACTGAATATTTTAGCATCTTTAAGGTGTTTTTCCTGAGAGGATACGAAATTTCCTTCTGTCTTCATACAGTCAATCTTTCTTTCCTAGACTTGGTAGCGTCACTGTGAATCTCATCGACCTCTATTACCATCGTAACATGAATTTCGTTCTAATTCAAGGTCACATGAACGTTTTATTATTTTCTTTCTCATCGACCTTTATTCCCATCGTAACATTAATTTCGGTGTAATTCAAGTTCACCTGAAAGTTTTAGTATCTACATTCTCATCGACCTGTAGTCCTATATTCTCATTGTAACAGTAATTTCGATGCAATTTAAGGTCACATGAACGTTTCTATGTCACAGTATCTTCATTCTCAAATTTACTGTTCGTTTCCAGACGAGCCCGGAAAGGTGAAGCACGTCGAGGTCACAGACTGGGGCCCCAACCACGCCGACCTGCGCTGGTCGCGTCCTGAGACCGACGGCGGCGCGCCCATCACGGGCTACATCATCGAGTACAGGGTGAGTGAACACTCGAATATTAATAGGATTTAATTATTGCAATATTAGGCTTTAGTTTCTGCAATGTTAGGATATAATTTTTGCACTTTTAGGGCGTTAATTTATACAGTATTAGGACTTTAAATTCGGCAATATTAGGGCTTTTATTCTCGTAATGTTAGGCTCTAAATCCTGCAATGTTAGGATTAAATTCATGCATTATTAGGGCCTTAATTCTTGCAGTATTAGGGCTATAATTTCTGCAATATTAGGGCTTTAACTCGTGTAATATTAGGCTCCTGCTTGTTCGCAGCCAAAGTTCTTTCATGAGAGATTAATTGATTCGATCAGGTATTCTGCCATGTATATTAAGGCTGAAAATAAGGATGCTCAAGGGCCGGAAATTTGTTAGCTTTCAATGGTTGATCGTGGAAATTAGGTCATTAATGGCTTCGAGGATATATATGTTGATTATACCTTTTTAAATGTTTTCTTCATTTTTTCCCCCAACAATTTTAATATCAAATTAGTCTTTTTTTCTGATGTACGGCATTTCATTTTTCCTCCTTACCTTCGGTGTTAAGGCAACAATAGTCAACCCTTTAGCCTTCCTACCTGAAATTTTCCTGATGTTATTTCCTTAATTAAGTTATCCTTCTGTTATTGATAATTGTTGTCCTTGTTTCTTCGCGTATTTCTCACCGAAAATTGCAGACGAAAAATCTCGAATATCATCGAGCAGCCACCCAGTCCAAAGCCCGTTACCCTCCGAATTCTTCTGAGTTTTTAACATTTTTCATTCGTAGCTTTTAAAATTTACAAATATGTGATTCTAATTTACCTACCTCGTGCTATAGGGAATTTCCAAGTGTGATGAATTTCTTCGGATTTTATTGATTCCCTTCATAGATCCCGAGAACAAATGATAAGTTCTCTTAGTTCTAGCTGCAAACAATCTGACCGAGCATTAATTTGAAATGGAGTACACACCTTATTGACTCATCCCTCACTCCCTTGTACCGTCTCAACAGACCCGTCCCATGCCCAAAGCTGAATCTGGTGGAATGGTAAGATCAGCGATCGCTGTCGTTGTACTCTCCAGCAAAACAAACCTTCTTGCTTTCTGCTGCAAGTCTTCAGACATGGTCCCTTATGATACTAGAATCGTACAACATTAAATGACAACTTTGTTTAATTTGACTGATTCCATAAATTAAAAATCTGCCGTGATTTTACAATCGAGTAAAAAGAGAATAATATGATTTACTTTTGATTCTGCAAAAAGATTTAGTTGTGATTCTGCAATAAGATTTAAATTGAATTTTCTAATTTTACCCCAAGTCGAAAGCATTGCAGCAAAAACGTAGACTGGAAGTTTTGCTCGAGTTGCACAGCTGTTATGTCGCTGTTGGTTGGACGCCGTCACTGTGCCGTATTATTTTGCTTACATTTTCGCACGCCTAACGTTGTCTTCTCTGTTGAATCACAGACGATATTATGCATTTGATGCTAAGTTGCCTTTGGATTTTGGTGCGGTATGCTTGGTTCATCATAACGTAGCCTAAGCTGTATTATTCATTTATTCTACTGCGTAAGATAATCGCCAATTATTTAAGTTGTTTTGAAAATAACATGTAATGAAGCATATTATTTCATATTGAGTTTTCATTTTTACACCGTTTTTTTTAGTTGATTCTCTTGAGTCTAATTAGTGGAGGAGCAACGTTGTCGTTGGCTCTTCTCTCATAGTTCTCAGATTGTGATCAGAAGACGGAGCTTCAAACAAATGATATTTAAATTATTTTTTGTTTCTGAAAAATGTTTGCTGCTCATGATAAACTAATAATGTTTATACAAATCTGATTATTCATCTAATTTAAAAACATATTCTAGTCAATGATCAATAACTATGTCATTCTCTCCGTAAGCATTCTTATCACTGGATAGTATGAGGTAATCTTGCACCTTTTTTATACAGTAATAATAATTAATAAGTAAAACAAATCGTCCATTAGACCTGAGTATCAACAAGCAGGTCAGATCATCTGTATGAAAGTAAGGTCATCAATGCTTCTTGATTTTGGTTCAGGCAGCAGAAATAAACACAGAAAGAATAATTCACGCTAAAATATTAGTAGAATAACCTATTGTTGTTTTGCGATGTATGTAAGGCACGTCCGTAACAATTTTAGTGTTGTACTACAAATGTGAATAGAAGAAAAAACGTAATTGCAATGACAATGCATATGAGTTACGTTTGTTTCTTCCTTTTCATTTATATTTCACTAATATTATAATAACACAATAAATCTTTTGTCCCAATAAATAGTTTCTCATAACAGCAATACATAATTGTGGAAAGATCCACAGAATTTGATGCAGTCACCTTCTAAGTAATTTTTCTATACGTTGTGGTCAAATCTAGTGCGTGAAATTTCGACTTATCGAAGCTCATCTTACAATTTGTTCAGGCGTTTAAATTTTTCTTTCTCATGATTATCTACTACAGCATTCTCAGTAGTTAAGAATTAGAGCCTTCTAAGTCCCGAGTCTTCTAATTCTTGATCAAAGAGTCTTCCAGTCGCGTTTTTTAAATCCTGATCTCAACAATCTTCACTGTAATTGCTTTCTTAAGGCGAGCCCTCTGTTTACTTCAGGGACTTGTATTTCAAGGGCTTAGAGGATGCTTACTGCATTGCCATATCTTGACAAGGTATCTATTTTAAATGTTATTTCATGAAATACTTGGTTCAGGAGCGCTTTGGTGACTGGAAGAAAGGCACCGAGATCCAGGGCGATGTTCTGGAGGGGACCATGAACGACCTCATCGAGGGCAACCAGTACGAGTTCCGCATCCTGGCTGTCAACAAGGCCGGTCCCGGCGAACCCTCTGACCCCACCGACCCCATTTGCGCCAAGCACCGCTTCTGTGAGTGACAATAGTGAAGTGTCCTCAAAAATGATGATATTTCTTGACACTTGAACAAATTGAACTAAAAACACTGAATCGGAAAACTCGTCTTTCTTGTTGGAAATTCAAATAAACTCATTTTAGTTACGTTATCATTGAAGTTTTTAAGCGAAGAAGTAGAAAGAGAATAGAAATTTCTCCTTCCCACTTGAAAAAATACAGTGTCAACACTATCACTATTCTCTCTTCTGAGCTGATTCCTCTGTGTAACTGACATAATATTTCCGTGACAATTCCGTCTAATCGACCTGCGGTTGAGATATTTTATTTTAGCCACCCCGTAGTGCGGTTTCTCTCTGTTCTGAAACAATTCATTTGGATAATTGAGATAATAATTATGCAAATTCCGTGTAATTGGCCTGCGATTCAGATATTTTTGGCGCATTTTCTCATTTATGTAAAAAATGCCCTATTGTGCTCGTCATGTCCGTCCGTCCGTCTGTCCGTGACTTCACGTTTTCGTCGACGAGAAAATACGCTCTCTGTCACTCACTGCAGTGAGTACTGAGTTATATTTTTATTGTGGTCACCCCACAGTGCGGCCTTTCATCAAGAACCCTGATGAGTTCAGGAACATCGTCATCAAGAAGGACAAGCAGTTCGTGCTCGACATCAAGTATGGCGGCGAGCCTGAGCCCACGGTCATCTGGAAGTTTGATGATAAAGAAATCATCGCTGACGACACGGAGAAGTGAGTTGAAAAGATTTCCCGTGATTATTCATTTTGATCTGTAATTATTACTACAGATTCATTATTTCCTCTTGCAACTTTAAGGATGTTAGACTGCAAATACCGGTATCAAGGAAAAGCTTTAACTTCGTAAGTCTTGCTAAATAATAAATTTGTGGATTAATTCTGGTGCTCTAGACGGTGTTCAGCAGGTCCAACGAATATCAGAGAGCACAACCCACATTGTGCTCATAGGTTGCAATGCACAACCCACATTGTGCTCATAGGCTGCAATGCACAAACCACATTGTGCTCATAGGCTGAAACTCACAACCCGCATTGTGCTCATAGGCTGAAACTCACAACCCACATTGTGCTCATAGGCTGAAACTCACAACCCGCATTGTTCTAATAGGTTGCAATGCACAACCCACATTGTGCTCATAGGCTGAAACTCACAACCCGCATTGTGCTCATAGGCTGAAACTCACAACCCACATTGTGCTCATAGGCTGAAACTCACAACCCGCATTGTGCTCNCACTTTCAATGCAATGAGCGCAACACACTTTCAATGCAATGAGCGCAATACACTTTCAATGCAATGAGCGCAATACACTTTCAATGCAATGAGCGCAACACACTTTCAAACATAGCGAAGTTCTCTAGTGGATCACACTCAGATTGCCACGACTGCTCACACCCGATGAGAAAAATGCAAGCTTCTAGAAAGTTTCTTGTGATAATGATCTTTAAGCTAAGTTACGATTCAATTTTGAACACCGCCACTATATCGGGGCTGAAAGATTTTCTGAATTATTAACAACTGTTTGTCGTTCACTTTTTTGAAAGTTACAATTAAATAAAATTTTCATTTTTGTTACGATAAAAATATGTCCAATGTTGATATTCCCGCGTACATCTTTATTATTATTTCTCTTTCAGCGTTATTATAGTTATTGTTATTATAATCATTATTATTCTATAGATAAATTATTATAATTTATTATTATTTTATAAGCCTAAACGTTTCATTTGGTGTTTAGTCATATATAAATGTTATTCAATGAAGGTTAGTTTCTTTGATTATGTATATTATAAACTTTTACAAACTATTTTACTCTGAGCTTTTTGCATGTATTGTCACCAAAGACAATAAGCTTCGGTTATTGTTCGATCTCTCAAAGTTCTTCATGACACGGATACGGTTACTGAAGACCTTTGTATACTTCTCATTTTGTGGATTGTTCTCTTTTTTTAAGCATAAATGTTTCATGTACAGTCAGTGTCTACGTGTACTTTCCTGTATAACTAAACAAAAATTGATTTGTTCTTGATCAACATGACCAACCTGAAAGTAAGTCGGCAGCTCAGCGAAAGGCGTCAAAAGATCAAAAGTAATTCGCCGGTGCCTATTTTTACAGGTTGGGGTCTCCCTTCAACTGCACCAGGTGACCGGCGTCTTCAAAGTAGACTGTGCCTTTCTTTTCATATATTTGCCATATTCCATTGAAATGTGCAATTTTAATTCATATTTATTCCTCGCTTTATAAGCGATATGTTGCTAGTATTCATCCTCAAAAGTTATCTCAATTCAAACTAATATTTAACGAACTACAACTGTATGAGATCACATGTTGAATAGCAATGGAAACTCAATGGAAATGGCAAGTTAAGGGATGAAAGGCATAGTTAAATTGGACTCTACATTATCTAATCACATAAATGCTATGTTTTCTGCCTAACGCTTAACATTGTCGCTGTATGCAACCAACGCTGAGTTCATGGACTCGTATTCTTGCTTGGTAGATAAGATCTGAACATTTATTCGGTTACTGTGTAAGTATGATTCTGATATAAACAAACACTCAGATAAATCAGTGAGGTTTTGTCTAAATAGCGACGCACTTCTGTTATTGTGTGGGTCATTATGACCCAGTTTGTCCCGAATAATGAGCGTATCTGTGCTACGAGCTGAAAAAATTGTGTGTTGCTATTATGACAATTCCCCATTAATTTTTCTGAGAGTGCACGCTCATTCGCTTACTAGCTGCACCACGTACTTTGGTTCCGAATGTTAACTCTATAAATCAACTTTATTTAAAGTTCTTAAAAATTATTCTAAAAGCCGTACTTTACTGAGAACCACTCTAATACAAGAGATATTTTTGAAGGAGAAATGCATGCATTTTCTTTATCTATAAATTTCAATAAGTTCGCGGCTTGGAAATGTCTCCAACTTTCGCTTATATTGATTATTATTTTAATGGTGAGACTTGAAAAAAATTTAGTTTGCATTTACTTCGGAGATAGATGGTGAATTTCGAATTTTCCGAGTCTCTTTTATATTTATTCTACAGAAAATAACTAGAGATTTCAACGCGTTTCATAGCCCACGTAGGTTCAACAACAGACTTCTTACACAACGATCTAAGTTGGTGGGTTCAAAGTACTACTTGCGAATTTCGATAAGCACTGAATAAAATGTAAATATGTTAGTAATTCTCGCTTATATCTATTTTAGATTTTTACCAAACAAGATAAGACTGGTGGGCTCAATGCGGTATGTTGCGATATGCCTAAAATTTTGCGAAATGTTGCGGTCAATCGCAATATCGTGCGATCCGTCGATATATGTTGCGATATATTGAGATATGTTGCTATAAATTCAAATATATTGCAGTCCGTCGCAATATTTTGAAACAAATCTCTATATCTCACGATGTGTTACCCCGGCTTCTAGCTCGCATAGAAAAAGTCACTAGAATCGAAAAGTCAATAAATCGAAAACATTCTGACGCATGTTTCAAAATTCTAGTGTGATCAAAAACTCCATTGCTATTCGTTAGTGCATTTCATTTTCGTAAAATAAATATCTTATATTGTTTTTCCTCTTCACAACCGTGTCCCGACTTTTAAATGAGTTGAGGTGTATTCGGTTTGCTCAGCTTAATTAAGTCACATAAATTTCCGTGCAGTTTAAGCCATTAATAAATTTTATTATTTTGCATGTACTCCGAAAATTACCTCCCGGCTTAATTTTTTATTATTATAAAATTTATCTGGTAATGACTGCGCAGGTACGTAAAACTTGTGTTTTTGTTAAAATAACTACCTTGATTTTTTCTTAAATTGTAAATGTGTGCATACCGTATAAATACCGTCATGAGGTTCGTCCTCGCTACCGGCCTCTTGGCACGTCCATTACCGCGTGACAAGTTTCACAGCTTAGATAATAAAAACATTGCGAATAGATATTATGGGTAATAACATCACAAACCGAGTTATATGGGAGATAATATAAAATAGGGTAAAAAAGAGAGATAACCATTTCTCTCAGCGCACGGCAGCGGCTGGTCGCATAGCGTGCGTGTACGAAGGTTCATCTTATATATGGAGCAGAGGACACAACCGTGCATACTTCTGCTGAATGTCTCAAACTATCAAACGGAGTTTCGATAGTTTTTTATAATTATGAGATATTTCAAGAGATTTTATACAATTTTCAATATTATTAGCAATAATTAATTTTTCCTCTGATCTTCTGAATAAAATTGATTCTTCTTCGGAGTCGACAGCTCCAGGAACTGTGGAAGATGGGCGCTCGTATCGATATTCAGGTTGGAAAATACCGACACTGACGAAAATTCTACAGAAAATATATATTCATATTCATGACGTAAGATTGCTTCATTGAATCTATGTTCATGTTCTTCGATCGGCTGTTACAACCAACGTCCCCTTTGACCATTCATATTTATAAATCAGGGTTTAGATGTCATTTCGGAATACCCGGAATACATGTTTATTTACCAGCACTCTGGTGCGGTGCTTCCTTCATGGGCGCCGAAAGAGAGTTTCAATTGAAATTTGCTTGCGGGTTTCTGGTCGAGAAAAAGCTTATCAGGAGCCAATGGACAGAATAAATACAAGCAAATTTAATTTTTAAAGAATTTATTTAATCCAAATGACTGGCGCCATTTGCCATTCACATGCCGTAGTGTATTTTCCTTAGAAATAAAGCTGTTCGCGAGTTTAAGGTCCTAAACATTTTTCACCGGTTACTATTTTCAAATAACTAATCCAATACCGCTTGTTTGCAATGCAAATCAAACTTGATAACCATAACACTTATTCATATGACGTCCCGTTCACGACTTCCATTGTTCGATTCTTATTTAGATGTGTATTCCGGTTTAAAGTCCATTCTTTTCTAATTTCCCTGTAAAAAGGAAACTGCCAATGAGATCGTATCAGAAAAAAATGCCTGACGCTGAATACTCGCTTTCCAGGATTACCATTGACCAGTACGAAAGGAATACGGTGTTCACGCTTCGTAAGGGCGTCAGGAAAGACACTGGCAAGTATAAGCTTGTGCTCGTCAACTCCGTGGGGCAGTGCGAGGAGGTAGCAGACGTCGTTGTGCTCGGTAAGTCTGCCTGCAACCAATTATTCATAAAATTTGTCTGCAGTGCCTTTCAGTGCAATCATATCCGTAGTGCCTTTCAATGCCTTTACCCATAATTCACCATGAATAAATAAGAAACAAATTTTTATTCAACTGTACACTCGGAAAAATGAGAGTGATAAGATAAGAGTGATCAAATATTGTGCACCTTTAGCCTCTGCGTGGGACTCAGGGGCTCAGTTTTTTAGCTTCTCATCCTGACCAAGTTCGTCATTGTGCGAGGCGTATCAGTGCTACGTCCGTTCTCAGCTCGTGCTGTGAATAAAATAGCATGTCCGCTATTCAGGCAAATGACCCATTCGTTTCATTCAGTGTTCATTCATTTCCAGCTAAACCTGAAAGGCCGGAAGGTCCGCTGTTCCCTGAGGAGATCCGCGACAAGCACGTCAAGCTGCGCTGGAAGAAGCCCAAGGATGATGGCGGCATGCCCATCCAGGGCTACATCATCGAGAAGATGGACCTGGACACGGGCATCTGGGAGCCTGCAGGAGAGGTGAGACCACAGCTCATGCAGGTCTTCTTTGATATCCTGACAGTTTCTGATTATTCTGGAAAATCAGAATTAATTTTTCTGCCCAAGATTTGTCCTACCAGAATAAAAATAACCTAATCTTACTTAAACTCACATATCTGAATATGATCGGTCAAGGTTTAAGTATATCAGCGGTGGTGCCGGGCCCACAAATAATAGCGGGGTGACGTCAAATACGCAGTTTTATCACACGTAGACGCAAATTTTGGTGGTCTAGTTCTTGCCCGTTCAAAGTTGCTCGTTGAAACAATTTAGTATATGCTGATTAAATCTCTATTTATTTTAAGAAAAGACTGTATGTAAAACTGGTGCGCACTGCTTCAATAGATGGGAGAAAATTACTTCGAATGAGTTTACATTTTTATTGCAAATCTTTCGACATGGTGGTTACGATTATTAGAAGAGGTGTAGATAATTTTATAAAACATGAGGTTTGTCTTAAGATTTCGAAAATCTTGGATAATAAGCAGGTCACGTGAGACCTATTAGCTTCTTTTTTTAAAGCCAAAAATGATTTTTGTAAGAATATTTACTTGTCTATTGTCCTTGGAAAACAGAGTTAGAGAATGATTACTGCTCCTAGACCATGATTCACACTCCGGCTTTTTGGCTACACAGGTCACAGCTCCGCTCAAGGAAGAGTTCACCGTAGACGGTCTAACGCCCAAGAAGAACTACAAGTTCCGTGTGAAGGCCTACAACAAGGAGGGAGAATCTGAGCCATTGGAGAATGACGAGCCAATCAAAGCACGCAACCCATACGGTCAGAGGCTATCGCCGACTAATTGATAGTGATGATAGTACCTAACCTAAAATTGTTCTTCACTTTCTCTGATTATTGTCAAATTTTGTTTTGCAATAATTCTCTATGCTTAATTAGATTTGGATCGCTAACAAAAACGATTGAATATTAATATTGAGATTTGTAGTTATGGTATTTTTTTTAAGAAGTTCATTGAAATAACTAAATTTGAATACGCAGATGAACCCGGAAGGCCCGGGAAGCCCGTGGTGCAAGACTACGACAACACGATGGTGGTGCTGCAGTGGACTCCTCCCGAGACGGACGGCGGTCGCCCGATCACCCACTACACCATTGAGATGAAGGAGAAGCTCTCCGTTGAGTGGGTGAAGGCGATCGACACGCCAGACACCAGATGCGAGATGCAGGTGCCCAACTTGAGGGAGGGCAACAACTACACTTTCCGTGTACGCGCCCACAACAAGGCGGGCTGTGGTGAGGCGTCCGAGCCTTCGGACAACCATCTCTGCAAGCACAAGAACCGTAAGTTCTAGAGTCACTTATTTTCAGATATAATTAGATGAATAATTAGGAAGTAAACTTGTACATATCAAAATTATTGCATTATGCTCAAAATAAATTCATTTATCATTGTTATTGAACGTATGAAAAATATAAAAGTCTTTCATTCGATGGGTTAGTTTTTGGAATTGTTTCAGGATTACGACTACTGACGATAATTTTTTCACAATTTACTTTGTACGTGTGTTCAGTGAAGCCTCGAATCATGCGAGAAACCTTCAAGACCGTAACCATCAAGGTCGGACGCAGCCACAAGTGGGCTGTTGACTACATCGGCGAGCCAGATCCCGAAGTTTCGTGGATATTCAAGGAGACTGTGCTGGAAAATTCCGATCGAATTAACATCGAGAACACTGATCACCACACTGAGTTTTCAGTTACTAATGCCAAGAGGAAAGATGCTGGCCTCTACACTCTCAAAGTTGAGAACAGGAATGGTTCTGACCAAGAAACCGTGGAGCTCGTCGTCCTAGGTGAGTGGTTCTGATCAACTCCAGTACTCGATAACGACTACGTTTGCTGGCTCATAGCAGCGTTTAGGTGAGCATTGGAGTCAAAAAAAATTTCGGTTCTTATGAGTCAAGATTAAAAACCGAACCTCAAGGACTGTGATCACGGTTGCTAAAATAATTCTTGATGTGTATGCCCAAAGTTTGAGTCGAGTGAGGCGCGAGGAGTACTCGAGATTAACGAGTATTTTGCTCTTTTGCTAGTAAATTGGGTGGCTGGTTTAAATTTGTGCCACGAGCTTTTTTGGCGGGAAGATTCTTTGATTCATCGATGCGCTGGGTGGATTTGTTGTTGGGTGAATTTGTTGGGAACCTTAAATTAAGATGAGCGAATGGACTGTAATGAAGCAGCTTAAAATTTAATTAAATTTGCTAGAAAAAATTCCCGTTTAGGGATAGTTGCCAAGGCGTTTGTTGAGATTTTGTATGTTGCACAATAATATTACTGAAATAATTGTACTTCGTTATAAATAAATTGTTTCCGTTGTGTCCCGCAGGCAAACCGTCCAAACCTAAAGGTCCCCTGGACGTGACGGATGTACACGACACAGGATGTAAACTCAAGTGGAAGGAGCCCGAAGACGATGGTGGAATGCCGATAAAGGAGTATGAGATCGAGAAGATGGATCTCGCGACTGGAAAATGGGTCCGGGCTGGAAAGGTAAATTTCTTAAATTAAGCCCCTCCCCCCAATTACTTGAAGATGGTTATTTGAATATTTTCCTAATAATTACTGACTGCATTAATGTGATTACAGGAAAGATCTATTTCTGCAACAAAATAATGGCAAAGAGTAATCTCAACGATAAAAATAACACGTTCTATTTACCCAGTGTCCTGGCAATGTGGTACCTCCCTTCTTTGAAGTCGAGGGTCTCGAACCCGGCCACCAGTATAAGTTCCGCGTCTCGGCCGTGAACAACGAAGGAGAGTCTGAGCCTCTAGAGGCGGACCAGGCTATCTTGGCGAAGAATCCTTACGGTGAGCATCATTTTCTACCACGTTGGTTCCGTATAATGCATTCATTTAAAAGTAGGGATGAAATTTGTAGAGGTTTGCTAAACCAAATTGAGGCTAATCAAGTTCATCTCCCAACCAAATGGCTGTCTACTTCCGCTCGAGATCCCATTCTCTCATGGGAGACTTGGTAATAGTTCTGAGAATTTTTTTTTTGGTGCTAAAAGTTATCTAAATCGATTTCTGATATTTATTTTATCTACCAAACTGGCGTTTTTATCTAAAAATTGCAAAGGAGATGAGCCTAATTAAAATTTTGAATTTAATCACAAAAATTACTGTTGCTAAAATGACCTAATGAGAAAGGAAATCAACAACTTCAAAATGGCCTTTGAAGTTGTTTTAAAATGGCAACAACTTCAAACGATTAGTGAAATGTAAAAACATTGGTCAATGTGTCTAGGGTCAGAATGTTACTTTTCGTATCCTAAGACGGATTAAATTCTCATCCTACCAGACGTGCCTGGTGCACCTGGCCGTCCTGAGATTACGGACTACGACAACAAGTCGGTTGATCTCAAGTTTACCGCCCCCATGTCTGATGGCGGTGCTCCGCTCATCAAATATATCATCCAGAAGAAGGATAAGTAAGAAAATCTCACGTGTTTGTTATTTACTGCTGATAAATTTATTTTACTGGAAAGATTTATTTGTTTTATACTAATCTTCCCTGATTGAGGTATTCGCACCGAATGACCGAGTCACGATGCAAAATAGGATGTGCATAATTTGAGTTATCATGAAATACTTTCAGCCTCGTTTAAGTTGAGTAATTTTTAATATTGTTAGAACCTTCATTCTATGAGAAGTTTAACAGAAATATTTTATCCCCATCAGATTCATGCCTGAGTGGGAGACCGCATCAGAAATCAAGTGTGACCTATACACGCCTCTCAAGCCTGGTGAACCCATCGAAGCAACTGTAGGCGGTCTGAAGCATCGCGCTGAGTACATGTTCCGTGTGGTTGCCGTTAACAAAGCTGGCCCTGGACCTGAGTCTGAGCCAACAGACTATCATCTCGTGAAGCATCGTGCTTTGAAACCAAGGATCGATCGCACTAACCTGAAGCAAACCACTACAAAAGCTGGACGCAATGTGAAGTTTGACATCAACATAGAAGGTGAGCCCGCACCTACAGTCAAGTGGTACCGCGATGGTGAGGAAGTCAAGGATGAAAACATCACAATTGAGAATGTTGACTACAACACTAAATTCGCCATGATTTCTGCGCTACGAAAGGAAGGTGGCACATACAAAATAGTTGCTGAGAACATCCATGGCAAAGACGAAGCTGAAGTTGAGATTATCGTGCTAGCTGCTCCTTCTAAGCCCAAGGGACCGCTTAAAGTCACCGACGTGACGAAAAAGAGCTGCAAACTCAAGTGGGAGAAACCTGACGATGATGGTGGCATGCCTATCAAGGAATACTTGGTCGAAAAGATGGACGTTGGCACTGGCCGTTGGATGCCTGTAGGCAGGACCAAAGATACAGACATGGACGTGCCCGGCCTTTCTGAGGGCAAGGAATACCTTTTCCGTGTGAAAGCAGTAAATGAAGAGGGAGAGTCTGAGCCGCTCGAGGCTGACCACTCCATTATTGCTAAGGATCCTTATGGTCCACCTGGTAAGCCAGGCGTGCCTGATATTTTCGACTGGGACGTGGACCGCGTAGACTTGAAGTGGCAGGCTCCTAAAGACACCGGCGGAGCTCCCATCAGTAAGTACATAATTGAAAAGAAGGAGCGCTACGGATCGTCCTGGGAGACACTTTACGAATCCGAAGGCCCCGCAACGGAGTGCCGTGCCCCGGGTTTGGTTGAGGGCAACACTTATCAATTCCGTGTCGTTGCTGTCAACAAGGCTGGACCAGGTGAACCTTCGGACCCAACTAAGCCACATCTTGCTAAAGCTAGGTTCCTGAAGCCTTACATCAACAGAGACAAACTGAAAAAGGTCACCGTCCGTGCCTCGCAGCGAGTGTTCTTAGAAGTCGACGTTAAGGGTGAACCACCTCCAGAAACTTGGTGGACCTTCAAGGGAAAGAAGGTGGAGACAGATGCGCACCGCTCAGTGCAGAATGAAGACTACCTCACGAAGCTTCTTATCAGTGACTCTGAGCGCATGCACTCTGGCATTTATACCATCCATGCTGAGAACAGCTCAGGAACCGATGAAGCCGAAGTAGAAATCTGCATCCTGGGTGAGTTTTCACACATTGCTGGATATTGTTCACACCACTTACTATGGTAGATATTATTCATACTAGTTCAAATTAAAATGTGATTCACTCTACTTAGGATGCAAGAAATTTTAAATAATAATAAAATCTTAGTCGGAGAGCTCTTTAGATGATGTCAAGCATTGAATTATTAACTCAAAACAGAAAACTGGTGCATGGAATAACATTAGAGATATTAAATTTTGTACTAAGGATATTTGATTGGTTGACTCACCAAAGAGTGACCATTTTCACTGAACAAAAATGTTAATGCTAGGGCTGGCTGCACCATCGAATCAATTAACGATTAACTCCCTGATGGGAAATAATTAATTGATTCCATTGAAGGAATTCCGCTGTCAATTATTATCTATAAATTAAATGATTATTATGTATGTGAGGCAGCAGCTCACATTTGAAAATCCACTGTACAAATACCTACGATTATGAGATCAAATTTAATTCAAATCTAGTTTCTCATTCAGAAATTATACAATGCCTAGTCATTTTCGTGACTCATTAAAGCCCGTGAATATTAACGCATGCAGCCTAATTTTAGGACATAATTTCCGAACTCAGAGACGAGTAGTATTTTGAAAATATTGTTTACAGAAGACTTTCTCGTTTCCCCAACGAGATAGGCCGGTAGCTCTAATAAGTAACCTGCGTAAACCTTAATTAATGAGCGTTTGCTATTGCAGATCGTCCTGCTAAGCCTGAGGGGCCACTGGAGATCACAGACGTGCACAAAGAAGGCTGCCACCTCAAGTGGGACCCTCCTCGCGACGACGGAGGTCTTCCCGTCGACGAGTATGTCGTCGAGAAGATGGATGTCACCACTGGTGAGCTACACTAGTGCTTACGATGAATTAGTAGTTCCTTCAATGAATTAGCCATTCATTCAATTAGTCACTTCATTAGTCCATTTAATGAATCTGCCGACGACGAGTACGTCGTCAATAAGATGGATGTCACCACTGATGAGTTTTCTCGGTACCTTCAACGAAGTACTGGACTGTACAGTAAAAGTGTCTTATTGAAAGTTTTCAGATTAATCGAGGGCTTATGACTGTGATATATATAGAGAGATTGAAGACGAAATAAACATGCATCCAGATGTTTTTACAATAAGTGGCGATGTATGGTAATTATTTTCTGTCAGATAATTTACCTGCTAGGGTGAAATTTTGAACTAAAAAAGCTAACTCCGTGCAGGCAAGTGGGTTCCATGTGGACGCGTGCCAGGCGACGCCACGGAGATGGACGTGACTGGCTTGGAGCCCGGCAAGAAGTACGAGTTCCGCGTCAAAGCTAAGAACGACGAGGGTGAATCTGATCCTCTTGACGGCGAGAACGCCATCGTCGCCAAGGATCCGTTCGGTGAGTTCTAATTTCTCCAAATTACGCCTGGTTTAGAAAATTCATGCACATCCCTCTTAAGCCTCCAAAAGCTAACGTTTAAAATGCGATATACTATTTTTGATTATACCCTCCCTCCAACATCAATTTTTATATTCAGCATTCGAAATGTTCGAAAATTTACTTCACAGACAAGCCTGGTCCTCCTGGTCTACCCGACATCGTGGACTTTGACGAAAACAGCGTCAAGCTGAAGTGGGATCCACCAATTAGGGACAACGGCGCCCCCATCACTGGCTACATCATCGAGATGAAACCCAAGAGTGGCACCGTGAGTTAACCGAAATTTAAATGTATTAATTTATGCTAATTTATGCGAAGCTATGCAGGAGTATATGTTCAGTCTTAAAATGCCTAGCAAATTACGGACCAGGCAATAAGTCCAGCAGCTATCTCAATCAATCGTCAGCTATGTAAAGATCGGGTTCCAAAGGCCGGATCCCTTGTGAATCAAGTCACGAAAAGTTCAAGAATCGGCAACAGGCCATGGACCTATTTCTTCAACGCCGACGCTTCTATTCTATTCTATGCTATTCTATAATTTGATCTACAACAGTTAACCTTAAATGACTGATTCGTGAATACATAGTGTTTGCATTTCAATTTAGAGTGAAGCTGTATCGTAGCGGCAAATAATCTTGTTAAATATTCTATTCTTAATGAAGGTGTCATGCATTCCTCGTAGTGGGATAATTATTGAGTGTTACATGGATAATAATAGTGAGTGAACGCTCACTGGTGAGGCGTTGAGGCCTCAGGACGAGGCAGCTTGCAACGGCTGGTCTAATCTGGAGTTTGGCTAAGATGCCATTGCTCCCGAAAGAATAAGATGCAACTCATTCGATTTGAGGTTCTAAGAGAACTATCGCAAGCCAATCATATGAGGTTAGAGAACTATCTCAAGCTAATCAAGGTACGCACTCCAGAGCAGTTAGCAGTTTCTTTTTGCAGTTAGAGAAGATATAGAATGAAACGATAATCATTCTCTTAGCGTTTATCACGCTTAAAGCGATTCAAGTGTTATTATCATGTTTGATCTAGGTCATTACAGACCATTTATATTGTAATTGGCAATGGAATTATCCTCTTGAATATCCTGATCAGGTATCTCTACACAACTCGTTTTTAATTGCAAATAATTTCTTCGTCGTGCGCATGTAACTTTTATTACGTGATCTAAAGAAGGCCAAACATTACGCAATGTTTCAACAGGTGTAATATTAGTTACTTTAATTAAATGTTATTCTGATTATAGAATATGAATAAATGAATTAATATTTCTGGCTTTTTCAAACAAAAAATACATGCATGCATGCGGTTGACCTGATCGTTGTTCTTTTGGAAATGATACTTGATATTGGTTAACCTTTCTGAACTTGCTCTTTATTAAACTTATTGAATTTTACAAAATTGTTTTCGTTTTGGCGCCGTTCAATTTCTTCCCCAGATCGCAATTATTCATAGTAAATGAAAAAATGCCAATTAATGACATTATTTTGACTACCTCATTCAACAGGAGTTTGTGAAGGCTGCCGAAATCAAGGGCAACACCCCGCAAGGGACCGTGAAGGGCCTGGAAGAGGGAGAGAAATACGAGTTCAGAGTCCGGGCCATCAACAAGGCCGGCGTCGGAGACCCGTCCGACGCGACGCTACCACATCTCGCGCGCGCCAAGTTCCGTGAGTACTGGGGGCTTGTGGTACGTGTTGTAGCAGGTGTTGTAGCAGGTGTTGCAGCAGGTGTTGCAGCAGGTGTTGCAGCAGGTGTTGCAGCAGGTGTTGCAGCAGGTGTTGTAGCAGGTGTTGCAGCAGGTGTTGCAGCAGGTGTTGCAGCAGGTGTTGCAGCAGGTGTTGCAGCAGGTGTTGCAGCAGGTGTTGCAGCAGGTGTTGCAGCAGGTGTTGCAGCAGGTGTTGCAGCAGGTGTTGCAGCAGGTGTTGCAGCAGGTGTTGCAGCAGGTGTTGCAGCAGGTGTTGCAGCAGGTGTTGTAGCAGGTGTTATCGATGGCGATGTATCAGATGCCGCTGTGTTGTGACAGGTGTTGTAGTGAGCGGTGCTGTGTTGCGGTAGCAAGTATGGGACATTCATGTATTCGAATACTGTATTCGAATTCAAACTCGTATATTATGTTCCAATTCGAATATTATATTAGAATTCGAATTTGAATATAGTATTCAAATTCGAATATAATCCGATGCGACGCTACCTCACCTCGAGCGCGCCAAGTTCCGTTAGTATTGGTGGCTTGGTGTGGTCGGTAGTGCGCTATTGCAGCGATTTTTTTGGTGTCATGGATAGTTTAAGTTACATAAACATGTCAGTTAGACATTAAGTGATTACTCTTCTAGCATTTGAGCTTCCTATTCTCTTCGTGATAATGGAGGAAGAATTTCAAACTCAGCTCATTGCAGTGCTTTGATTGGTTGCCTCGACATTTCGGCAGTTAAATGTCGATGAATTCGTTGTGAATGTGGTGGTGAACTATATATAGTGAATAGGCATAATAGTTTCTCTCCTTTTTGTTAGAAAATTTTTAGTCATCAATTATACATTTGGAGGCAAATTTTTATCTGAAACTATCTGTAATATGCTTTATAAAATTATAACTGGGCAATACAGACAGAAAATGCTTAAACATTTTTATTATTAAGTAAACCAAGGATGCTTGACCTGTTCCAGCTCCACACGACTTATACGGTATACCAGTGATAATTATGGCAATGAGTAATCTTTTTTGCCATGGATGGTATGGCGACCAATCTTGTTACTGCTACTGGCAACCAATCTTATTACTGTTACTGACTACCAATCTTATTACTGTTACTGACTACCAATCTTATTACTGCTACTGGTAACCAATCTTATTACTGCTACTGGCAACCATTCTTGCTACTGGCAACCAATCTTATTACTGTTACAGGCAACCAATCTTATTACTGTTACTGGCAACCAATCTTATTACTGTTACTGGCAACCAATCTTATTACTGCTACTGGCAACCAATCTTATTACTGTTACTGGCAACCAATCTTATTACTGTTACTGGCCACCAATCTTATAACTGTTACTGGTTACCAATCTTATTACTGTTACTGGCTACCAATCTTATTACTGCTACTGGTTAACAATCTTATTACTGTTGATAAAATATTGGTTTTATTCCTACAGGTGCGCCTCGCATCGACCGTACGAACCTGACCAAGACGGTCCTCAAAGTCGGCGCTCATCACCTCTTCGACGTGAACATCGCCGGTGACCCCTTGCCTGTCAACACCCTCGTCTTGAACGATAAGGTGCGCTTTCTCGAACTAATTGCATATTTTGAATACTAATAGGATCAATAAGTTAGCTCATCGAAAATTAGAATTTTTGTGAATAATAGCGAATATCCAAACGATCGACCGTTCAGGCAGATGAGTATACATTTTGCGAGTTAAATTGGAATAGTTTGATTGGAAGGTATAAATGTTTTACCTGCCTGCACTGTAGCCTGATCGTGTTAAAAATATTTTGCTGAACATAGCACTCGTTAGTGAATTGTATTAGATTTCTATCGACGAATCTATCACCATATTTCCACATTATCCTGGAGCCATTTCTGGCGGTGCAATGCCGAATGTTGTCTGTGGGTAAAATCCTAACAAATTTTTCCTCTCATCAAAAGCATGACATCTTTACAGCCATGTTAAGTAGCCCCTCAGCCGCCGAGATGAAACATGAATAGCTTTTAGCTAAGCCAGTAAGACATGGGTGATCTAGCCATATTTAGAAGCCATTTAGCCACCGAGATCAAGCATGAATACCATTTAGCTAAGCCAATAAGACATGGGTTATCTAGCTACATTTAGTAGCCATTTAGCCACCGAGATCAAGCATGAATAGCTTTTAGCTAAGCCAGTAAGACATGGGTGATCTAGCCATATTTAGTAGCCATTTAGCTACGGAGATCAAGCATGAATACCATTTAGCCAAGCCTGTAAGACATAGGTGATCTAGCCATATTTAGCAGCCATTTAGCCACCGTGATCAGACATGAGTAGCTAAGCCACTATAAGCCATGAGCGTCACACTGACACCTCTAAGGTAAGTACCTAAACTGCCTGCGCATGCGCCGGACGCCTCATAAATGATCTTATGACGACCACACGTCGACATTGAGGCTTAATTTATTAGTGCGTCCTACATGAACATGTTTCCGTATCAGTCCTGTCTGTTATTTCACATCTTAAATAGCCATTTTAGATCTCATAAAAAATGCTCAAGTAAATTGAACGATCGGGTTGCTTTTTTAAACAGTGCTGTTGAATGTACGTCCTTAAAAATTTTCTCGGGTTTGAGAAGTCAGCCTGGATTTGATAGTCAAATTTAAACATCGTTTAATTGCGCATATCTTAAGTACAATCGCCTTGCTTATTTCTCTTTGTTTATCGTCCTTCAAATTTTATTTAGCCCATTCTGGCTGGTCCAAATATTTTTCGAAACTAATATTATAGTTCCAAATAAATGATAAATGTGTAATTTCTAGAAATCTACCGTGCTATATAATACTGGCATCTCCTGAAAGTTCCCTATTAGACATGTCTTGGCCACTAACAATCATATTTTAGGCCAAATATCAATTCCATCATTGGGTTGATAGGGCCGTCATGCTATTAATATTCATTGTACGCTCAGCACACAATTATAAATCGAAGTCTTTTAAAAATTATTAGCAAATTCTAACTTTTCTTTTATGATCCTGATCGTCTTCAACGCCTGTAGCCATTCTTGAACAATTTCACTTCTTGTTTTTCTTTTGCTGTACGGCTTCAGATGTTACACGATATTCAAAAGTAGAAGTTGGATCAGAAGCGTTTTAAGTATTGTAGATATATTTAAATGAATGTTACCGTGTAAATGATAAACTGCTCGTGCTTTAAGTGTTGCACATTAAACCACATTCTCTCGTGGTATAAATATTCTCTAATGATCCGCATGACCTTCATTGCCAGTGGAGGTCACGGGGATCGTGGACCAGGAATGGGAAGAACAATCAATGATTGTCGCGTTATTTAATGCTACATTCAAAGTTTTTGCGAAATATAAATATCATTACTATGATATTTAACGTTGTTTCTAGAACCACTTTTTAATGATTGCGAATTAATAATTCGTTATTAATAAAAATCGCGCACCATTGACTGATAAATAACCATGCCCATTCCTAGTCGCCTTTCTTTGTACAAATATTCGCTCTCTGTAAAAGAAAAAAAAAACAATTATTATGTTCTACTTCGCATATTAACCAAATAATTCTAAACTTGCTTCAACTGTGCCATCGTTATCATTATGTTTCAACGGATTAATTACGGCTAAAATATTAGTATTAAATGTGCAACTTGTTTAAAAATTTTACGCGGAGATGCAGACATTTTCGATAACGGCACCCCCGGATTTTAAGTCTCATATTTATGTTGGAATTTTTCGACATCAAAATTTTGACATTTTTAATGAACACTTAATTAGAATAATCGATATCTTGAAGACGCTCGATGAGATTCTAAGATTAAGAAATTAAGGCAATGATTTTGGGTGCTGCAACATTTATTCCGTAAAAAACACCGCGCACTCTAAAAGTTATATTCTTTTTAAAGTGAAAATCTTAACCTAGATTGCGCTTGAATTAATTCTGATGAAAAAGTAAATTATTCCAATCAAATTTATACGACTGCTGTCTTGGGGCGCTTCCTTATAATAGCCATAAATTTTTTAAAAAGCAATGTGTTTAAGCTCACGGAAGGTACGAATTCCTCTAATTGGTTGCATCAATTTTTTTGCTTGAATTCAAATTAATATTTTTTTGCATTCAAAATTTTTGTGACCTCGAAATTTAATTCAGTTCAGGAACTTGTACAATTCGTGAGCACATAAAATACCCATTAAATGATAAACCTGAAGCACCTTGCTCGATGTTTAAAAGATAAACCACACCGTCTCTATTGATCGCAAACGCCTGGAAGGTTGCTCGATTTCAGTCTATCTCGATTGCTGCTGCGTAAAGGATTCTTTCGAAACTTGTTTAATTAATTAAAATATCACGGGATTAGAATGTTTTATTAAATTATAAGAAACAGTCACACTACCTGCTTTTGATGCAGTTTCTATTCATCTTCTGATTCATTGGCATTCCTTTGAAAGTACAATGTGACTTCATGCTTTTTTCGATTTCCCCGCTACCTATAAATTTGACTAATTAAGAGTAATTGTCACTCAGCTCGAGACATTGAAAACAAGCGCCTGGCGAATGATCTAAAGTAATAGTACTCCTCGATAAGCCTAAATGCTAATGAGCTTTTCTTCTTCTTGCTCGTTTGGTTTTGATAAATATGACGTGGTGGCTGGACTGATGCTTCTCCTCCTCTCGTCGCCTCGCATCTCTGGTAACTACGACCGACGATGTCATCCTCCATGGTATGGCACACCGTATAACACGGCTGTCGCGGCCCCGTTGCTTCATTATATCATTCAAATATCACTCACATGTACCATTTATGCCATTATTTTCATCGTTGTAATCTTTTGTTCACTATGATTGCTTTCATACTTAAACCTAAGAACAATAACAATGTAATTTTTGTTCATCAATCATTTGTGTTGTAATGAATCGTTTGTTGATTTGTAAAATTTCAAAACAATTTCGAAGAAAATCAAATAATTTTTTTGTGGTTACTCGAAATTGAATAAATAAAACTTCCACTGAAATTTACCTACATTACGGGTTGCATTATCCCATTGTGCCCAATAATTCCATAATTACATTATCTTCATTCATTAACAACACGTCATCACTTGCAAACATTGCTTCACGGGGGGTGTGTGGGGTACATTGGGCTTCCTATATTAACGTCATTAGTGGGGCAGAAAGTTTAACATGCAAGTTGCTGCCGAAAAGGCGCTGGTGTCGGACAACAACATCAGAATCGACACGACGGGCGACAACATGAAAATCCTGGTGCTGAAGGCGCAGCGCAACATGACCGGCAAATACCTCATCAACTCCAAGAACGAGCATGGCGAGGACAACGCCGAGGTCGAACTCATCGTCTTGGGTCAGTCTGAATAAAATTTGCATTACTCTGTAACTAATAATATGGATAGGATAGAAGTTTAATTTCACCGTAAAAATTATTGGGATTTCTGCCGCTCGTGAAGGAAATGTCTCCTAGAAATCATTGCTCTATGCTATCGATTATTTTCTGCATGGGTTCGAAATTCATCTTGGAGTTTCCCACAAGAAGCCATATCATCTTATTTTGAAAGTTAATTAATTTATTTCGATGTTGCTATAGTTGAAGGAATAAAATTTCGCGATGAATGGAGAAATAAAAATCAGAGTCGATAATTTGAAACCGAGGGTTCATCCTATTGATGTCCCGTGCATAAATGTGGTCTTCTGCATGTGCTCTTAAATGAACAAATACAATGAATGTGGTATTTTTTGGTCTTAAATAAATAAATGAAATAAATGTGGTCTTCTGTGCTCCTAATTAAATAAATAAAATAAATATGGTCTTCAGTGGTCCTAAATAAATGAATAAAATAAATGTGGTCTTATGGGGTCCTAAATAAATAAATAAAATAAATGTGGTCTTATGGGGTCCTAAATAAATAAATAAATAAATTTGGCCCTTTGCAGGCGTGCCGGGTAAGCCGATGGGGCCGCTGGAGGTGACGGATGTAACGGCCAGCGGCTGCCACCTCAAGTGGAAGAAGCCAGAGGACGACGGGGGTGAACCTGTCGACTATTACCAGGTCAGTTCAGCCTCAACAAATCTCTAAAATACACACACATTTTTATATTAGAGATATATATGAAAAATACATGATTTAAATACTGCAAAAAAAACTCTTGTTTTAGCTTCGTGTGCCTCTGTGGGAGTAATTTAAATATTGGTATGCACTTCCGTAGACATGTTTATGTTTTTATGCCATCATTTTAATTTGTAAGTTTTATTACATTCTGCTGTAAATTTTTGACTCTTCAAGCTAATTGGTATTGCCAAGGTGATGAATTGTGAAACGAAAATGAGTCATCTAGACGGCGAAAGCTGAAAAAATTAGATCGGTACCCACTGCAGTGAGTGACAGAGAGCGAATTTTCTCGTCCGTCCGTCTGTGAAGTTACGGACGGACGGACATGCCGAGCACATGTGAAGTCACGGACGGACGGACATGAATAGCACAATAGCGTCTTTTTTTGCGCTAGAAAGGTGACAGTCCATGCAAGTAACTTAATATTGGGAATAGTTTTACCTGAACCGTGGGAATAGTTCCACCCCAACAATGGTAGCAGTTCTTCCTGAACAATGGAATTGGTTCTACTCAAACAATGCGAATAGTTTTACCCCAACAATGGTAGCAGTTCTTCTTGAACAGCGGATTGGTTCTACTCATATAATGAGAGTAGTGCTACCCGAGCAATGGGAGTAGTTCTACTTTGTATTTATAATTGCTAAAAATAATAGTTGGAATTTAGGAACTGTCATTTTGATTAATTATTTGATTAGCGTATCATAAGTCCGGTTCTACAAGATACGGTTTGCATCAGGTGGAGAAGCTGGACCCGATCACGGGACAGTGGATGCCGTGCGGCCAGTCCAAGACCCCCGAGGCAGACGTGACGGGCCTGCAGGAGGGCAAGAAGTACAAGTTCAGGGTGAAGGCCGTCAACAAGGAGGGAGAGTCAGAGCCCCTCGAGGCTGACCAGTACATCACAGCCAAGAATCCTTATGGTCCGTACAACTAGCGAGTTAAATATTTTTCCTATATTCCACTGTATTTTTCCACTGCGATAGTTGGCTGGAATGTTTGATAGAGACTGCTTATAGAGGTGTAGAAAAGAAAAATATACAATTACTAATGAAAGGTATTATGAAAATTTTTCAATCGTGGAATGATGATACTCTAACTACTTATACATTAATATTTTGGAATGATAATTTTGTTACTATTAATAACACGAGGAAGGAACTGCTCTGCAGATGCCAAAAATACTTCAATACAATAGCCCAGGGTGCGGGTTCCAATTAAAATTTCTCCTGGTAGTGCTTGTATACTGTATATGTGTATCTGTCTTCTGGTGTTTATATAATTGTATATCTTGGTGTTAATATTAGTGTTTCTCCCCAATAGACGCGCCCGGCAAGCCTGGCAAGCCGCGAGCCACTGACTGGGACCGAGACTTCGTTCAGCTGGAGTGGGCGAAGCCTGCCAACGACGGCGGAGCGCCCATCACCAAGTACATCGTCGAGAAGAAAGATAAAGTGAGTGCAGTCATTTCCGATCTGCGTTCACGAATAAAATTTTTTGATATTTCTTTTGTAAATGAGATGGGATTTTTAAGTTGTTGACTTAATCATTTGTTTGAGTAATTTTTACTATTTCCAATGATTTACTTCATGGGTGATCCATAGAAACTGAGCTACCTCTGCTTGTGAGCTCAGGATTTAGTTAGGCTTGGTGTTGACTGCTACTCCTCTTAGTTCCACGTGATTTTTACCGGGGTTAATTTATAAATACAGTATGTACTGCCGATATGACTGACTTGAAGAGGTTAAATTTGTTCGTATCTTAAACTTGTAGATGGACTTTAATCTATATGTGAAAAAGCTTAGCAGTGAACTTCTGTGACAAAATTTGGGATGCGGGCAATATTTCGTTAACTGATACAATTATTTGTACAACAGCTCCTGGCAGCTGACACTAGCTACTGATAGCTGACACCAGCTACTGGTAGCTGGCACCAGCTACTGATAGCTGGCACCAGCTAATGATAGCTGACAGCAACTACTGAGAGCTGACACCAATTTTTGTTTACAGGACAGCAGGGGTTGGACGCAGTGCGGTTCAGGCCCTGGTGACAAAACGTCCATCCGCATCACGGATGTCGAGCCGGACCACGAGTACAACTTCCGCATCGTGGCAGTCAACAAGGCAGGGCCGTCGGAGCCATCGGACCCGTCCGAAGACGTCATGTGCAAGCCAAGAAACTGTGAGTCTGTAGTATCATCGTTAACTTGATGGTCTCATGAATTAATATCATATGAAGAATGTGTGTTTGATCTATATAAAGCTCGAATGTTTTTCTGAAACGTGTGTTTCAAATCCATTTCGTTTCTATTTATGTACCTGTGGTATAATTTTCAGTGGCGCCTCGCATCGACCGCAAGAACCTGGGTAAGAGAACCATCAGGTCGGGCTTGATGCTCAAGTTTGACGTTGAGGTGACGGGAGAGCCTGCACCCACCATCACATGGACGTACGAAGACAAAAATGTCACCAACAGCCGCATCACCATCGAGTCCGAGGACTACCTCACCACTTTCCTCCTGAAGAAGTCTGAGCGTGCCGACACCGGCATTTATAAAATCACCGCCAAGAACAAGAACGGGACTGATGTCGCCGAGTTGGACCTCGTCGTTGTGGGTGAGTGGGGAAAATACATTATTTAAATACTGATTAAATACAAAGCTATGTATCTGTTGAGTAATTTTTTCAACTCCTGAGATGTTAGTCGCTCGTAAGATAAGGAGTCACGTTTTATTTATTAGCTGAAGCTGAAAATATGCTTACCCACCTAGGTAAATAAGGCCTAAGAATGTGTGATGCGTTAGCATCTCATTAATAGCAGGCAGCAATTTTTTAACGAGTTATTGTTTTAGACCAAAAGTTAAAATTTACTTTACTTTACTTTCACCGACGTTCGATGATTGATTCTTCTCAAAATGTTAATAATCATTTTAAAATGATTGCAGGACTAATCGAGGATTTTTTGTTATTTTTTAAAACCTAATTGCGATTTTGAAACTGCTTTGCTCATTATCAAACAGAGAATACCATTTATATAACTAGTCTTCCACGCAATGTTTCGTGTTCGATATTAAACTCAATGCCTCGAAGGTGAACCGTTCTTCAATGTGAGATGTTATGTACAAATGAACTTTTGATCTGCATGGAATTGCTAGAAAGATGGATAGCGTAAAGCTCTTTTATCTGTTATTTAATGTTAAACAAGTGATAAGACAACACATTTAATCAGACACCCATTTTTAAATTACTATAAGGGTCTCTCTATTCTTACGAAGAACTTATCAATTCTTGCAGAAATTGCACAAGAAAACCGATGTTACGAAATCCTCGTACAAATGAATCATGATGAGCCTTTATTATACTATTTTTGTTGGCATCAGGCAAGCCTTCGAAGCCCAAGGGCCCGCTGAAGGTGTCTGACGTGACCGCCGAGTCTGTGAAGCTCAAATGGGAGCCTCCTGAGGACGATGGCGGCGAGCCCGTCGAGAGCTACGTCGTCGAGAAGATGGACACCGACACGGGACGCTGGGTGCCCGTACAGACTGTCAAGGTGAGAAACACTATTATATAACTCGTACTTATTCTTATGAAATAATTTGTTAATATTTTGTAATAGTTGAGTTTATCTTATTTTAGATATCGTTTATACGTTTCTAAATGACCTCTGAAGCGAGAGTCAATCATAGCCTGGCTAATTATATTTCTGATTTTTTTCCTCTATCGTAAGCATATGAAGCTGAAATAAGACGTGTTTTATATATTTGTCTTCGTTGACATGTTCCGGCTAAGTTTCAAATATCTATAAAGAAATTATTGAAATACTTCTATTGATTACCGAACTTAACGAAATTTCACTGCCCTCCAGGCCCTTGATTTCATTTCAACAACAGCAACGTTATTCCAACGTCAGATTCCTAGTGAGTGCCTACACTCAGTGCTACTAAAGCGAAAATAAATAAAGTTATAACCCATTACCCTCAGGGCACGGAGGCGGAGGTACCTGGCTAGTCAGTGCTGATACTCAGTGCTACTAAAGTAAATATAAATAAAGTTATTACCCATTACCCTCAGGGCACGGAGGCAGAGGTGCCTGGCCTGACTGAGGGCAAGGAGTACATGTTCCGCGTGAAGGCCGTCAACCCTGAGGGGGAGAGCGAGCCCCTCGAGACCGACTCAGCGACCCTCGCTAAGAATCCCTTCGGTGAGAGGCTTGCGTCGAGACTTCAATATTTATCTGCTCAATAAATCACTTAAATTCCTTGCTACGCATCTAATATTCTCAGAATAAATAGGTAGACGTTGTATGATAATATGAAATGAATGAGATGTGTGATTAGAGGAATTTTATAGACCTTGCTCAATGTTCTTGTATTATTACGTGGAAGGAAAATTTTATGTTGGCGAAGATAACAAAGAGTGGTTAACTTGAATTTATCGATAATTTAATTGTAAGTTTTATTGAAAATTACTTACGAATAACTGCCAAATTTACAAATTTTCACTATTGAGTTAAACAGCTCAGAACATTAAAAATGTCCCATTTTTTCCATTCTTGTGTTTTTCCAGATCCACCGAGCAAACCCGGCAAGCCAGAAGTGAAAGACTACGACAAGAACTGGTGTCAGCTCGTATGGAAGGCACCAGAATCCGATGGTGGAGAGCCCATCACTCACTACATCATCGAGAAGAAAGACAAGTACTCGAGCAAGTGGGTGAAGCACATGGAGACCAAGAGCCCCAAGTGCGAAGCCAAAGTGCAAGATCTCGTCGAGGGGCAGCAGTACAACTTCAGGGTAAAAGCAGTGAACAAGGGAGGAGCCAGCGCCCCATCAGACGCGTCCGACACCTTCACCGCCAAGGCCAAGAACCGTAAGACCATTTCTATAGGCTGGGTTTGCCAAACGAGGATTTTGTTGTGTGATGAAAGATAGAAACTTGTTTGAATTCTGTCATAAGTACACAATGATTTTATAGTTTTGAGTCTAATGTGGTTTGGGTGCGATTGCAGAGGCTCCCGAGATCGACCGGTCCAACTTGGACCACATCAAGGTGCACGCGGGCTCCATGATCAAGTACGATGCTCGCGTTACTGGCGAGCCAAAGCCCAGCAAGTCTTGGTTCATAAACAAGAAGCGTCTTGAAGACGGCAAGGATGGCGTAAAACTCGACGAAGAGGATCACAGGCTTAAGCTGGTCATAGCTTGTGCCAACCGCAGCCACAACGGACAATACCAAATCAAGGCGAGCAACTCGGCTGGCAGTGATGAGGTCACCCTCGAGGTCACTGTGCTGGGTGAGTCATTAGTTCTTATTAATCCTTACTTTATTCTCCATATTTCTACTTGACTGTATGAATAATATTTGCTAGATTTGATTCTGGTCGGTCCTATTCAGATGGCATTTACAATGTGTTTGAAGCTACATTTTCCTAATGAGTTTTGCAGTTAACAACCAAGTCATTTATAATTGAGAAAAACACAAATATTCTTAATAACAATATTATTTAGCTCCGTGAATCTTTCAGCAAATACGAAGCGTGTTTTTTTCGGAACTCATTAATAATTATTTAATTCACCCCACAGACGTGCCAGGAAAGCCTGAAGGGCCCTTGAAGGTGTCCGACATCCACAAGGAAGGCTGCACACTCAAGTGGAATCCTCCTCTGGATGATGGAGGCTCTCCTGTTGAGCATTACCTGGTCGAGAAACTCGACACTGAAACTGGAAAGTGGGTGCCTGCTGGGCGTTCCAAGGACCCAACAATAGTTTTGGATAATTTGGAACCAATGCACGAATATCAATTCCGTGTATCAGCAGTGAACAGCGAGGGAGAATCTGAACCTCTTGTTGGCCTAGACAAGATTGTGGCCAAAAATGCGTTCGATCCTCCTGATGCTCCTGGCGCTCCCGAGGCCACTGATTGGGACAAAGATTTCGTGGATCTCAAGTGGGAGAAACCTGCCAAAGACAACGGTGCGCCCATCACTGGCTACATCATTGAGAAGAGAGACGAAATTTCCGGCAAGTGGGTTAAGGCTGCAGAAATTAAGGGACAGGAGCCCAAGGGCCGTGTGCCGAACCTTGATGAGGGGGAGACGTACGAGTTCCGCGTGCGCGCCGTCAACCAGGCCGGTCCGTCCGAGCCCTCCAAGAACAGCAAACCCGTCACCTGCAAGCCCAGGAAGCGTAAGTTTTCTTCAAACTATTCGGCTTCAGCTCCCCACATTCCTTTAAATTGAAGAGTAGACAATTTTTAAAGCTCATTTCGTAAATGGTATGGTAAATAATACTTATAAATCATATTCCGAATATTTTCTCCTAAAATCGATAATAAACATTCCGGTAGTTTATTTCGCAATCCTATTGTAGAATAAATTGTGCCTTTTAAATACCCGTACATTTTTAGTCATAAATGACGGAATATAATTTAAAATATTCCCTTATGACAGATAACTTTTCAATTAAAATTTTAAAGAAGTCATTTTGTTTCAGTGAATATGTTTAAAATTCTTAACGGGAAATTTATTTTTGCGTGCAATTTTTTCAGCTGTTGATACTTAAAGTTTATATTTCAGAGTGACTATGTAAACTTGAGTTTATTCCATTTTAAATTCATAGCTTGCGGTGCTTGTGTTTTACATTCCCTTAGTTTCAAATTCAGATAAATGTGTTCACATTTTTCTCCATAAACGCTTTAATTTAACCCTATTATTTGAATTTATACTGATGATGGAAACTAGCCTTTGTCAATAGTTGATCCCATAGCTGTACGTGTTCACAATGAAGGTAATTGTTGCACTTTTTCATTGTTCATATTTTTTACAATATCTTATACGCCACTTGACTCGTTCTTTGGTTTTCGCCGCATGCAAACAATATCAGTTCCAGATGTGTGCACTTGTTTTTTACAGTTGCTCCTAAGATTGACCGCAAGAATTTGCGTGATTTGACGGTACGAGAAGGCGACCCAATCCTGCTCGACGTCAAAGTCATTGGCGAGCCCGTCCCTGAAATTGAGTGGTACTTCAACAAGAAGCCCGTACAAGAGTCCTCGACCTTGCGCATCGAGAACGTTCCTCACAATACCAGGTTCATGAATGATGACCCTACGAGGAAGCAGTCTGGTAAATACAAGATAGTTGCTACCAACAAGTACGGCAAAGATGAAGCTGAAATTGAAATCACCGTCATTTCCAAACCCGGTAAACCCGAAGGACCATTGGAGGTATCAGATGTGCACAAAGAAGGATGCAAGCTCAACTGGAAGCCACCTAAAGATGACGGGGGTGTTCCGGTGGAAGGATATATTGTGGAAAAGTTCGACCCAGACATGGGTATTTGGCTGCCTGTTGGCCGAACCACGGAGCCTACCATGGAGGTGAACGATCTGACTCCTGGACACGAATACGAGTTCCGAGTGAAGGCTGTCAACAAGGAGGGCGAGTCCGAGCCGCTGGTTACCTTGTCACCGATCGTGGCCAAGGACCCCTTCGGCCCACCAGGCCAACCTGGCGTGCCCGAAAAGGCTGACTGGGATGCCACCAGAATTGACCTCAAGTGGACCATGCCTATTGATGACGGTGGCGCTGCCATCTCGCACTACATTATTGAGAAGCGTGATAAGTACACGTGAGTGAAAATTTGACCTTTAAATAGAATTGAAGAATTAGAATATGTATAATATCTGAATTATATAAAAAAAGAACTACCATATTTCATGAGTATTCGTGAATTAAATTATCACTTCCAAGTATTGTGTTTTCATTTTAATCGATATCTCGGTCATTCCACTCAGGAATATTTGGGAGAAGGCGCTGACGACCAACACCCCCGAGTGCATCGGGTCCGTGACGGGCCTCACCGAGGGCCTTGAGTACCAGTTCCGCGTGACCGCCGTCAATAGGGCTGGCCCCGGCGAGCCTAGCGATGCCAGCAAGACTATGATCCCCAAGGCCAGATTCTGTCAGTACAAAAGTGCTCCTCAGGACAGAGCATTCTCATTTACTTTGCGTTTGAACCATGGCACTAAGATTGACTGCCGTCTTTTACCCTTTAGTTTTTAAGGTGTTTAGTGGTGAAATATTGTCCGTTTCACAATTACTTCTCTTTTATTTCAGTGCCGCCGAGGATTGATCGTAAAAATTTGCGCGACATTACCATCTCCAACAACTCGATGCTCAAATATGATGTGGATATTAGTGGTGAGCCTCCTCCAAAGGTAACTTGGACATTCGAAGGCCGATCGTTGGATTCGAACAAACATGTCAACATCAATAACATTGACTACAATTCCAAGCTGGTGATCCGTGACACTGTACGGGCTGATTCTGGCGAGTATGTCATCACTGCCGTCAACAGCTCCGGCAAAGACTCTGTCACTGTCTATGTCAACATTACCGACAGACCTCAGCCTCCTGAAGGCCCACTCAAGATTTCTGACATTAGAGGCACTGGATGCAAACTCAAATGGAAACGACCCAAAGATGATGGCGGAGTCCCTATTGAGAATTATGTCGTTGAAAAGCTCGATCCTAACACTGGACTGTGGGTGCCGTGCGGCAAGACGACGGGCGCCGAGCCTTCCATTGAGCTGAATAACCTGACGCCTGGTCAGGAGTATGAGTTCCGCGTGAAAGCTGTCAATGCCGAGGGAGAATCTGATCCTCTCAAAGCTGATGAGAAAGTACTGGCTAAAGATCCTTACGGTAAGTAATTTATGTTTATACGCATTTAATGATATAATTATTTGAAAATTGTTGGTTTGAAATTAAAAAATGTGCAGAGAAAAAATAATGTGCTTTTATACAATTTGAATTATATTCTAGTATCATCCAATCTATTTTTCCTGTATTCAGATGAGCCTGGTAAGCCTCAAAACCTTGAGGTTGCTGATTATGACGAAAACAAAGTTGATCTTAAATGGGAGCCTCCTAAGAACGATGGTGGTTCACCCATTGTCAAGTACATCGTTGAGAAAAAGGACAAATATGGAGGGTGGGATAAGGCTTGCGAAGTACCTGCTGACCAGACCAAGTGCTCCGTCCCTGACCTCATCGAAGGCGAGACGTACGAGTTCCGCGTGCGAGCCGTGAACGCCGCTGGTCCCGGCCTGCCTTCAGATGCCACTCATCCCGTTACTGTAAAGCCGCGCAATTCTGCTCCTAAGATCGACCGCACGAACCTCGTACCTGTCAGAATCAAGGCTGGTCAAAGCTTTACATTCGACGTGAATGTCAGTGGTGAGCCCGTGCCAGAGAAGAAGTGGTTCTGCAAGAGGAAGGAAATCAAGTCTGGCGGAGTTACTACCATCAAGATGCAGGACCATCACACCAAGATTCGTGTGACCGGAGCGACGCGCGCCGAGAGTGGCACCTACACCATCACAGCCGAAAACTGCAACGGAAAGGACTCTGCTGATGTCGAAGTCATAATTCTTGGTAACTCAATATTTTATAATGTTTCTTGATATTTTTCTTTTAAATGAAATCTAAAATTTCCATCGTTGATTATTCCCGATTGTTTATTTGTTTGCCTAATTTAAGCACTTGAAATATTTTTTGGCCTATGGAGTATCCAATTCGATACTGAAAAGGGAAATGATATTCATTGATGATTTGCATTTTTCTACCACCCAAGACAAGCCAGGCACGCCTGCGGGTCCTCTCGAAGTCTCGGAGGTGTACGCAGAAGGGTGCAAGCTGGACTGGAAGCCTCCCGCCGACGATGGTGGCTGCCCTATCGACCACTACACCATCGAGAAGCTCGACGAGGCCACAGGCCGCTGGGTGCCGGCGGGCGAGACGAGCGGCAGAGAGACCACCGCTGAAGTGCTTGGCCTCACGCCGGGCCACAAGTACAAGTTCAGGGTGAAGGCCGTCAACCGCCTGGGCACGTCTGATCCTCTCACCACGCAACAAGCAATCGAGGCCAAGAATCCATTCGGTAAATCGAAATTAACGAGGCAATTCTCTAGAATTTTACTGATGCAATTTTATTTGATTTATTAATGTCAAATTTGTTGCTTAATTTTATTAAAGGTTTTTGTTTGCAGTTTCCTTAAAAATATTCTTGACTGCTCGCTCATCGAATTAAGTGGGATATTTTTCAAATAACGATGATTTTTTTGTCTTTTATTGGATCATCCTGCCCCAGTTTGACCCGGCATATGTGCGTATCAGTGCTACGTCCGCACTCTGCTTGAGTTGCGGGTAATAAAGTAGATAATTATTTGGAACATATGACGCATTTAATATTCAATGCCACTTAAATTTACGAGTCTTTGGGTTCATAGCGTTCCTAATCTCACCAGATTTGCCCTCTGCGCCTACTGATGTGAAGGTCGAGGACTTCGATGCTGACTATGTTGATCTTGGATGGAAGGCACCTGAAGACGATGGCGGATCTCCCATCATCGGCTACATCATCGAGAAGCGCGACAAGTACAAGTAAGCGTTTACTTGCTGCTCTACTTACTCACTCTTGTTTAAAACTTTGTCAACAAGTGCACAGGACTAGCCGAGTGGTTTAGGTTTAGATCAGCAAGATTGGAACAGCGAATTGAGAGTTTGAGATCCATTTGTTGATGAGGAAATTCTGACAAGGTAGATGGAAGGTTAAGAATCGGCTATAGGCCTAAATGAAAAATTCAAGACAGACACTACCAGGTTTTGCTTCATTAGATGAATTTATTTCATATTGAACTTCATTTAACAGAAAATGTCACTTTAATATGATATGATGGAAGTGTATTCGATTCAGATAATAATTCACACATGCATTGAACATCAGTCATTTAAAATCAGCTGAAAACTTTCTTGAGGCTACAATTAGATTTGGCCTCGTCAAAATATGATTGTTTGTCTCCACATGTTTGTTTGCACACGCTTTACGTCACGAGCGGCCACACACCTTTAACGTGCAAAATTTCCATGTCACAAATTCGTCACAAACTTCCGACTGTACCTAGCTTTTAACACAAATATTCAATTAATTGATCTAATTATGGAGTGAGAGTGTTTGATGTTAGAATCTACGACCATAATTAAGCATAACTACAACTGCTACTACAACGTCCAGCCCTACGTGGGAGAAATGCGCAACGACGGACGGCAGCAACTGCAAGGCGCATGTACCTGATCTGGTCGAAGGCAACACGTACGAGTTCCGCGTCATCCCAGTCAACAAAGCTGGGCCTGGCAAGCCTTCTGCACCCACTGCGCCTCACCTCGCAAGGGCTAAGAATCGTAAGTTTTTCCGATATAAATTTTGAAATGTGGGCCTAGATATACTTCTATCACTGCGCACAAGTTATTAGGAATACAATTTCATTACATTTGATTTTACGAGTATTTGAAGATTTGTAGTGGGTAAATAATTGCAAATTCCTATGTTGATTGAGGATCTCGCATAAGACAAATTTCAGATTGTATTTCACTCTTTACAGTTCCTCCTCGCATTGATCGCAACGCAATGGTCGATGTGAAGATCAGGGCCGGGGAAAATCTCCTACTTAAAGTTCCTGTCGCTGGTGAACCGCCAGCTTCAAAGAATTGGATGCTGAAGGGAGAGAAGCTGTATCCTACGGATCGACTTCGTATTGTTCAGGAGGATTACATGACAACCATCAAAATCTCTGAGTGTAAACGATCAGACTCAGGCGAATTCACTTTGGAAGCAAAGAACAGGAATGGTGAGGACAAATGCACGGTGAGCATCACTGTGTTGGATGTTCCCGGAGCTCCTCAAGGACCTCTCAAGTACTCCAACGTGTCGCGTAAAGGCTGTACTGTCGCATGGCAACCACCTAAGGACGACGGCGGATCGGAAATTATTCATTATGCTGTTGAGAAAATGGATATTGATAGCTTGAGGTGGGTGCCCGTGGGTGAAACCAAGAGCACTCAGCTTCCTGTTACAGGTCTAATCGAAGGTCACGAGTATAAGTTCCGTGTAGTAGCCGTCAACCGTCAAGGAGAAAGTCAGCCGCTTACGAGTGTTGACACGGTTGAAGCCAAAGATCCTTTCAGTAAATCTTCTAAGCCTGGCAAGCCTGAAGTGGTTGACTGGGACAAGGACCGAGTGGATCTTGAATGGACAGAGCCTCGCAATGACGGTGGAGCTCCAATTACCTCCTACATAATCGAAAAGAAGCCCAGGTTTGGCAACTGGGAAAAAGCCGTGGAAGTTCCTGCCAAACAAGGGTGTAAAGCATCAGTGCCTGATCTCACTGAAGGGGAAGAATACCAGTTCAGAATTATTGCAGTCAACAAGGGTGGTAATTCTGATCCTTCTGATCCATCACAGTCTGTGGTGTGCAAGCCACGATTTGAGAAGCCTGGCATTGATGTGGTGAATTTGGAGGATCTCGTCATTAAAGCCAATACAAGATTGGAGTACAATGTTCCTATTCGCGGCGCACCCCGACCAAGTGTTAAATGGTCTGTTGACGGTACTCAGATCGTTGAGTCCGACAGGGTGGAAATGCAGACTTACGGAAAACAGACCATACTCGAGATTCCGTTTGCTCGTCGTAGTGATTCTGGTCGTTACACGCTGACACTGGAAAACGAGCTTGGCAAGGCGTCTGCCTCGGGTAACGTGATTGTTTTGGACAGGCCTTCGAAGCCTGAAGGACCTTTGCGTGTTTCCGACATTACTCGAGACAGCTGCAGAGTGTCGTATGGCCCTCCCTTGGATGACGGTGGCTCACCTATCCTCCATTACCTTGTTGAGAAAATGGATGTATCTCGTGGTACATGGACAGAAGCGGGTGAAGTGGCTGGCCTCACGGCCGAGATTCTGAACCTGGTCTACATGAAGGAATATCACTTTAGGATCAAGGCTGTCAACGCCATCGGAGAATCCGATCCTCTTTGCACTGACAAGAGTATCATTGCCAAAAATGCTGTTGGTGAGTGTGGATTTCTGTCTGAAACAATATTCAAATATTACTTTTTATTTCGTGTTTATCTAAGTTTTCCAACAATGCCTCTTCATTGAACATGTTTTTATTTCGAATTAGAAGCTTATAATCCGGAATTTTCCTATGCCAGATGAACCTTCACAGCCTGGGCGTCCACAAGTAGTTGACTGGGACAGCGATCACGTAGACCTGAAGTGGACTCCACCGACCAAGGATGGCGGCGCTCCCATTACTGGCTATATTGTGCAGAAGAAAGAACGTGGCTCCCCGTACTGGCAGAACGCCTGCAGGATAGGACCAGAGACATCCTGTACAGTACCTAACCTAACAGAAGGACAAGAGTACGAGTTCCGTATTGTGGCTGTCAACAAGGCCGGCAACTCTGAGCCTTCCGAGCCATCGGACGCTGTCACATGTCGTCCAAGAAACCGTAAGTATTTTTGTTGAATGAAGAATAGCGTCATAACTGACGTAGAACGGAATCGAGTGATTTCCTTGAAGATACAGCGTTTTTTTCAGACATTGTTGTTATTAATTTAGAATTTTCATTTAGAAGAGATTTTCGAATTTACCTCATGAACAAATGTCCCTGCTCAAATTTAGCAAAATGTTATACAGATAATTGTCGTAGGTCCGTGGGTTATAGAATTGAATTTTATTAAATGAGAATCCGTATTGAGACCGACATTCGTGCGCTAGCGTATCAATAAATTACATGAAATTGTGTTGAATAAAGAAATGCACAGTATCTGTGAGAGACGCTTAATAAATAACATGACTTAATATCATTTCCAAAAATTAAAATGTTTAACATATTATCATTATTTATTATAAGCGCTAATATCTTACAACAATTTCTCACTTTGTTTTCACACTTAATCGCTGATTGATTCCTCACATTAGCAAAATGTTAAATAGTTAGCATATTTTACCGAATATGGTCCTCCTAAACTCATTAAACTCTTTTACTCTGACAGTTGCACCAAAAATTCTTGGCCCGCTTTACGACGTGAAAATAAAGGCTGGTCAAGTCATTCATATCAACGTTGACTACATCGGAGAACCTGACCCCGACATCTTCTGGTTCAACGATGACGTCGAAATCGCTCCTACCACCAGGACCACAATCGACGCCATCAACCACCACACCATCATACACACTGTCAACGCAGTCCGGGCCGACTCAGGGGAATACAAGATCAGAGCTCGCAACGAGAATGGTCAAGACGAGGCTACTTTACGTGTGGTGGTGCTCGACACACCCGGTCCTCCTGAGGGACCGCTCAGCTACGACGAGATCATGGCCAACTCTGTGCTCATGTCCTGGAAGCCTCCTAAGGACGACGGAGGCAGTCCTATAACGTAAGCAAATTTTGTCAGATGTTTCTTGGTTTACTGGCAACGTGAATTACATTAGACAATTTCGGGTGCGTTAGATGAAGGTTTTGGCTATGATATTACTGTACAATAGCCGAAATTTGAAATTCTTAGCTAGATTATTGTTGTCATATCACTTTCATTCAATTAAATATTTATATTCACAGTGGTTACACCATCGAGAAGAGGGACATCTCTCACGGTGGCGGCTGGGTACCTGCAGTGACATGGGTGGACCCGAAGGAGACGTCGGCGACTGTCTCACGCCTCATGGAGGGGAACAAGTACGAATTCAGAGTCATGGCTGAGAACGTGCAGGGCAGGGGAGAGCCTCTCGAGTCGGACAAGCCTGTCACTCCTAAGCCATCAGCAGGTACGAATTTATACTTTAGTGCGTGAGCTTTCCATTTTGCTATTGAGTCGATGGTACAATGAAAGAAAACATTTTGTAATAAGCGAGTGCTTATAATTGGGTAGGACCAATTGTTGTTAATGAGAATATAATATAGCATAATTCGAATGTTTATCGTTGTTTGAACTCCGATTCTGTGTATAAAATGGTCACATAATACCTTTCAATTCTACCACTTAAGTTCGTTTAGAATTTTATGTGTGGGGATATTCGTCGCAGGGGTAGAAGTAACAACTTTTATCACCTGTTAAATTTACAATATTTTTGTTCTCCATAGACTGCCCGGGTAGCCCTGGCCGACCAGAATGCGTTGACTCGGACAAAGACTTCATCAAAATTCGGTGGTCTGCTCCCCGCAACACCGGCGGCGCGCCCATCACGGGCTACGACGTGGAGCGCTGCGGTGTGCATTCCGGCAGGTGGAAGAAGATCACGAGAAATCCTGTGAGGATGACGGAGTTCACCGACGAGACTGTGCAGGAGGGCCAGCAATATCAGTACAGGGTGGTGGCCAACAACAAGGTCGGCCCCTCGCTGCCTTCTGATCCTTCGCATCCGTTCAGCGCCAAGCCAATGAAAGGTGAGATTTTGCTTTGATATTTTGCTTTGAATATTTGATGATTTGCTTTAATATTGGTATCATTGCGATACAAATGAGGTAAAACTGTGTTATTCATTTAGGCATGCTCAATGAGTCCAAAGTCGAATGAGGAATCAAATTATATGAATGATATTATACAAAAACGGCTAAAAAATATTCTCCGTTATACAAAAACGGCTGAAAAATATTCTTCGTTATTCATGTCAGCTTCCAATGTGTTGTCAGCAATGAATTTTATCTTCAAATATTACCGTGCGTGAAAAATTGGCGGAAAACGCATAACGCGTGTGCCGCTGTTGGGCAGATCCACCCAAGCTGTACCTGGACGGTCTGGCGGGCAAGAAGCTGAAGGTCCGCGCCGGGGAGCCCATCGAGATCAAGATCCCCATGTCTGGGGCTCCTCAGCCCACCTGCACCTGGAGCAAGAGTGGCAAGAAAATCGAGTCCAGCAAGAGAACTTCAGTGAGTTTCTCCACTTTTTATGTTCGAAATGGAGAAGGAACTGGTCATTTAGAACACTTCTCTTTAACTTCACTTGTTTGTCTGTCTGTATGTCTGCTACAAATCTTATAATCGATTTTTAACACACTTCCAGCTGTCCAAACTATCTGAAAATTTGCAGACTTGCGTAAAGTCGAAGACAATGCATGAATCAATTGACAGAATACATAATTTGAAATTTTAATTTCTTTTATGTATTAAAATAATTAAAAAGTAATTTTTTTAATATTCGAAATTAAAATTAGACATTCATTGTACATGTTGTACATTGGAGACACTGGATTTTTTTAGAAGTGTTGTCTTTAAAAAGTAATTTTTAAACGTATATTATTTTTTATGTAACTATCCTTCGATTTCCAAACATGGTTTTTATACAAACATGCATGACATTGAGAGATAGGTTTTAAACTGCTTTAGACGGTTGTCTGTATACAAAAACTTTTATGATTTTAGAAAATTCGCACCGACAGGTATCATAAACATGCATTATATTACCATTCATGGATTATTCATTATTCCCAACTCAGATGGAGAGCACTCCAGACCACTGCAAGCTGCTGGTGGAGAAGTCGCGACGTGAAGATTCCGGCCCCTACACCATCACGGCTGAGAACGCTTACGGCAAGGACTCCGCTACTATCGACGTGAGCGATATATTAGGCTGTCACTATAGACGTGAGTGATATAACTTATAAGTCGCCCCTACATACGTGGGTTTATTTCTATAGGTCGCCACCAAAATCAGAAATAGCCCCGCTTATAATATGCGCAAACATAACTTATTTCTGTAAATGTTTGTTTCGAAGTGAGGCCTTGGGAACCTGACTTGAGTTTAAATAACAATAACCGTACGAAGGTACATAATGATAATTATTGTGTGAATATGAATTGTAATCCAACTTCCACGCACCGTCCATAATTAACACGTATGTTTAGGATAACAAAGTTTTGAATTATTTATTACAGTTTATTTATTTATTTAAATATATAATTTAAAAGTTTTTATTATTTTTCAATGCGCTGCGTGTGAGCAGGTGATCGTGGTGGACCGGCCCGGTCCCCCCGTAGGGCCTTTACAGCCTACAGAAATCTATATATTATTTAAAATATATATATTTTATTATAAATAATATATAAATTATTATAAATAGTATAACATATGAATAATATAAATGTTACTATAAATTTTAAATATGTAATTTTATAGTTTTTATTATGTATCAATGGACTGCATGTGAGCAGGTGATTGTAGTGGACCGGCCCGGGCCCCCCGTAGGCCCCCTACAGCCTACAGAGATCACGGCCAACACCATCAGCCTCTCCTGGAAGCCTCCCATCGACGACGGCGGCTCACCTGTCACCGGCTACGTCGTCGAGAAGACCGAGGCTAACTACAACATGTGGAAGGTGGTGCCCGGCTACTGCCCCAAGTGCGAGTTCACTGTCAAGGTGAGGCTTACATTTACAAACTTAGATTTGTTCGGTTCGTTTAATATAAAACTTTATTATCTTACATTTAGTAAATTTGTTGCAATTTGTTCGGTATGTTTCATATAAGACTTAATTATCTTATATTTAAAAAATTCGTTGCAATTTGTTCGGTATGCTTTATAGATTAGACTAGAATAGAATAGAAGTGTCGGCGTTGAAGAAATAGGCCCATGGCCTGTTGCCGATTCTTGAACTTTTCGTGACTTGATTCACAAGGGATCCGGCCTTTGGAACCTTATCTTTTCATAACTGACGATTGATTGAGATAGCTGCTGGACGTATTGCCTGGTTCGTAATTTGCTAGGCATTTTAAGACTGAACATATGCTCCTGCATAGCTTCGTCTAGTCTGTTCTTGAAGGCGTTCATACTCGGAGCGTCAACGATGCTATCAGGGAGGCTGTTCCACATGTCGGTGACTCAAAGCGAGAAGAAATGTTGTCGCATGGATGTGTTATATTTTTTAAATTAGAAAATTCGTTGCAATTTGTTCGGTTCGTTTAATAAATGACTTGTTAATTGAGAAAATGGCAATAAAGCCATTTATATATTTTTACTCTATAATACAGGTTTTTTGATAATTTATCTCAAAAAACAGTTATATTATATACTCTTAAATAGTAAACCTTGCATTCATAGTTAGATGGAACGCTGTTGTAGAATTAAAGTAAATAAACAATCGTTGTTTTCGTGCAAGCAAATGTTAGGCAAATCCACTCCCATGACTGCGTCGAAAAAATTTATAATGTAGCGTATTGTTGATTATGGCGAACTTGCTTCACATTCACTACATACAAAATATGGTTGAAAATTAATATCCGTATTTTAGAGCAGGTGCTATCATATAATATTAATTCTCTAACTTTATACATGGAAATCATTTTTCAGATCCTAGTTGCATATTCAGACAACTTTATTTCCTGTGTGTTTGACGCTCTATTTTAAGTTAATCGCTATTAAATATCGCTATAAAATCACTTGGATAAATATTATTCAGAAAATATGAGGGGTTATTATCGGGAAAAACATAGGTTATATGAACGTAATTACTCAATAATCCAAAAAAAATAATGTCTCGAGGCATGGTTGTGGGCCAGTATAAGATTCCCTTCACTTTCACATGTAAGATTTTTTTTCCATATTCATATATTATTGCGGGCCAGTATAAGACTACCCTCACTTCCATTTGTAAGATTTTTTCCATATTCATATATTATGTTTTTCATGTTATTTTCCAAATATTTTTGACTGATATTCCGTTGCTAGGGTCTGGACGAGGGCAAGCAGTACAGGTTCCGCGTGCGCGCGGAGAACATGTATGGCACCTCCGACCCTCTCGAGGGCAAGCCTGTCGAGGCGAAGAATCCTTTCGATCCTCCCGATGCGCCGGACAGACCAGACATCACTGCCTACAGGTCAGATAAAATACTCTCTACGATAATTACTAGATAATTTATGTAAGAAAATTGTCATATATCAAATATTTTGTGACTGTACAGACCAGACATCACTGCCTACAGGTCAGATAAAATACTCTCTTCGATAATTACTTGATAATTTATGTAAGAAAATTGTCATATATCAAATATTTTGTGACTGTTTGGAATGTTTTCTGGAACAAAGGAATGTTTTCGCAAGTAATGTTTTCTGCTAGGTTGTATTTTGACATCTCCACATTATAAAAAGAAAGTTATTTTGTTGAAATGAGAAAAACTCATCCATTAAAACTATTGCGACTTGTATTCGTTGTTCTTTAGATGCCCGCACCGCTTGGACTAAGAATAGACTCAAATTTTGCGATAAAGCTCGTCACATATCAATCCGTAATAGAGTTTTTATTGTCCGGATCTTTCACGGTTTTTATGGAAGTAAATTTATTTTCAAATGATGCTTACTTATCTAATGCAATATTTCTATATCTTTATTTACTTTAAATATTTATTTTATATCTGGTTAAATTTGAGCACGTAATTTCATCGGCTTCAATGCTGACTGGGAAGTAAATATATTCGAAATAAAAAATAAAAGCGATTTCGTTTAATATTTGGCGTAATAATCGGGTTTCATACTGGCCGGGAAATATATTTATTCGTATTAAAGGAGAGAAACTATTTATTTTGTTTAATATTTGGCGTAATTTGATCAATGAGTTTAATGGGGATGTGTTACAGCCCCAACTCCTGCTCGCTGGCGTGGAAGCCTCCCACGGTTACAGGAGGCCGTCCCGTCACGGGCTACATCGTCGAGAAGAGGGAGAAGGGCGGCGAGTGGGTCAAGGTGAGGAGTGGGTCAAGGTGAGGAGTGGGTCAAGGTGAGGAGTGGGTCAAGGTGAGGAGTGCTTAAGCTGCTCATTTTAAATGCTAAGGTTGCCAGTAATGTAATGTTAATACTAAGGCTGCCAGTAAAGTAAACTTGCTCTCGTTGGAAAAGATTTTATAATTTCTGATGTAACAACGTCAACAATGTTACACAAGCTTATATGTTTATGTAAAAGCTATAGCCCTTGGCATTGTCGATGATATTTTATATCAATCAATTTGTAAACATGCCCAATCATCCCTTCTGTCACCATCACAAATAGAGCGTGCATTATATAAATTATCTCATATATTCGTGAATTATATCTCGAGTAAACGTAACGCAATCATCGGTATCTGATCGATAGAACACATCAGACTGTCCATCAATCATTTCGATTGCTGATGTGTCTAACTTGGTTGAAACATTGCTATGTACATACTTTAAAAAGAAAAGCTCATACTAAAATGAAAACTCTTACTGTGAAAAGTCTGCATACCTGCTTAGCACACGATTTACGGGTTGTGCATGATCTGGACAGATGATTGAAAGGTTTGAATGATCTGGACTTGTATTGTGGTCAATAAGGTTACATTCTTTGAATAATTTGCTGATGTAATGAGCAGGTCAACGCATATCCAACACCCAACACCGAGTACACGGTGCCCGGGCTGACGGAGGGCAACAGATACGAGTTCCGCGTCATTGCCGTCAACGAGGCCGGACCTGGCAAACCAAGCAAGCCATCAAATGCCATTGTCGCGAAAGTCCAGAAATGTAAGTTAACAATTGCCATATAAACAAACATTTGGAGATGATGAACCTGATTCAAATTTGTGTTTAGTTTAAGAAATAGACTGGCTCATTGCATTATGAGGACACAGCATATTTAAAGAATAACGGTAACAATATTATTCAACGTTCGTTAACTTTGTTCACAGACTTGCCTGCAGCTCCTGAAGCGCCGCGCGCGGACAGGATCGGCAGAAACTGGGTGACGCTCTCTTGGAGGCCTCCAAGCACAGATGGTGGATCCAAAATTAAAGGATACCTGCTTGAGATGAAAAAGAAAGATACCGATGAATGGGTGCCTTGCAATAACTTGCCACATCCCGATAATACCTTCACTGTACTCAATTTGACTGAGAAGGAAGAGTACTCCTTCCGAGTGTATGCCGTCAACGATGTCGGCACGTCCCAGCCATCGAAGCCTTCGTCTCTCATCAAGATAGAAGAGGAGGCTGACAAACCTCACATCGACTTGAGTGGCATCCGCGACATCACAGTAAAGGCGGGCGAAGACTTCAGTATCCATGTGCCGTTTACAGCCTTCCCCAAGCCCACTTCCACCTGGTACAGGGATGACCAGGAAATATGCATTGAGGCTGATGTCCGAATCCATCAACAACTCGCTGATGATTACTGCTCATTTATTCTGAAGGATTCTAAGCGTTCCGATACAGGACCTTACAAGCTTCGCTTGCAAAATCCTTCCGGTTTCGATACGGTCACGGTTAATGTTAAGGTGCTTGACAGACCATCACCTCCTGAGCATCTTCGTGCTGACGAATTCAATGGCGACTCCTTGACAATCTTCTGGAATCCACCCAGGGACAATGGTGGAGCTGAAATCACAAACTATGTGGTTGAGAAACGCGAGAAAGGTGGAAGTTGGCAGAAACTGAGTAGTTACGTAACCGGCACGAACTTCCGTATTCGAAACTTGACGGTTAACAAAGAATATGACTTCAGGGTTATGGCTGAGAACCAGTATGGTACCTCTGATCCCTGCCAGAATGCTGAGCCCATCAAGGCGCGGCATCCATTCAGTAAGTTTTCTACTTCTCTTTGATGTAGAAGCACATCTTGAAATTGAAATATTTGTTCATGCTCGTTTGAATTCAGCAACTGTTTGTAAATTATCAAGTGTTTCACGTAATTTTCATTTCAAGTTTCGACGCTTTATTGGTATCTATAAAACAGGATTGAAATTTTTTTCCACCGTTACAAATTCATCGCGATAACAGTGTAATTTTGTTTTATTTTCTAAACTTTCGAACATCTATTCCTTTCAGACCCTCCGAGTGCACCTGGAGCTCCACGAGGCCTCGAGTCTACTGAAGATTCCATCACCATCCAATGGTCTAAGCCACGACATGACGGAGGTTCACCAATCCAAGGATACAATGTTGAAAAGCGTGTTGTCGGAGAAAGCCAGTGGTCAAGAGCTAACCACGGTAACATCCGCGACACAACATATCGCGTCATCAACCTCATCGAACACCAAGTCTATGAGTTCAGAGCCGCTGCCGTCAACCTGGCTGGCCAAGGACCATGGAGCGATCCCAGCGAGAACATCAAGTGCATTAGCTTCCGTGAGTATCAATTTGGTTTCAATATTTGGGTTTAAAATGTTTAATTTCAGTTAAAAATTGAAATTATCTTTGTAATTGCTTAACATATTCCATGGTCCGAAAGAAATAGTGGCTATGACGATAATTACCTTAATCTCAATACATCGGTATTCAGGGATAGCATTTCTGTAAAATGATGGTGTGTCTGATGAATTTCATTTTGAATTGTAAATTTTCCTGCAGGTGCTCCAAAGATCACTTCAGATCTCAGCATTCGTGACATGACTGTCATGGCTGGTGAAGAATTCACCATCACCGTACCATACATTGCGTCTCCTCAACCCAAGACTCAGTGGTGGGTTGGTCCCAATGAGATCTTCCCTGATGATAGAATCCAGTTCTTACTGGATTCCGGAGCTTCGACATCTACGTTTGTTAACAAAAAGGCTAAGCGGACAGATAGTGGTAAATACACCATAAAACTCACCAACAGCGAAGGAGCTGATTCCGGCTCCTGCAAGGTGTTGGTTGTAGACAAGCCTTCACCTCCTCAAGGCCCGCTTGACATCAGCGACATCACACCAGAGACGTGCTCGTTGGCATGGCGGCCTCCTGCCGATGACGGAGGGTCTCCGGTTACTAACTACCAAGTAGAGCGCCTGGATGTCGCCTCGGGAATGTGGCTTAAAATATGCGCATTTGTACGAGGCTGCCATTACGAAGTTTGCGGACTTGAACTCAACAAGAGTTACAAATTTAGAATCCGAGCCGAAAACCAGTACGGGGTCTCAGAGCCTCTGGATGCTATTGATGCGATTGTAGCCAAGTTCCCCTTCACTATTCCAGATCCTCCGGGTAAGCCGAATATTCGTGATTTCGATATCAACACAGCAAGCTTGAATTGGGATCGACCCGCTTCAGACGGTGGATCAGTCATTCAAGGGTACAAGATTGAATACAGAGACGTCACTGAAACAAATTGGGTTACAGCTAATGACTTTTTGGTGAAGGAGACAAATTACGTTGTTCATTCATTACTGATAAACCATGAATACGAGTTCCGTGTGAAGGCAAAGAACGCCGCAGGTTACAGCAAGTATTCGCCACCTAGCAAGAGAATCACACTTAAAGGAAAGTTCAGTGTACCGTCGCCCCCTGGCACTCCTGTAGTAGAAAAGGTGGGCAGGAATTACGTCGATCTTAAATGGACTAAGCCGGAAAGCGATGGTGGTTCCAGGATCACTGGTTACATTGTTGAAAAGAGAGTTCTCGGCAGCATCTGGACCAAATGTAATGACTACAACGTTACTACTTGTGACTACACCGTATCCAAGCTCAAAGAAGGAAGTGATGTTGAATTCCGCGTATTGGCAGTGAATGCTGCAGGAAAGTCAGAACCCTCTCAAAGCACGTCACCTGTTAAGGTCCGCGTTGCTGCGGATGGGGAGAAGCCCTACTTTATTCGAAACCTCAACAACGTTGCTGTGCCTCTTCATAAATCAGTCACTCTCGAATGCCAAGCGGAAGGCAAACCTCTCCCAACTGCCAGATGGTTACGTAACGGAAGAGAAGTTGCCCTTGGCGGAAGGATGGTTGCTGAAGCTAGAGATGGCGTCTTCAAGCTCACAATCTCAGACATGTGGGAGGTGGATGAAGGTGATTTTGCCTGCGTAGCCGCCAATGATGCTGGCCAGGCGACCAGCGTCGCTCGGGTGAGAATTGGAAACCCGCCAAGGATCACACAGATGCAGGACGTACTCTTCCTGCCTGAGGGTGACAACACCAAAATCAAAATTTACTTTACTGGTGATCTGCCGTTGGACGTATCTTTATCACTCAATGGACAGCCGCTCGAAGCTTCGACAAGATTAAAGTTCACTGTGTTCGACGAATTTATTATTTTATTTATCAAAGAAGTGGTCAAGGGGGATGCTGGAAAATACATTCTTACAGTTAAGAACGACTGTGGCAGTGTTTCAGGCAACTTCACGGTTTACGTCACTGGAATCCCAGGTGCGCCGACTGGTCCACTGGAGGTCACAGATATCAGCAAGCACACGTGCACACTGTCATGGAGACCCCCAATGTACGACGGTGGCATGCCCATAACTCACTACGTTGTCGAGCGCAAGGACATCACTTACGCCAGTTGGATCACAATCTCTACTTTTTGCAAGGATTGTACATTCATTGTTCAAGGTTTGACAGAGAATCAAGAGTACGAGTTCAGAATCAGAGCTGTCAATGATAATGGCATGGGACCACCCCTTGATGGCACAAACCCCATCAAAGCCAGATCCCCGTACGATCCTCCTTCTCCTCCAGGGACACCTAATGTTACCGAAATCGGAGGTGATTTTGTCCATCTTGAATGGGAGAAGCCTGTTAGTGATGGTGGGTCACGAATCAAGGGATACTGGGTGGAAAAGAGAGAAGTTGGTTCCAATGTGTGGACTATGGTCAATGCATACGCCACACTCACAACTCAGATTAACGTATCAAACTTAATTGAAGACAGACAGTACGAATTCCGTGTATTTGCTGAAAATGAGGCTGGTCTTTCTGAGCCTTCGACCTGTTCTACATCAGTTAAAATCAAGGATCCTAATGCGGCAACACCACCCATATTTATCCAGCCATTACGGAATGCAATGGCTCTCCAACATAAGAGCTGCACTCTCACATGCAGAGTTGAAGGCAAGCCTAACGTCAAAGTTGCTTGGTATAAGGGCATGCGGGAACTTACCCAGGGAGCCAAGTACGTTTTTAACCGCGATGGAGACACCTACTCACTCACAGTAAATAATGTTTTCGGAGAAGACGAGGCTGAGTACATGTGCAGAGCCTTCAACGCTGCGGGCTCAAGGACCAGCAAAGCCGACATTTCCATCAAGCGTAAGTTTTAATTTGATGAAAATTAATGAAAGAATATGTTTCCTGTAATATTGTGTAAGTTATAGCTTCTTTCCCAATTTGTTGCATCAAATATTTGAATTTTTCAGTGGCCCCGAAGATAAACGTACCTCCTCGATTCCGTGACACGGCCTTCTTCGACAAGGGTGAGAATGCTGTCATGAAAATTCCCTTCATTGGAAACCCAAGGCCGAAGATCACGTGGACTAAAGAAGGCGAAACTATCGAGTCTGGTGGTCATTACTCCGTGGAGCAGCAGCAAAGACACGCGATTCTCACCATCAGAGACGTCAGCCATCTCGACAACGGCAGATACAGGCTCACTGCCGAGAACGAGCTTGGCTCTGATTCTGCAGTTATCAATATCCAAATATCAGGTAATTTTTACATCAGATTGATTTTTTCAATTTGGGTATGGTATTCCATTGTATAATCATGTTATTTGCGAATGACCATTATTTTTCACCAACCATATCTGCATTTGATTTTATTTCGATTTCTCTTTAATTATACACTTAACCATCTAAATTTTGACCTACATTTTTTTGACACAAGCATAAAAACTTTGTATTTTTCCCATAAACAGACCGACCAGAGCCTCCAAGGCTGCCGAAGGTCGAGAAAGTGCTCAAAAATGAGTGTGTGGTTTCGTGGCAGCCCCCGTCATGGGACGGTGGTGCCAACATCAATAGCTATATCGTCGAGAAGCGTGAACTGCCCATGGAGTCTTGGATTAAATGTTGCACTACACGCCTCACCACCGCACAGATTACAGGCCTCAGTCCCGGTCACAAATACCAGTTCCGGATCTCTGCTGAGAACGTTTATGGCCGCTCCGACCCTTCAATCCCTACGAGCACTGCCGAGCTCCCTGCCGCTCCCATCAAAAAGGGACGCGGAAGAAAGGTTGAAGTCGATGAAACTGGCAAGAAAATCCGTGGCCAAAAAGAAGATGTTGACAATTACGATAAGTTTGTATTCGACATATACGCAAAGTACGTGCCTCAACCAGTGGACATCAAGCACACTTCTGTTTACGATCACTACGAGATTTTGGAAGAAATCGGCACCGGCGCTTTCGGCGTGGTGCACAGATGTAGAGAAATTAAGACTGGCAATATTTTCGCGGCCAAATTCATTCCAGTTTCATCAGCAATAGAGAGAGATCTCATCCGCAAGGAAATAGACATAATGAACCACCTGCACCATCCCAAGCTCATCAACCTCCACGATGCATTCGAGGATGAGGATGAAATGGTGCTCATCTTCGAATTGTGAGTTCTTCCAACTATGGTGTTGCATTTCACAGTCATGTTCGATTATTTATTTTTCTGTCTTGCCTATTAAATTCTCACGATAGGAATAACATTTGTTAATGGTTTGTGGTTGAGTTCAATTCAATTTTCGGTACAGCATGAGTGAATAAGATACACTTGTAATTTTAGTCCATAAAATTATTGCCCGCAATAATTTAATGAAAATATCAATCAGCGAGTGATTTTCTCATCTCAATATTCATGTTGAGCAAAATCTTTCAATTTTCGAAGCCCAAACATAATTTTCACTCACTCGCAGTAAATATGGATATATTTTCACTCGCTTTAATGCACCGGTGTAAGTGTAACTGTCGTTTTGCATTTGCTGGCAGATAGATAAAGTAATTATAGCCCGTTAAAAGTTTTGGTTGGCGGCTATGTAAGAAAGTTTACGGTAAACTAGGACGGTATTTCATTATTAATTGAACGGTTGTCTTGCGCCAGTTTGTCGGGCGGAGAGCTGTTCGAGCGCATCACGGCCGAAGGCTACGTCATGTCAGAAGCTGAAGTCATCAACTACATGCGGCAAGTGTGTGAAGGCGTCAAGCAGATGCACGAGAAGAACATCATCCATCTTGGTGAGTCGTCGTCTGCGTTGCTTAATACCCTTTGCTATCGAGGTTACTCAGGGGATCTTGTTTGTATTCGGTGTCAAGTAACTTTCCCTGCATTACTAAAATGGATTACAAGGATTTATTTTTGTAAATGAAAATTGTATCTTAATTAATTATTAACTACCGATTATTACTTCCTATTCAAATTTAGTCAAACATACACCCGATAATTTCTTAAGTCTCGGGAAAAACACGAGCTAATCATATGGACGGCGACGCCAAAGGAGTCTGGTCGATTATAATGTCGTGAAAGTTACAAGGAATTATTATCATTTGCATTCACAAGCGCCTGCTGCCAATCGCTCTTTCCAACGCCCTTTTCCTTATTTGTGTTATTTTACTTGCAAGCAAACGTTCAGCGAAACAATTGTTCTGAAAACGGAATTAAGGTTCAAAACTCTTGATTTAATCATGAAATTTTATGCTAAGCAAATCATCCTTCCCGATGTTATACAACGCCGAAAAAGCAACTGATCGGCCTGTTAGTTATTAAAACAAATAATTTCTGCAAACCACCTCCATAATTTGGAAGAATAATGATGCTAGTTGCGTGACTGTCTGATTATTTTACCAATGTAATTATTCGCAAGTGCGCTCGTCCCGGAAATTAAAAGTGCAACATGCTTGTCATGACACAAATTAAGTCCTGTTATTATTGTTACTGCTTCTTTTGTTTATTATATATAAAATCACTTGGAAGCTTCATAATTCACGGAAAATTAGTGTTAAGATTTTAATTTAAGTTGACTCAATACCTGAATTGATATTTTTCAAGGACTTTGATTCGAAGGGCCCTCATGATAACTGTGATGATGAAACTATGATCTGTGTTGTGTATGCTGCTGCTAAGGGCCTGCATCATTCTCCTTCCATCAGGCATCAGACCGGAGAAAATCTTGTTGTGTAACCTTTCCGAGTGTGATGAGCTTAATGTTGAAGGTTCGTAGCAGGCGATCGTTGTGTGCTTCTTGTCCTCCTTTTAAATTATTTTGCTTTCTTCCATGTATTCCTATTTTGCAATTTTGCTGTAATGGCCGAAATTATTAGAGCTTATGTTTCTCTTGCGATTAAGTTGCTGGTGTAATTAGGTTTCGACACGCCAGGTCGGCCTGTCGAATTACCACAATTTGCTCCCTTAAATCTATCATTGACATGAGAACGTGGAAGCAATTTATCTCTGCCAATATTTTGAATAAGGTGTATTTTTAATCAAATCCTTCCCCCAGTAATGTTTCTGTGCTTGTACTGATGTTGTTGGGATTTCTCTTATTCCTGGAATTCCTGGTCCCCACAAATTCATTTGGAAGCTTTCATAGTTCTAACTATAGCGCTCGCAACTTTTGGTAATCTTTGAACTGGGCAACATATGATGAAAGTCTTTCCCGTTACTTCACGAAAGAGCTTAACAGATATGTAAGAAATTAGATGGGTATTCAAGCAAATAGAACATTTTGGAAGTACGTAGTACGTAACCTAGATTAGATTTCAGTGTGCACAACTATCTGCTGTGTTTTATTTCGTAGCATATTTATCAGGCAACGCTGCCACATGCTTGAAAAAATATTGCCTGGCGTGAACGGGCTTGAATATTGTTGACATTTCCTCATTGGAACGTCCGCCCATTGGAATAAATCTTACTGCATCATTAAATCAATACAGAATATTTATTTTATTTGATTTCTTTCCTGATGCTTTCATACTGCTGAATATGTGTTTCTCCTTACAGACCATGAGACAGACCACTCCCGAACCATCTTTTTTTTTCTACCCGAATCCCACTCTAAGACAATATGCTTCCAGGGCCAGCTCCTCTCAAACTGATTCCATTCGATGAGATGGTGGTTTGCGGTGTTGGGCGTTCCTTCTACTGTCATCTCACAATTGCACATTGTTCATGCCGTTTCCCCATATATTTCTTACTGGTATTCACGTAGAGCGTCTCCGTCTTTGCAGACATCAAGCCAGAAAACATTATGTGCCAGACCAAGAACTCAACGAACGTCAAGCTCATCGACTTCGGTCTCGCCACGAAGTTGGATCCCAACGAAGTCGTCAAGATCTCGACGGGTACAGCCGAGTTCGCTGCTCCAGAAATCGTTGAGCGGGAGCCTGTTGGTTTTTATACGGACATGTGGGCGATTGGCGTGTTGGCTTACGTCTTGTTGAGCGGACTGTCACCTTTTGCTGGTGAAAATGACATTGAAACTCTCAAGAACGTGAAGGCATGCGACTGGGACTTCGATGAAGAGACCTTCTCGACGGTGTCGAGCGAAGCTAAAGACTTCATCCGAAGACTGCTGATCAAGAACAAGGAGTGAGTTTTGCAAAAGATCATATTCACATGAATTTAGTTTTTATTTGTTGAGGTTAATAAAATCCACAATTTCGGAAGCATATCTCAATTTATTCATTATTAGTTTTAAGCTGTCTCAAATTTTATTTCCATTTAGATCGAATTAAACACTTTAACGGGGAAATTTTGTCTCATTGCTATGATATGATCTTGGACTTGAATTTCCCATTTGAGTCAATATACTTTTTCTTAGTGTTAATGAACACCAAGGAAATGAATATATCGTTTATTGGTGTCCTACTCCCGCCGAAAGCTTGAATTGCATGAAAACTTGGCATTGATTATCAAACTTTTCTTATCTCACTGGACTGTTTGAATATCCCTCGGAAATAAATCTCACCGAGCATGTATTTTTATGTTTCATGTTTAGCTAGCTCATTCTAAATGCTTTTAACCTTAAGAATGAGAAGAAATGAAAATGTCAATCTTATTTACTCGCGTTAGGATTGGGAGTTCTGATAAGACATCGAAACTGTACACTCTTCGTCTAACGTTCAACGGGGTTTGAACTACTTATATTCTCTGCTAGTTGTGCTACTTTCATTTAATGCAAAATGAGTTGTTAAATTATTATACAACATTTAAGTACGATAATATCGAAAGCCTTGGTAATTAGTGCCTAAATTTTGCGTAATTACTATACAAAATTTATTGACGACATAATATAAAGCCTTGGTAATTAGTGCATAAATTTTGCGTAATTATTATACAAAATTTAATGACGATAATATCGAAAGCCTTGGTAATTAGTGCATAAATTTTGCGTAATTATTATACAAAATTTAATGACGATAATATCGAAAGCCTTGGTAATTAGTGCCGAAATTTTGCGTAATTATTATACAAAATTTAATGACGACATAATCTAAAGCCATGGTAATTAGTGCATAAATTTTGCGTGCGTGCAGGAAGCGCATGACGGCGCACGAGTGTCTGGTGCACCCATGGCTGCGCGGCGACCACGCACCCCGTCTCGAGCCCATCGACATGCTGCGCTACGTGCCCATCAGGGATAAGATACGTGCCAAGTACAGGGAGTGGGAGAAGTTCCTCGTACCCATCGGCAGGATTGCCGAGTACTCCTCCCTCAGGAAGATGCAGCGGGAAAAATACAGAATACATGACACTCAGTTCGGTGAGTCGACTAGTTTCGGCACGTACTAATGCATTTGTGAATGATTCATTGAATCCCAAGGTAAGAGTAACTCAATGCATGAGGTTTATGTTTGAGAAACTGGCACGACTTTTTCCTCAGTGAGATGTAGCCTTTCATTGTGAAAGGCACGAGGCGCTATATAATAGAACATTGAATGCATTTAACTTTTATTTCAATCAGATGCTACACTGCGAGAGTCTTCACTAGTGTCATAATATAACGAGTAATATGATATTATAACAAGTTGTATGATAGTATAGAGGGTAAGGACTGCACTAAGGCTAAAATATTGAGACAGATGCCCAAACCTATGCAAATCATTTTCTAAAAAATATATGCACGTCTTCCATACTTTCGCCTCCATGTTATTAAGATGCATCATAAAAACTTAGTAAGCTTTCTAACTTTTCCTTGGTCGCAGATCGCCGCCAGTGCGCACCTCGCTTCGTCATCCGCCCTCAGAACCAAATGACGTACGAGGGACAGAGCGTCAAGTTCAGCTGCCGCATCGTCGCGCTCTCCGCGCCCACGGTCACCTGGTACCACAACAACCTTGACCTTCGCCAGTCCGTCAAGTACATGAAGAGGTCAGTTATATAATGACCTTGGCCTTCGCCAGTCCGTCAAGTACATGAAGAGGTCAGTTATATAATAACCTTGCCCTTCGCCAGTCCGTCAAGTACATGAAGAGGTCAGTTATATAATAACTTGACCTTCGCCAGTCCGTCAAGTATATGAAGAGGTCAGTTATATAATAACTTGCCCTTCGCCAGTCCGTTAAGTATATGAAGAGGTCAGTTATATAATAACTTGACCTTCGCCAGTCCGTCAACTATATGAAGAGGTCAGTTCAATGAACAATCAAATTATGATTAAATTCAAATAAAAAATTAATCTCTACAAATTATATAATGAAAAGTATTTGCTCTGGTCCCCGCAGAGAAAATTGTCTCCGCTGACAAGCTTTAAAATTAGTAAAACATAAACTTCAACATTTTTAATGTTAGGCAAATTTTTGAGTTAACACAACTTTTATCTGTTGGAAATTTTTGAGTAAAGGTGCTCCAAGTTAATTTCAGTCGTATTTCACACAGCAAAATATATAATTTACTCGGAATCAATTTATTACACTTTCAAGCCTAACTGTAAAATCGTAATAGAAGAAAAAATGTGTTTAAAATTTTTTAAATTGTAGTTGATTGTAGTTGATTGATTAAAAATTGTAGTTCGGAAATTGTACTTGATTGATGTCGAAAATGAACTATGCTCGTAATAATACAATGAACAACTAAACAAATATGTAGTCGAAAGTAAATGTGAAAGAATCGCAAAGAGTGCTGTAAGTTATTGCTTAATCATTGTTGGCTCAATCAAAATATTTCTTGTGTGCAACTGAAATTAGTCTTGTTTTATTTAAGAAAAGCCTGCAAACTGAGAATTGTTGCTTTTACTGGTTGTTTGTTGTAGCAATTAGACTTTACCTTAAATGGCCCTGGGGTTTTCCAAGTAATTAAAAATTAATTTGTTTATTCGTTTCAATTGATTACTAGGTGGTTAATTTATGTGACTTAATTAATTTAAAAATTAAAAAAAACCTGCATTAATAAGATATTAATAATTTCAATTACTTCAATATAAATCATGAGTATGTAGTTAAGTGTTATGTCGTCCGCTGCAAGCTCTTCGTGCAATTAGTATGGAGGTTGGGAAGAAGTATCAGAGGTGGCCCCTTCAATAATACAAGCCCAGTCACATTGCAGTGAGGTTATAAAGTGAGATTGTATTTAATTGTTTCAGATACACTGGCGAGGACTATACATTCGTGATCAACCGCGTGAAGCTTGATGATCGCGGCGAGTACATCATCAGGGCCGAGAACAGCTACGGCGTCAAGGAGGAACCTGTCTTTATCAATGTCATTCGTAAGTGTCACCGTGTTTTCAATGTACATTACGTAAAAGATATTTTATAAAAAGTCTACGTTTTAATTTTATATCACAATTCAGTCATAAAAAATTATCAATAATGATATTATGATAATGCAATTATAATATGGTAATTAAAATTTTGGGAGTTTTCTTAATCTTTTCAGTCATGAGCAACTTCATTAAATTGTCTCGGGCTGGCACGTTATTAGATTATACAAGTTAACCCTTAACTCCACTCTATGTCTCCAGCCTTGCCACCCGAGGCGCCAGCGTACAAACCCGTTGAGCAGCGCATCAGGACACGCGCCCCCATCGCCTACAAACTGTGGCAGGAGGAGTCGGACTCTGCCCCAGTCTTCACATTCTTGCTTCGTCCCCGCGTTATCCAGCTCCACCAGACCTGCAAGCTGCTCTGCTGTCTCTCTGGCAAGCCAACGCCCACTGTCAAGTGGTACAAGGGCACCAAGGAGCTCAACAAATACGAGTACAACGCCCAGCAGGGAGATGGTGTCGTGACCATCGAGATCGTTGACTGCCAGCCAAAGGACTCCGGCAAATACAGATGCGTGGCGCAAAACGAACATGGCATTGACGAGACGCAGTGCGTGGTCATCGTTGAAGGTGAGTTACCGTGACCCACTATGAATACATTACCGTGTTAGCGATAGTTCTTCTACTTAATTCGAAAGAAAAGTAATTAAGTAGTTAAGTAGTATGTTTCGGTGAAATTATTTTCAGATAATATTGTATGATATAAATTAATATCGATTTGTATTACCTTAATCGTGAATTTTTCCTCACGAGTCTTGTGTCGCAGCACTATGGGTGTCTCATGTGGTAATGCCTAATGGCAATTGCTCAATTTAGCAAGAACCTGAAACGTGGTGCGTTAACTTTGACTGGACGACTGCATTGTGTTTTATTGAAGAGGAAGGTACATGAATTCATTGCATAACAATAAAACATTTAATATCAGAACTTCCATGATGGAAATATTTAAGGGATATAGGATGCAAAGCATGATGAATTACAACTTGTGTGTGTGTATCCAGCAAGTCAGTACGCCATGTAGGCCTGTCGAATTACCAGAATTTGCTCCCTCTAATCTATCATTGACATGAGAGCGTGGAAGCAATTTAATCTCTGACGATATGGTTAATAATGATGTACGTGTATATATATACGACAAACTAAATGCTACCTTATCAAGAGCTGGCAGTTAGCAAGGCTCATCTCGGGAACAGGAGTCAAGGTTTGAGCGTAAGAAATATTCAGCCGCTCAGTCTGCATCGTGTGATAATGGTAAACTCGCTTCAGATTTTCATAGGCCTAAAATACATACAAAATTTAAAGTCCGAACAGTCTTGCCATATTAAGTTTCAACAACAATCAGGAATTTTCGTTATTTTTTATTGTGAATTCCTTCCAGGCTTCGTCACTACGAATTTAACTTGAAATACAACTCGAAGCCTTCAAACATGAATGAAAATTTGACGTAAAGATCCTATCCTTTTGAATAGCGTGTTTGCTGTTGGCAGTTCCTTTAGGCTTGAAGGCTTGATGCCGAACAGAAGAAAAGTCGTTTATCTTTCCAGGCGGCAAAAGTCGCTTGAATCATTTTAAACGGTTTATGCGTATTGTGCAAAAATAATAATGCGGTAGCAGTGTTGGTTTGGCAATGTTGGCCGAAACTTTGCCGATTTCTATCAGAACTTTCTCAGCTATTTATATAGTTGCGGCTTTTAGACCCCAAAATGACTGCTCCAATCTTGGTGATTTTAATCACTTGGCCACCGAAGTGTAACTCAATTTCAATTGGTTGTGCTCTGTTGTCATAGGACCTGGGGAGTTTACTCAGGACCAAACAGCGCTCATCACGAGCATGAATCCTGCAGGTAATTGAAGGCTTCAAGCAACTACAACGGCTGCACGGCTGCGCCAACCTTCGGTTGATGGCCTATACCTACGCATACGTAGAATTAATCGAGATAATAACTTTCAGTTTAACTCAGACGCCTATACTGTGCTTGAAGCGAACGAAGGTCTCTACTTTTTTTGCATGCCGAGACTTCTTTTCGAATTTCTTGATCACCTCATTATTTCAATTAAAAAATTGTCTTATATAAACATTTATCCTCTTTCTATGCTTCTCAACCGAGGATTGCCACTCATTTCTGCCCAATTTGATTTTTTATTTCAAAATTTAATTGACACAGTTTCCTTTCATTCAGTTCACGTCATTTGAATTTCGCATCGCATGGATTGGTTTTAGAGATAATTCGATAATTTCTTTTGTAAATTGCGAGACTTGAACTACCGACACTCACTCACTGCGCGGATGCACGCCAGTGTGGACTCATGTGGTCCATTTATTGAACGCGTAATTCTAACTTAACACGTAACTGCTCCCCGATCTATTTTATTTATTTACACTTTTCTCTTCAGGAACGTTGGCTTTAATTGCGTAAATTTCGGAAAAAAAAACAGATTTAAGTTTAATTATTTTGTGAAATGACACTTGTTTGGTCGAGCATCCTCGCTGAGAAGCTGGTAACTATTCAGAGTTATTCATTTCCGACGAGTAACTCTTTAAATCACCATTTCCTCGGTATCTCAACCAGTCGGTTAGACATCTCGTGTTTACTGTGGCGACCACTCTGTAGAATATTCTGGTTTCAAAGAAATTCAAATATTCACAGAAGTCGGTGATGATTATCTAGTATCCCCACCAATGTTAGGGCAGGTCTGGAGGTAAGAGAGGGTATGCTACCAGCGTCCGTACCCTCGGCACTTTACCCTCGGCTTCAAAAACTTTCCTGAGCGCCGGAGAATTAGTTTCCCGAAGAAAAAGGCTTGTTACATTATTGCAAATTTTTTTTCATAATTCTAAAGTCTTTTTATGCCCGCAATGCAGTCGTCCCGAACATTTTTCGCAGCAACTTGGTCGAGCAGTGGATATCGACTGAAAAATACCACAATCAGGGCGATTTTTAAATTTATTTTATTCTATCTCCTCCCTGAGGTAATTTTGAATGCCTTAGCAAATTCTTTTCGATTCGATCTTCTCTAATTTTTCTCTCTGTCGTCCTCTGAAGCTCTCCAGGCAACAGAAGAACAAACACAGTTCCTAAAGACTCTTTCTTCTGAAGGTAAAATTTTTCAAATTTTTTATCAGATGTATGATAGCTTTTTCACTTCCCTTCTTCCTCTCCTTCTACTGCCAATGAGACAAAGTGGTGGTTTCTTCGCGTTTTTATTCGACTTTTGTGCGATTAATTGATAGCCCGGCCTTTTCTTGTTCTATTTTGTAGCAAGTAACAAAATTTTATTTCACGCCATTTTACGCCCGTCGTGAATCCATATTTAAATATTACTTGTATAAATGCTAAATTACATTTCCAAAATCTCTCTAAAAGCTTTCTGTTCTATAATAGGGTAAATTATCCTATATCATATGTAAACTTCCCCTAAATGTTTTGTAACTTGTATTGCTTGTATAAATAGTAATTTAAATATCCAAAGATCATTCATGAAGCGTTCTTTTCAGAAGTAGAAAAATTCTCGCTACATCATCTGTAAACTTTTCTTAATTAAATGCTTACCAACTTGAGTTCCTCAAATAGATGTTAAATTAAAAATCCAGAATGCACTATTAAATCTTTCTGTTCTAGAATAAACTCTACTAAATCTTCTGTAAACTTGTTCTGAAAAAACGCCAAATCTATGCACTGGATGTCTGTTGCTATATTGTACAATCTATGCCGATAATTTATGTCGCAAAAATTATGTTAGTGACAAAAATGAACAGTTAATCTATCATTATTTATTAGCTTATACATATTAAACGTAAGAAGTTGGACCTTCTTATTAATACATGTATGCTAATGTCTACTTATGAGGAGGAAAGTTACGCACCTCTTTTTCATACAGTCGTCTTGTGTGGGAAAAATAATAAATGTCAAGTGGAATTTAAAGTGGAGGGTAAAAATTATGTAACTAGTTACGCCATAGAAATTTTGTGTGAAATTAAATCTCTAGCGTACTGTTACGAGTTTAAAATTCGGGTTCAGTATTAGTGGCGTGATTAGACATACGTACATATATACCTTTATAGTTATGTTCTAGCAAAACTGGTCGCATAACTAGCGTGAGTAGACATACCCTTTATTCTTGTTATAGCAACACTGGTCGCATAACTAGCGTGAGTAGACATACCCTTTATTCTTGTTATAGCAACACTGGTCGCATAACTAGAGTGAGTAGACATACCCTTTATAGTTATATTACAGTTATACTGGTCACATAAACCTTCCAGTTTTTGGAATGGAAGAATCTTTAATCGCCATCGACATGCCAGGCCTTGATCCCAGTTTTAACATATATTCAATTGACCGTACTGACTTCGTGTTCACGCGTAATCTAAGCAAAACAGATGTATGCCCCGTCCGTGAATTTATAGCTGTCAAGTCGCAATCGAATAAATAATTTACGATTGTCTCTCATCAATTGACAGGAAAGTAATACGGTTATTGAACAAATCCCGAAAAACAATGGTATAGGAATATATGTACTTTCCTATATACTCTGTCTAATTTGCGCATCTATGCGTAAAGACGACAGCATTATGAAATTTTATTATAAAGTGTAAATTTTATAGTTTTCCTCATTCATGCTGTTAAAGTGTGGTTATTGCACGTCGCTGTCGCTTGCATGTTAGTTTCCTAACAATTATATCAAATCAACAAGTTTTCATTTCATCAAATTAAAGAGGAACAACATATTATTATTGTTAAGATCGTATTTTGCCACAGTTTTGTTTACTGAGGCGTCTAAAGCTCATTCTGAGGCTTAATAGTTCCAATATTAAAGTATTTTGAATACTTTTGAATTTATTTGAAACTTTTTGTTGGATGTCGAATATATCCTAGTTAGCCGTACGAGGTAATAAGGTTATGAAAACAAATGTGTCACAGTACGAATCATCGACGCGAACTTTGCAAGGATGTTACTTGATAAATCATTTTTCAAATGCGATGGAAATTGCTGTGATTTACTTTTTAATTTCTGCTGTTCATGAAAGGTTGAACGTGTCTCTGGTTTACAGACCGCCGTTACATCGAGACCACAATAAAGGATCTGCCATCGAAGCCGGTCTCCGCTGCACCTAAGTATGAAACAACGCCGTCCACCAAGGTGAGTTGTATCGGCTAGCTCGCGAATGATGTTCTTAATCAAACAAACTCCAAATTATCAGAGGCTTTGACAATTTTATTACTTATCACGAAAATGGTTGGGTTACACTCGCTCTGTTTACTCTGGGTCTTAAATTGTCGTTCAGTTGATTTAGTTTGTAAAAAATTTTAAAGCATCAAATAAAACAGGGAGTTTATAATATCTCCTTATAATAAAATGAATGCACATTGTAACATTTGATTTGTTCAGTCGGCTGCGACGAGAGCGGTTGAGAGCGTCAAGAAGGAGGCGGCCAAAGAAAAGGAGGCGAAGGATGGCAAGCGGCAAGTGAAGCCCTACGGCAAGCGGCAGGACTCGGGCGGCCTCTCCAGATCTCGATCTGCCACGAAGGAGCTTGAGCGTGAGTCAAAAAAATATAACTCAGTACTCACTGCAGTGAGTGACAGAGAGCGCATTTTCTCGTCGACGAAAATTTGAGGTCACGGACAGACGGACGGACAAGACGGACGGACAGACGGACGGACGGACATGGCGAGCACAATAGTGCATTTTTTCCATAAATGAGAAAATGCGCTAAAAATCGAAAATAAAATCAACCGCATAGAAATTTTGATGACATTCTCTTGAAGTATCCCACCAATTTATTTTTCGAGCAATATTATTATTTTTTTGTGCTTTCTTGTTAATCTCATTGGAAATGCTAATATGATGCGCCTTATACAGTGCCGCCGGACGACTCTTTGATGCACACACCAAAATTCACGGGTCCTCTTCCTCCAAAGCTGGAGATCAAAGATGGCGACATACTAGCACTGAAATGCACAGTGAGCGGAGATCCTGAGCCGCAAGTGTCGTGGTACAGGAACGGAGAACTGCTCAGTTCCTCCGACATTATAGACCTGCGTTACAAACAGGGCATGGCCACTCTCACCATCAACGAAGTCTTCCCTGAAGACGAAGGTTCCTACACTTGCAGGGCCAGCAACTCTCTCGGCAGCGTCGATACAGTCTGCAAACTGACAGTTCTTCCCATGGAACAAACCAAGAAGAAGGGAGCTAAGGGAGGAGACAAAGTCCCAAAAATACTTGAACATATCAAATCAAAGGAAGTCCAGGACGGCACTCCAGTAACGCTATCCTGCAAGGTCGGAGGAGCAACCAAGTTTGACGTTGTTTGGTTACATAATGAGAAGGAGATTAAACCATCGAAAGATTTTGAGTACCTAAGTGAGGGCAACAAATACACACTGAAAATTGCTGAAATCTTCCCTGAGGACGCCGGCACCTACACGTGCGAAGCCTTCAACGACGTCGGCGAGACGTTCAGCTCCTGCACCGTCGTGGTCATAGGTCAGTGAGGCTCCGTCTGCTAGAATCACTTCACTTGTTGACATGAATTGCCTGAATGAATTTATTGATCATAATTAATTTAAGAGGTGTAGTATGCGATATTTCTTTCAGCTTACTAACCATCCAGCGTGGATAATCTCAAGCCGGGAAAAGAATAAATTTTTTCTCTGCGCTTAAGACAGTGATTAGCTCCAAAGTTTCATCGTTGCGTGATGAGAAAAATAGCCTTCATAATTCGTTTTATACTGAATACATATCATACAAGATTGATTCACAATGTACCGCATAAACTCCTATATTTTGCGACACATGTTGTATATTCACAACTAACATCCATCGTAATTTGTATAGAATAATATTCACGAGAAACAACAAAAATCTAAGGCTTCATTTTTGAAAAACTATCATTGCTGTGTTGGAGCGAGAATAGCGCTTAAACGTTGATGCAAACAAGCAAGTGTCCGTATTATACATTTGTGACACGTTACCCGTGACTGTTGCAACTAATGATCATTCTTATATTACTAATAAATGAAATATGTTTTTTTCCTACAACTCAAGTGTTTCATTTGTTTCAGTTCCCGGGGAAGAGAAGCCCCAGCCTGCCTTCAAAACCTTCCCAAGCTCCCAGACGGTGAAGGAAGGAGAACCCGCCAGCTTCCCCGTCGCCCTGGAGAAGGAGGCCACTGGAGTGACGTGGCTCAAGGACGGCAAGCCCATAGACGCAGGCTCCTCGCGCTACAAAGTGACGGGATCCAAGAAGGACTTCTGCCTCGAGATCCTGAACTGCTTACCGACGGATGTTGGCCAGTACACCGTCAAAGCCGCCAGTAAAAAGGGAGAAACCGCAGCCACCTTCGCGCTCAATCTCCTACCGGAAGAGAAATAGTTTTTCATTTCACCTATAGTGACTTCCTGTTTATTTCGTCATCCCACTTAATTCTGGTGAGTCAAAGAACGCGGTTAGGCAATCTAATGACAGTAGCGCTCTAAGCTTATAATTCTTTTATATGAATTTTTGATATTATATCCCGTAACTGAATTCTATATTTTATTCATATATGTTGATATTTTACATATATTGTCTCTTACAAGTCAACAACACGTTGACATGCTGTCTTGTCAATTTTTTTCAGAAAGTTTACCGCGTCAGCTGAACAATTAGCTTCTGAACTCATCTCTCCGCTGCCGAGGATGTTTTGCTTCCTCGACTTCACCGCAGCGTCCGTTTGTGGGAAGGAAGGAAGCTCGGGCTTGAGTTGTTAATGTATGCTTCGCGGCTGGGCCATAGAGAAACCGTAACGAAGCCCGGGCTTGTGTTTTAAGTGCATGCTTCACGTCTGGGTCGCAGTAACCCTAAAGAAGCCCGGGCTTGTGCTTTAAGTGTATGCTTCACGGCTGGGTCGCAGTAGCCCTAAAAAAGCCCGGGCTTGTGTTCTAAGTGTATGCTTCGCGGCTGGGTCGCAGACCCAACCCTATTAATTGGCTCTATTAACTTAGATTGTTTGTGTTCTGCATCCCGAAATTTTGTGCGGTCGGTTGTCTGATGTTATTTCTGCTATTTGAAACGTCCTTAAATTAGAGAATTACTTTTTAGAAGGCCGACCAGGGCCCTAATCGCTCATTATCATTGTAAACAACGCCTAAATGAAGTTACGATCAGGTTAAGGCTACAATCATGCGTGTCGTGTGCTTGTGTGTCATATCACATCGTAGAGTGAACGTCTCTTATAACTTGCAATGTATAAAGAGTTAGCCTCGACGTTTAATTAATTCATGAACCTATGTTTTTATTGATTTGTGTTTTGCTGTTGAGAATTCATGTTTTTAATCGTAAATATTTTTGCTGCTTATGTTTTGTAGCGCTCTGAATCATTGTTCTGCCAGCGGTTGCATCTCGGTTGCCATCCAAGATCCTTTCTGCGTCATGACTCAACGTGGTCTTTGAGGCTTCGTACTGCTCTTCCAGTAAAGAAGAATTATTCACTAAAGATACAACATCGTAATGTGTTCGCAACCATCGATGATTATTAAACTATGTTCATACTACGTACCCCGACCAGCCAGTTTGTTTCACATTGCATTGTTTCGACTGCGATTTAAAAACCGACGCATAATAAAATGACTGCGAAGTTCTACGATCAACTCGACATGTCTCCTGTACGAGTAAATGTGCATTTTATTATTGGTGAGCTTATTATTCCTCTGTGGCGTATTCATATATGTAATGATATTTTACAGGTTAATTCACAGTTACTATTTGTTTCTATTAACTAAAATTTAGAAGGCTAGCATCCTAGCAATGATATTCAACATACGTAATTAGCAATATATGATATTCAACAAAATAATTTTGGAAAAATACTGTGAAACAACTAATTTTTGATGACACAGAAAACCTCGCATTATTTGCTTGTATGGGATTTTGAAATGATACAAAATTTGTATTATTATGAAAAATTGTCAGCTTAGACAAATTCATCATGTCACTCAGGAAACAAATAAGAATTTTGTAGATATTTTCTACAAAACAAACATATTAAAACAAACATAACATATTAAAACACATATTAACATATTAAACATATTAAAACAAACATAAACAAACATATTTACTGTATTTTTAACAAATAAGAAGCGTACAGTACGAAAATATCCAAGGAGAAAATAAAACGTTCGTTGATGCAGCAACTTGGAAGTAAAGTATTGATGTTTCTAAAGCTTGTAATCTGATATGAATTTAAAAATGTATCAGTTAATTCATTCATTTCAGTTCACATGAATCTTAGATCTTGTCGGTGACCAAAAACTCTGAGGAGGAAAATGACCATGTCATAAGAACTCACTGCGCGTTATTGTTGAGGCATCACTATAAACGAACATTGCTACATCAAGGAAAGTATAATAAAAAGAATATTTAATCGTTAACAAATTGTACGTGGAGGAACATTCTAAGCTTTTCATGATCCAAGGATCGATCGAATTTCAAATCAAAGTTATCAAATTGAAACACAGAAAATTTATTAATGTAGTCCAACCCCAATCGCGCCCAGTTGACAGTGACCAACGTAATTGAATTATTTGAGGGCCTAGATGATATTGGCCAATGACCATTAAATCATTAATTTATGTTATTCAAATTAAAATATTCTCACATCCAACATTGATTATATCCAAATTTGGATTAAAAAATTAATATCCTGACACAATCGCTGAGCTTCAGAAAGTTTCAACAAATAGTATCAAAACTTTTGACAGTCAGATTAACACGAACTACCTTTCAAAGCCAATGAATAAATTCATATACTTCTGAATCTGTCTGAATATATCGGAATTGGATGAAATCAATTTTTAAATATTTTAAAAATTATCATATGACTGATAAATATAAAGCTTACGGATTACTATAGAAAATGGTTTACTTGTTTACTTCGAAGAAAAATTGCTCAGCCAAAACAGCTCACAAAGTTTGAAATGGACGCTGAGAAAAAGCGAAAGAATTAATTTTCCGCTCAGTCGGATGGAAGAGTTCATTCCGTTAGTGTTGCACGAGGTTCCGTTCGCTCTGTTATGGGAGCGCAGCCGTGCACCACCAATTTTGTGCACCAATAAGCCCTGAATCGAACGCCTTGGATCTCTCCGGACCTACACCAATCAGCCGTGCACCACTCGGCTTTGTCCTCTTCCGGCCTTGACCACCACGGCACCACCTGCCGTGCACCACCAGGCCGCGCATCAAATATGACTTCCAGGCATAGTGGCAAAGCAGAGACTTTTTTAATTTTTTAGAGTTTAGACTCTCCCTCAAGTTCATTTTTGAGTCCTATAAGTAGACCAGTAAAGTATCATGGATACCAGCATCATCATACATAAGAAATTGGTTTAAATCTTGGGTAAATGAGGGAATTAAAAATGAACTGATTCTAAAAAATTTCTAGTTTGTCACTATGCTTCCAGGCATCGTTAAATTGCGCAATTTTACGTTCATCGCATCTGAGGTTAGGTTTCAGATAGCATAGTTCTGTTCCAAAATTTATCGTCCTTCGAAAAGTGGCCGTTCGACCGAGGGCTGGTTCGACCCACGGCCTAGATACGGACGGCTTGACGTGTTGATTGTTGAAGGCTACGACGCTACGTTCCGGAAGGCAGGAATCATGATGGTCCATTACATCCAGGGCAGTGGTGGTCTTCGGCAGGCGACCCCTCTGTTATTAGGGTCATAGTGACAAAGCACAGATTTTTCAGAATCAGTTCATTTTTAATTTCCTCATTTACTTCAGATTTATACCAATTTCTTATGTATAATAATGCTGGTATCCAGGATACTTTACTTGTCTACTTATAGGACTCAAAAATGAACTTGAGGAGAGTCTAAAAACTCTCTGCTTTGCCACTATGAATTTTAGGGTGTAGTCGAGTAATAGATGCAGAAAAGGATGAATTTGAAACTCCTTTTGAAAAATTGAATTTGTTGAGAATTATTACCAGTTTTTCACACTTCGAAGCAACTTTCTAAAGATTCATAAATCACCATGAAACTTTTTATAATTGAGTTTAGGCTCATTTTAAAGGTCATTGCGATTGGCAAGGTAGCGAGGCCATTCCATGGCTTCTGCCATGGACCCAGGCAACTCGTCCTCCACATCATCCAGCGCCAGAGTGGAGGAGGAGGAGGAATTCCATGTGTAATAATAAAATAAACAAAAAAACTTTTGAAAATCATGTTTTCTTAACGAAAAAAAAAAAGAAAAACATCAACTCTTACCTACATAACATTAAAGTTACGTAAAATGTTGTGTAATGTTATGTAAGAGTAAATCACTGTAAATGTTTTTCTTTTTTGTCTGTTAGGAAAATGTGGTTTTTAAACTTTTTTTTTCATTGTATTTAGTTTTGTAAACACATTAAAAATGTGGTTTTAAAAATGGTCTTTTATTTTTATTTATTTTGTACCATTTACCTAGTTTAGCAATTCAAATCAATTTCCAGGGTTGGTAAGTCTGGATGTTCCACAAACAAACTCAATTCCCAACCATGAATTTTTAGGATTTTTACATTTTTTAATTAAAAAACATTTTTATTATTTCCTACTTCTGATGACCAAATCTTGAATTGTTAGGCAGCATAAGCAATTATTTTTAAGCATGCATGCCAAATTCCAAGTTTCTAGGATCTTCAGAAGTGCTCTAATTTAAGGTTTGAATTTCTGATGACAGACATACACACAGACACAAAGCAAAACTAATAAAAATAAAACAAATAAAAAAAACTTTTAAAAACCATGTTTTCTTAACAGACAAAAAAGAAAAACATTCACTCATACATAACATTTAAGTTAGGGTAAACGCGGTATATTCCGACATCGTGGGTAATTCCGTCACCTCTCCAGCTTTTCCTTTATATTAAGCTTTGTTTTAGTTCCATGCGTTTGTTGATGGTTGAAATGGTGACGTCATACATTTGCGCATCAAAATACTGCCAAAACACTAGGTCTTGGCCATCTAGTGGGAAAATATTGAGATCCAAAGAGAGACAATGCAATAAATGCATGCCACCTGGTGAGATCATTGAAAAATTTGTCAAATTTGACGGTTGACCTTGCTCTACCAAATAGTGAATAACTGTTTTTATAGGAAGAATATTATGGTTTGAGACTTTTAAATACGTCTGTGAATATATTAGGAATCCTTTAAGTATACTTGTATTCGCTGATTTCAAGTCGTAAATAAATAGATGATTAAGTTGAAAAATGGATTTAGACACAACTGACACATGAAAACTAATTCCAACACAACTTGAATTGGACACACACAGATCGTTCTAAGCTTTGTACAAAAATTGAAATTTGCTTAATTAAAAGCCTAATAGCTGTTAATTAAAACGTAATTAAGTAGTGTTCAATATTCGTTAGTGTTCTAATTCAAAGCCATGTTGTATCCCAATACAGCTCACACAGCGAACGGAATTCGAACACGTGGATGTCGGCATTATGTATCAGTTAAATTCGAAGTGCTGACGCAATACGACTCACCACGTGCCGAATATTGCCACACACAGTGTCGGAATATAGGGATTTGGTAGGTTTGCATTCTAAAGGCTTTTAAATAAATATGGCAACATTTTGTGACGTTTCATCGTTGCTGGCGCATAGTACGGTGTTTTGCAAGTCAAATAAAGCAAACAGAACTCGACTAACGCATACGGTTATTTTTTTATAGTTTTTCATTTCTCGATGCGTCCTTAATGTGTCGGAATATACCGCGTTTACCCTATGTAAAATGTCATGTAATGTTATGTAAGAGTAAATGTTTTTCTTTTTTGTCCATTAAGAAAATGTGGTTTTTAAAACTTTTTTTTATATGTTTTATTTCACTATTTTTAGTTTTGTAAAAACCAGAAAGACGTGGTTTTTCTGGTTCGTGGCACAATACAAATCAATTTCTAGGGTTGGAAAGTGTGGATGTTCGAGAAAAAACTCAATTCCAAACCGTGAATTTTTCATGTTTTTTTACTTTTTTAAAAAATTTTTCATGAAAAAAATTTTAAATTATTATTTCTGATGATCAAATCTTGAATTGTTAGGCAGCATAAACATGCATGCCAAATTTCAACTTACTAGGATGTTTAGAAGTACTCTAAATTAGGGTTTGAATTTTTTATGACAGACGGACACGAAACGAAGTCAAGAAAAACGTGGTAACATGGTAAAAACGCGCACATTCTAAAAAACAAAAAGTCAAAGTAAACCAAACCACTCCTTCCAAAAGAGAATGCAATATTAGTTAGCATGATCTAAAATATCAGGATAAATCATAGGCCCAGCAATGAAAGGTATACAAGTAACTGGAAATTAAACAGTAAAACTTAAGAGGAGCAACTTGCTCCTCCTTCAACGTATAGGTTAGATTGCAGGGGCAGGAATTAAATGTTATATATCTTAGGAATAACTAAGTTTAATTGTGACACTTTAAATTGTAACTTTGATCTATCTTTTAAACTAGGATTTTTAAAATGTTAGATGTTGAACCTAACCGCTAATATATATACATATAATTGCAGCCTTCTGTGCACCAATAATATTTGCATTTTTTCAGATAATAAATTTAGTTTGTTGTTTTGATATCAGTTAAATATTTAATAATGATTGAACATAGTACTGACATTCATCATGTAAATTTTGTCAATTACTGCCCATCAGAAATTACAAAATTAGGAATTGATGCCAAAACAAGCACTCTGGCTGTTGTCAGGTAAGAGTATTAAATTAAATTGTCTTGTTTACCTTTCCATGCAAAACCTATCAGTCTGCATAGTTTGACATTTTAGTTATACCAAGTCTTCACATGTAGTTGTGCCTAACTGCACCTGTGCTGTTCAACAAAACTTAAAATAGGTAGGCACGTTGTGGGGACTTAAGGCTTGTACAGATCAGTATGTTTATTATTTTACTTTGATTTTGATTTGGCAAAATCTTGATTTTGTGAAAGCTTCAGAAATCTTGAGAGTTTTGACACTTTTGTTGGTACCTCTAGTTATTGTTAGATTATTGTTTGCTAATCAGCAACACTGGTTGCATGACACTGAATAGAAGTAGAATTTTGTATTCTTTTGGCCTTGGCATCATATTTTTCTTCAGCATATGCACTGGTTTTGTCAAATATACTTACATGTAATTACCTTTTGACTGTTGGCAAAATGAATGTGCCAAACAAAAAAATATATATTTTCAATTTAAATCAAGCTGATCTTGTTTCTATTTTTTGTTTCATTGGTACTCTACTCTGGAAAAGATAACTTGGTTATTATAAATTAGAAAAGACTGTAGGACCCAGATCTATCAGAAGTGGGTCAACTGGAACACATGTGTGTCAGTATACTGCCTTCACAATAAGTACTTCAAAATGCTCATGGTTTTGTATGTTTTTATAAGTAGTTCATCTCTATTATCAAAAGTTGTGTGTGGAAAAAAATTGTTATACTATGTATAGTATTCCATATCATAAGGAAATCATTTGTGGCTCATGTGTAGCTCATGCATACCGTACCTATACATTTCAATCAAATTTATTTACATAATTGGTCTATGTCATTATATAATAGTTCTATTATATAGAAGAAGTGCCCCAAGATAGTTTGCTTTGGATCTGTATAATTGTGGTGGAAAATGGATATGTAAAATATTAGCTAATTTTACTCTTGATATTCAAGTAATTTCAGTATAATGTTTTGTATGACTTAAAAATGTGGTTTGTAAATTATCTTTAAATGTCACAAAATAATCCACAAAGATGGTTGATTACTGCCAGAATTATTAATAAATCAGATTGCAGGTGATAGTTTTTGTGTGAGTTGGCTGTGGTTGGTAAAGTTCAATTCTATGATTTGTTCTCAATGATTGTGAGTTGATTGATGAACTTTACTTTTTGCATCAAAAGGACTTATTGCCTACAGATCTAAATTGTTTTTTCTTTATGATAATTTCACTTAGATTTAGCAACTGGATTTATTAAATATAATTTTTTGTCATGTTGAAAAATTTCATCATTTATACCTACACAAACAAAATTTGATCCAAGTGCTAGGTAATCAAGTGATATTTTATCAATTATTCTTAGTGTGATTTTATCAAGTCTTATTCACATCAATGCAATTTTATGTCATGGTCACCATCAGATGCAGCTCTGTCAACAAATCCATATAAATAAAGTGTTTTTTCATGCTAATTCATTCATGTTCTAAATGGCTGGGAATGATCAAAATTCAAGTTTTGCACACTTTTTCAAGCCTTCAGCTTAGTTCTTATTTATTATTATTAGAGTTGCTCTAGCAGGATTTTGTAGACAGTTAATGGTGTATTTATATTGTGTGTATCAATGCTTATGAAACTTCTTGTATTGTGTTGTAACTCTTTCTAAAGTACTGAATCAGGCTTCATTTATTATTTCTATTCAATATTGTAGGGCTGACAACAGCGTTGAGATATGGAACTGCAATCACCGCCCTGTTCTACTGAAGATCTTAAAAGGTATGTATATTTCCTGAGAGTATCTTTTCTGTTGGACAGTTCACTTACATATCTACTTGAATTTTACTGGACTTTATGTATGGTATATACAATTTATACGTACATCACACATGTTAGAAGTGAATCATGAGGAACATATTTTGTCATTATTCTGTGTTAGTTTTGGAAGAATATTATTGATACTGTCAACCGGGGCTACTCGGGACGGTTTTGAGCGTTTTTTGTTAATAACTTCTTACGATGAAACATTTCATAAACAAGTTTAGGCTCATTTTATAGCTCTTTGCGAGGGCTATCGAATGGCATCTTCAAAAAAATTCCATATGCTATTCCTAAGGTGCCAGAAGCAAAAAAAGAGTGTCCCGAGTAGCCCCGTCGAACGGGGCTACTCGGGACACTGGGAATAAAACTTCATTTTAAAATATTTGAAGCATGCAGAGCGTACTCATCCATTACTAACAGTACATCAAAATAGCGTTTTTCACCATTTTTTTCAGGAATTTTTCAAAGCTAGTAAATGTCGTATTTTTCAACTTCCTTTATACTACATAGATAGGAAAAATGTTGTTGTTTAGGCCACTATATTTAGTTTAGCAATATTCCAATTAGTTTCGCTACTATGACTGTTTTACAACGTGTCAGAGGTGCGTCCCGAGTTGCCCCGCCAGTCCTTGACGGTAGTTTGTGCTTTGATTCTTTACTTTGTTTAGAAAGTTTTATTGAACTACACCATTTGTTAGTGATATGTTGGCAATGTCATAGGTTATCAAAAAGATATTGCTGTGGCAATTATTGATATTTGAGGGGCAGTGAAGAGAATTTGTACTGTATAAGCAAGGCACATTTGGAGGTAACCCTAATTGCTCACAGCCAAACTCTAGGCCCATCTAGTACAACCTTATAAAAATACCAAGTTCATGTGTTGGTTGCAGACACCAAGGTTAATGTGTTGGTTGCAGACATCAAGGTTCATGTGTTGGTTGCAGACACCAAGGTTAATGTGTTGGTTGCAGACATCAAGGTTCATGTGTTGGTTGCAGACACCAAGGTTCATGTGTTGGTTGCAGACATCAAGGTTCATGTGTTGGTTGCAGACATCAAGGTTCATGTGTTGGTTGCAGACATCAAGACAGGTCGTGTGGAGTGCGTGGTGTGGTGCCAGGGTCGTCTGTTTGCCGGCAACCTAGACGGCAGCATCAAGGAGCTCCCCGTCTCCTGCCCCCCCACCAGCCCCTGGAGGAGAAAGCCCATCTCTGTCCCAGGAGGAGCCTGCTGGAGCCTTGCTGTCAACAAGGAGCAGACCATTATTGCTGTAAGACTTCATTTGAGTGTTATTAATGCACCCTGAGAAAATGAGAATTGTTGAGAAAATGTGATAATTCATTACAATTGTTGTTATGCTTAATTTGACTTTTCTATCTCCAATGTATGCTCCAAATTTTTTGTCACTTCCTCTTTCTTGAGTTTTAAATTAGGTATGTAAATCTGTTATTCACAATTGAAGACATTTTATTCATTTTTGCAAAGTTAGATAGGAGCCATTAGACCAGCACCAAGAAATTTTCTCAGTGTTTCCACTCTCTCTTAAATTAAATGAAGTTAGATTGCTGTGGAGTCAGCTGAGTAAAGCCTTGACAAGCAGGCAGACCAATGCCTGGGCTGGTCAAGCCCATGTCACTTCAGCTTCAGGTTACCGCCACTAGTGGCTTTTCTAGACTGGGAAATAACCTGGGTCCTATTATCCAAATAGTGACACACTTTACCCCCAGGCTAAACCGGGTCAGAATGACCCACTCGAAAGCAAGGAGTGCATTGCTATTTTGAAAAATATCTGCTTCTTCATTATTGCTACAAGTAATCCAGACTTGTTCAGTATTGGCTGGTTTTGCATCTAGATTTATTGAGTATTTAACTCATCCTATTTATGTGTTCATTTGCAAGTTTTTGTATTTCATATGTTTCCAATATAAGGGGAAAAGATATCAATAAGGATTGATATCTTTCATTGATATTTTTTTACTCTGCATTATATAGAATTCTTGACAAAATTGCATGCACATGCATGCATGCAATGAAATGGGCTGAACTGACTGCTCCTTTGAGTAAAACAAATTTTCATTTTTTATATATATATATACAGGGAAACTTGATCATATATGCACCAAGTCCTATAAGAAGTCTGATAAATTGACAAATTTAGTCATTTCTCTTGTTTGTATAAGGTTGTCAGGCAGTCATTTGACTTGATTGTACAGTAAGGTTATGACCAGGTTACTCATCAACTAATCATGTGCAGGCCAGCAGTGACGGAGGACACATTTCTCTCTTTGCTGTGCTGGAGGATGACTTGCAATTTGAATCCATCATTGAAAAACTTCCCAGTAAGTCAATAAGAAGAACTGGTAATCTAACTGCATTATTCCATATTTTTGGTGATTTTTAAGATGTTTTCATTTAGATATAAAATTTTTATGTTTCAAAAGTTATACTCTGGTACCTTGAATTATAAAATTAAATATGGTTCTTCTATGGCATAGTATCTAAGAAGGTATGTACGTGCCAAGCTAATATTAGGTCTTGTTAGCTCATCAGTTTCTACAAAAGTCTGTGTATATCAATCCTATTTCTGTCCTATTTTGCTGTCAAAGAAAACCTCAATATCGTTGAATCACTATTATTATTACCATACATTTGATGCTCTATGGCAGTTGCCTAAATTCCAAAATCATAGCCGCACTGGTCATGCTCAGCATAAATTTGATCACTTGTGCATTCAGCACAAAAAGTTAGCTAATGTGATAGCTCAAATGCTTTCCTGTGGCTTTTTTCCTGGAATTTGTCTGTTGAAATTTCTCCATGTCATCTTTTTGAAGGAAATTTTTGGCAATCAATATCAGCATTTTCATTTAATATTAATCTCACTTGAAATCAATTTCATGACACAGGGTTTTTTTTCAGTGTGATTCGAAAAAACATCGTTGTGCTATAATTGGTGCATGTTACATGCGATCTAAGATAGGGCCAGAATGTGGCAGCAGATACTTGGTATCTTAATTAAAAATGAATATAATGTTGATTTAGCTTTAGAAGGGACAAGGATAGATTATTGATGCTGGTGTTTGCTGCGGCAGGTCGCGTGGTGAGCCTCGCCTGGCATGAGGACGGTAACTACATTGCTGCAGCGTGCGGCAATGCTGTCTACATCCGCTCCTTGCAGCCCAAGAAGGTTGGTTGTCACGCTCATATGGCGGATTGAAGTGCTTATAGAGCTCTCACTCTACTGATAAACCCTGCATGACACCCTCACTCTACTGGCGCATTAGCCATCATCAGTGATATTTGTACCCTAAACACCTGGTAACATCACTTTTATACAAACATTTTACGTACAATAATGTATCGTCATATAACAGCTGTGCAGGATAGCACTTAGTAACATCAGTTTTATACTAAACATTTTACGTACACTAACATATCCTCATATAACAGCTGCACTCAATAACTCTTGGTAACTTAACTTCTATGCTTAACATTTTTTGTACAATAACGTATCCTTGTATAACAGCTGCGCAGGATAACACTTGGTAACATCACTTCTATACTAAACATTTTACGTACAATAACGTATCGTCATATAACAGCTGCGCATGATAGCACTTGGTAACATCACTTTTATACTAAACATTTTACGTACAATAACGTATCGTCATATAACAGCTGCGCATGATAGCACTTGGTAACATCACTTTTATACTAAACATTTTACGTACAATAACGTATCGTTGTATAACAGCTGTGCAGGATAACACTTGGTAACATAACTTCTATACTAAACATTTTACATACACTAACATATCCTTGTATAACAGTTGCGCAGGATCATTGTGCTGCCAGACACGCAGGTGGTGCCAGCGCAGGTGTGGTGCGTCACTGTCCTGCCAGACCTCACCATCGTCGCCGGCGACTCTACGTGAGTGCAACGTGATGACATTGAATTCAATTTTAACATTCAGTGCAGCATTTTCTTGGTCATTTGTTTCCATTATTTATCTTTGTGGAATTTATCGTATCCAAAGAAAGGCGTGCGTTTCATAGCGAAAGCTTGGTTTTCTGATTGCTACCCTCGGCATGTATTTACTTGTTAAATGCAAATGTTGTTAATACAAGCGTGAACTGCTTCACCAACTGCATGTTAGGCCGAATTCAAATGCTGTTAAGGAATCCATTTGAGAACGTCAGCCTGCAACGCAGCGCACGGTACTTGATTAGAACTTCCCATGCTGAAGCAGCGGTCGTGATGATCTAAAAACTAGAGATCGTATCTCATGACCAAAATTAATTAAATCACGAGGTTCCATCGATGGGATTCTATATATTCCCTGCACTACTCAGTGCAACACTTTGCCAATCGTCCTCACTTTGAGGTATAATTGACATTGACTCGATACTAAATCTTTAGCTCCTATGAATACTCTTTTACTCTAACTTATAAATTCTCTTGATATACCCAAGCTGAATTAGTTCCATATGGCTGTGTTCTTGCTTTAACTCTTTTCTTGCAGATGTATTAACGGTCGTATTGAAAGGTCAAGGAGTAAGGCAGCCTAATGTGTTGGTGCAGGAAAGAGGTTTAAGCAGCCTTATTTATTGGTGCATTACAAAATATATAGCGGTTTCAGCGCTTATTAGGCCGGAGGCCTGTCGCCAATTCTTAACATCGCAGAACATACGCAGCTTGTTGTGGGCTTGAACTCGCAACAAATTGTTAGGCAGACCAATTTGTTGGTTCAGGACAGTGTCATGCCGCCCATATTTGTGCAGTTTTAATTATCTTGTATGATTTTGTTGTTCAGGGGCGCGGTGAGCTTCTGGTGCGGGCGGACGTGCACGCAGATCAGTAGCGTGCGCTCCCACGAGGGCCCCGTGCTCGCCTTGGCCGTCAACCCTGCCTCCACCATCGTCTACGCTGCAGGTCAGCCTCCCTTTGTCCTGACCTGCAGGTCAGCCTCTCTTTGTCCTGGTGCAGGTCAGCCTCCCTTTGTCCTGACCTGCAGGTCAGCCTCTCTTTGTCCTGACCTGCAGGTCAGCCTCTCTTTGTCCTGGTGCAGGTCAGCCTCCCTTTGTCCTGACCTGCAGGTCAGCCTCTCTTTGTCCTGGTGCAGGTCACCCTCTCTTTGTCCTGACGCAGGTCAGCCTCTCTTTGTCCTGACGCAGGTCAGCCTCCCTTTGTCCTGACGCAGGTCAGCCTCTCTTTGTCCTGACGCAGGTCAGCCTCTCTTTGTCCTGACGCAGGTCAGCCTCCCTTTGTCCTGGTGCAGGTCAGCCTCTCTTTGTCCTGACGCAGGTCACCCTCCCTTTGTCCTGGTGCAGGTCAGCCTCTCTTTGTCCTGACGCAGGTCAGCCTCTCTTTGTCCTGACGCAGGTCAGCCTCCCTTTGTCCTGGCGCAGGTCAGCCTCTCTTTGTCCTGACGCAGGCCAGCCTCTCTTTGTCCTGACGCAGGCCAGCCTCTCTTTGTCTCGACCTTCCAGGCAAATGACGGTCAATCGACGTAAATTCAGCGTTTAATTGACGTAAATTCAACGTGTAAAGGCTTCGTCTGCGTTGATGTAACACCATGTGCATAGTAAATTCTGTCCTCTGATGCCCTCGTAGCTCTGGAGCAATGTTTTTTGTGTATGCACAGTAATCGGATACGATAAAGACTGCTGGGTTAAGTAAATTAATTTAGAATTAGAGTATATATATTTTTGTTATGGCATACATCATTACTTGAAACGCTCACACTGTTAACGATGGATTAGAATTTTTGAACTATCAGGATAACGATACCGCTTCATTTACCTCCACTCCCTCGTTTGACACAATTAACTCTCCCGATGCACGTGATCAAGTTAGCTTCATTTGTTCTCAAATCAAGCATTGAAAATGATTGGTGTAACTTCATGCTGATCGTTCTCTCCCCAGCAACTTTTTAACTTCCAGCCAGCAAATAGTAGCGCTTGTGTTTCAGGAACCAATCTAATAATTTATAGCTAAAGAAAAGCTTTTCTCTATAGGTACTCTATAGCTTTCATCGAGTCCCTTTTAGCTGCACTCCGTACGTCGTATGTGTTTTATCAATTGTATTTCAGAGGCAGTGCATACCAGTTAGTCTATAGCAAGACACTTAAACTTATTCTCTGTGCAATTAGTTTCATTTTTTCCTCTTTTCTTGGGGGTATTTTACACTGAGATTATTTTACAAGCTTTTTTATTAGGTTTCACGTCTGACCTTCTATGGAACGTCTCGATGTTTATGCAGTTGCTCAGAAACATTGTGATTTCTCACAGCATTTTTCCCTCTTTTTGCTAGATAGAGGCCAGTAGCACTTCTTCCATTGAAGATTTTTCCTTCCTTTTCCTTCGTTTTTGCCTCCACCTTATCCTTCTTACTTCCGTCCTGCCACATCCTGCGTGGGCGCCGGCACACTCAACAGCAACTATCCTGCCAACAAACAACAACAAAATAGCCAACTACCTTCCAACAAACCGCAACCGCTTTGCCATCAAGTTCATCACGTGTAAAAATGACTAAACTTCTCTCCCTCAATACAAGCCTTTGACCCAATTCAAACCGCACAGGTCTCATGCCATTGACCTACTTCTCGCCATGCAGGTCACACTGACCCACTTCTCGCCATGCAGGTCACATTGACCCACTTCTCGCCATGCAGGTCCCGTTGTGACCCACTTCTCATCCTGTAGGTCCCATTGACCCACTTCTCGCCATGCAGGTCCCATTGACCCACTTCTCGCCATTCAGGTCACTTTGACCTACTTCTCGCCATGCAGGTCACACTGACCTACTTCTCGCCATGCAGGTCCCACTGACCCACTTCTCGCCATGCAGGTCACATTGACCCACTTCTCACCATGCAGGTCACATTGACCCACTTCTCGCCATGCAGGTCACATTGACCCACTTCTCGTCATGCAGGTCCCACTGACCCACTTCTCACCATGCAGGTCCCACTGACCCACTTCTCACCATGCAGGTCCCACTGACCCACTTCTCATCCTGCAGGTGTGGACCCCAAGATCCAGAGCTACGCGTACAAGAGCAGCGCGCAGCAATGGCACGCCTCCCACCTGCTCGAGAACCACACGCACGACGTCGCTTCTCTCGTCGTCGGCCCCAACGGCCGCATCTACTCCGGCGGTGCGTAGAATTCACTTCACTTGTAGCTATTTTATAAATTCGATTTCTATCTTAAAATCATCTAGTTATTACTTATGTCATGTAATCAATGCCAAGATGTACTTTTTTCGAAAGATTGGCAGTTCGCAAGCCAAATTCGTCATATACCTGAATTTTATTCATAGTAAACTGTTTACACGATCAATACATTGGTTATTGTATTCAGCAAATGTTAATCTGCATTAAGAAATCTTATGGCGTCGTGTGATGCGGACTTCTCCGCTAGCTAATTTATAGACCTCCTCACAGTGTCTATTCATTACTTGGTACAACAACAATGATTATACGGAATGAGGAGACACTGTAAGACACAACAATGGTTATACGGAGCGGTCAGATACTTCTGTCACTCCCAAAATAGCATAGGATCTACGCAGTTGATTGCATTGATGTTCAGTATATGAATAACTCTGCGAACACATCCTCGTATTGGCATTGGTGAGCGGCTACAGAGACTACATTATACTACGGTCGCACCGGCTTCTTTTAGATAATTCTATTAAAGATCCTATTTTTTGATTTACTTGAACATGCCGATGTTGAGTGAACACTTGGTTCGTACGCGTCTCACGTAAGCTGCTATATCAACTTCTGCCTCCCCCTCTCTCTTCATCGCCACGACCTGTGCTGCTGTTTACTAACCCCCTTCTCCCCTACAGGAGTGGACACGCAGCTGGGGGTGTCATGGTACCCTCCCAAGACGGTGTTCCAGCTCAGCAGCCGCCCTCCCGACGACCACGTCAGCGTCGCCGGCGACTCCGTCCTGCTGGTGTCGCCGGGCGAGGGCGTCAATTGGTGGCGCCTGGGCGCCGCCTCACCCACCAACACAACGGGCGTGCAGCCCCTCAAACAGGTTCTTCTTTTGAATTGATTAATTCCCTTCTCAAGTGTCTGTATTGTTAGGGTTGCGGCCGCCTGTTAAACAATACTTTTATTTATCTTTATTTGCTTCTCATGATTTATTCACACTTGCCAAGCTCCACTTTCCCGAGTTTACAATTGCATGTAGTTAGGTTCTTAGTTGTCTTGTCAGCTTATGTAGCCCTGTTGACTAGGTTAATGTACTAATTTTTACTAGTGCCTGCCAAGGTTCCTTTATCTATTATTATTATTATATATTTTTTAATTTTTCTGTTAATTGTTCTCGCGCTCTGTGTGATGAAGAACAATCTCCTCCTGCCATGCGCTCCCTCTCCCCTCAGTCCCACGTTCTCACTGCTACACGCAGTAGCGGAGCAGGAAACTAACGTTCAACTATCCACCCAAGTGAAAAATTTTCAGCGCCGATTTCTTACGTACTATCTCGAAATTATGGTATTTTTAATGAGAGAATAGGAGTGGCCCGTTATCTGTAACTCGCATGTTTCAGGACCGCGTGTTGGTGGCGCGCATCGAGACGCGTGGCGACGCTGTGAGCTGCGCTCTCAGCCCCACAGCGACCTGCGCCGCCTGCATCACCAGCGCCCACCGTGTCGCCGTCTGGCGCCTCATAGCGCCGCAGGTGAAGCACTTAAATTACCCTTTTAATCATCCTACAATTACTCTATTAATAATCTTTAAAACGCCCTTAAATCACACTATAATACAACAATAAAAACACCTCCAAATTCCCTCTAAAATACTCTGAAAAGCAGCAGTGTTGTGTGATGTAGTGAGCAGTGTTGGGTGATGTAGTGAGCAGTGTTGGGTGATGTAGTGAGCAGTGTTGGGTGATGTAGTGAGCAGTGAGTGATGTAGTGAGCAATGTTGGTGATGCAGTGAGCAGTGTTGTGTGATGTAGTGAGCAGTGTTGGGTGATGCAGTGAGCAGTGTTGGGTGATGTAGTGAGCAGTACGCATAATATCCATGTATGGTGTCACCGTGCAGGGCGCACAGCAAGCGTCGCTGCAGCGGCTGCGCGTGGAGACAAAGGGCGCCGCCCCCGCGGTGCTGAAGGTGGCATGGCTGGGGGACACGGCGCTGGCGACCGTTGCACTCGACGACTCTGTACAGGCGAGTGCTGGACACGCGTTCTTGTAAACCTCTGTACTTTGTACGACTGATGCGACCTTAAGTGTTGTATTAGGATATAACTTTCAAGATGTAAATATGACATCGTATATATCTGCTTCAGATTTGGGACGTGACAGAAGCGGCCGTGAACCTGCGCTGCTGCGTGCGTCTGCCACGCCACGCGACGTCGCAGCGCGAGGGTGACGAGGGCTGCGAAGGCAGCGTGCTGCACCTCAGCGCTGCGGACGACGGCAATTGGCTGGCCCTGGCCACCGTCCACCGCTGTTTCGTCCTCCACGTCCAGTCGGTCTGTCCATCAACGCCTATATATGCACACTAATCTTCTTCAATGCTATTAACATTTGGCTGACTGGTAACTCACCGTCTGAAGACGAAGGTTTAACATTATGTCAACAAGTGCATTAAGCCGGCAACGATTCGAGCTTCTAAGAGCCTGGTCACTGGAGTTACTGTCAGTAGACAACGCTTTATTTTGTTGATACATCTTCTCTCATGTCGAGAGTCCTTCAACTTCATGATGCTGCTTTTCATTGGTCAACGCACAAACGAGTTTATCATGCTCTGCATTATTTTCGTGTTGTTAAAATCGTATGAGTAGCTCCAAGTTTCATTCAAATTGGCGTATATCTTACATATTGTTCAAGTCGAGTTTATATCGTACTAATTTATCTCCATCTCAACAGGGCTCCATCACTGAGATGCCGCCACACCGCGCGGCAATTTCCTCGATATGTGTGGCGACAGAGGCGCCCGCGAAGCACCGCCGCGCGGCGAGCGGTCGTGTGGTGGTCGCGTACGCAGATTTGTCGCTCGCGGAGTACAACCTCCACGACGGGACCATCACTACCTTCGGGGAGAAGCTGTCCTCCGTCCTGACCAACATACAGAGCGATTTGCCTGTGACTAACATAAGCTGGTGCCCAGCTCGAGAAATGTTATGCCTCGGCGATTGCTCTAAAATTATTTTCATTAATCGGAAGGTGTTATTGGAGTATGATTGGAGTTCCCTACAACTTTCAAATATGCCTGGATATCAGGAATATCATGAGCTTAAAAGTAGATTAGAGAAAAATGTGAACCTCTCGGCCAGTGATTACAGGAAGCAGGAGGTCATGCTGGAGCGAAGATTAGAAAAGCTAGAAATTATTCAGGATGAAATGAGATTGCAGACGTGGCAGAACTTGACGTCAACGATCACTCGTCCTGACGACGTGTTACTGGCTGCTAAGCTCGTGTCGTCCCACCAGCTGGTCGCGGTGCAGCTCAAGAAAGATGAGTTTCTCGAGCACCTGCCCGGGCCGCTTAGAAAGTATAAGCAATCATTCTTGTAACGGATGGAACCATTCTCTTCAGAGTGACGTATTGAAGCACGTTTTGTCACTCGAAGGGTGCCTGTGCTGGTGCCGAAGAATAAACTGTTCTAACCGGATAAACAAATTTATTCTTTCCTAACAAAATTTGGAAATGCTTACGTCTTGATCGTTCAGTTAGACTCGTTTTAAAATTAATTTTATGAACTAATATGTAGAACTGTGGGTTGAATATTACATTCAAATTATTAACTTGACCCAGGCAAATTTGCTTATGACTGCCCATTGCTCTTACCTGGAGCGTGAGCATCTCTTCTCTGAATCTGATGATATCTTGTCAATGATCCTCGTCCTCGCAGGGGGCCAGACTTGTGGTCCGGCTTGGGGGAATGCACATCCCCCCGATCCCTAGTGCACCCACAGCCCGGTTCTTACGATGAATTTATCCCTACAGTTATGGTATCGACCGTTTTTCTATTGATGGTAGTCATAGTTGCATTATTTATTATTCACGTGAATGGTTAAATTAATTTTGCAATTTTTTTTACGCAGGGCTAAAGGCCCACCAGAGTTCTTCGTGTCAAGCTTGGAAAGTTACATACATTTAATGAATCGTAAACTAAACTTATTAGGTCATCAACGATATTAATAAGTTAGTTATTTACTCGTACATTTTTAGTTTCAGAATTTCAGAGCATACACGCATTCAGTGCTGTGTTATGCTCAGAATTGTTCGTGAAGAATCAATTGCTAGAGCTTGTTGTAGAATTTGATTCGTAATTTTTACAATTAAATCGCTACTTTTTTACAAGACTTCTCTTTAACTTCACTTCTTGTTTGTCTGTCTGTCTGTCTGTCTGCTAAAAATCTTATAATCGATATTTAACACACTTCTACATGTCCAATCGATCTGAAATTTTGCACACTTGCGTAAAGTTGAAGACAATGCATGAATCAATTTACAGAATAAATAATTTTATAAATTATAATTTTTTTTCATTATTAAAAAAAATTAAAAAATAATTTCGTCTGCTACAAATCTTATAATCCATATATGACACAATTTGACCTGTCCAATTGATCTGAAATTTTGCACAATTGCATAAAGTCAGAGACAATGCATGAATCAATTGACAGAATAAATAATTGTGAAAATTTACAAATTTTTGATATCTTAAAAAAAATTTGAAAAATAATTTTCCTTTTAAATATTTAAAAATAAAATTAGAAATTCATTATACATGTGTAACATCCAAGACACTGGATTGTTCAGAAGTGTTGTCTTTAAAAAGTAATTTTTATACGCATATTATTTATCCTTTACTCTCGCATTATGAGAAGGCACTATTGTGATAGATATCATATTAATTGAAAACAAAAATGAATGTGAGAATTCAATTATTTATTACAATCGTTGTTCCTATATTTCGTAATTCAGCTTTTTTAACCTTTATTTTGCAGAGGCCAATTTGAATTGACAATTTATTTATCTCTAGCGATCAGTTCAGATTAACCCCCCTAAAATGGCGATGATCCACAGATCGCTCCTGGCTTGGTTTTTGGTGCTAGTATTCCTAATATTCGTAGGTCTGCGCATCGATGGCCGCACTCACTGGAATTTCTTCCTCGTCTTCGTGCCCATGTGGCTCTACGACCTCTTCTTGGTCGCCTTCATCGTCTTGAAGAGCATCGGTGACTGCCGCTATGCCGACTTGGGTTCCTACTCCATCAAGAGGATCGTGTCCATGATAATATTCCGCCTCTACCTGCTGACTATGACGCTTCTCAAGACAGCCTTCTGCGTCATGTTGTGTGTGAACCTCAACAGCCCTGCATCCCCGCCTATTAGTTGGTATGGCGTCTTCACTCCGCTCATAATTCTACTAGTTGCTCTCTCTTTTAACGTTATCCATGAGCTCGTTAATTTCAGCTTCGGGCTAAACAGCGATTGAACCTCGAGAGACACGAAGTGAGATGTCGCTTACTGTGGACTCGGCTATGACGTTCGTCGTCGTTAGAGTATAATCAAGTTGCGAGTCGCTTGCGACTGAGCAAGATACCGGCTTAACGTCTGCACGGTCACATGAGACGTTGTTGTAATCGGCAATCTTCGGCGACTTTGCTCTTCCACAAAACGTATCTTACGAATCGAAATCCTCACTCCTTCGGGTAATGTCGGGAATAGTCTCTTGTTATTGTTGAATTTATTGACAGAAAGTTCGCATTACGAGACCTGCATTCATCGGAACAGGTTTTAAGAACGAATGCTGTCAACACTCACATGGGCAGTCTGAAGCGTACATTCTCACAGTAGAATCAGTTCATCAACGGACTGAACGTGAACATGCATGCGACCTGTCCTGCATGAACCTGCATCTCCCCTGCTCTCCAATATACAGTGTTGTTAAATAAGCATAGACAAGAATACTTCACACAACTTCAGCCGCAAAGAAATGCGTTTGCCCTCGCTGACGAATTTTTGTTTACATTTCCATCCCAAACATTACGTGCGACTCTCGCATTATCTGTCGAGAATTAAACCTGCTCTAAGTAAAAAATTGAACTCGTTCAGCGATGAAGTGTTCATTTTGCTCGCCAGTGTTGGTCTATGCCAGGAGCTACCGCTTCAAACTGTTATCCTATGCTAGGAGCTACGTCAGGAAGTCATTGTTCCTGCCGGGCCAATGAAGATGGTACTTTACATTAGATTGTTCATGCCATGAGCGAAGACGTTATCGCTCCTTCATATCAGTGTATATGATGCCATATCACATGTGCTATTGCCGCTCCGTATCTGTTTACGCAACTTGCCTGGAGACCTAAATGCCACTGGAAGTTTGTCTTTGTGGCAAGACTCGGCATCTAAGTAAGCAACGGAGGTTGATCAAGAAAACTTTCACTGTGGCGATGTTCCAAGTAAACTATCTTCCAGTTCAGAGTTTAATTTACCCTGTAATGTCAGAATAACTATTCACTGTAGCTGACTAAAATCTGAATGAACAAATGTAGTGAATAACCCTCAGTCGGTTGAATCAAAGACAACCGAAAGGATATTTCATGCTATTTATCCAAAGTCTAACTCTTCATTCTAATAACTACCCGTTCGCGTTTTTTATTCGTAAGAGGTGAATAAACAGGCAAATTTTTTCCACTGTTTATTCGATTATAATTTATGGGAATGGTTTGCCATTGAAAAGATGAAACAAGTAATGACGCTTTCATAGCACTGTACAACCCTACATCCTCCCTAAGGTTTCTTTGTTGGGCGGCAAGACGAGCAGCGGGAGGAATGAGTCGTGAGGCATCCCTCCATCGACTCATCCCGTCATTATTGCATGCAAACATCCAAACTAAGAAAGATAGCGAATCCCTGTACACGCTAATAAATAACTTTCACGGGGTTGGAAGATTAAATAAGTTTTTATTCTTTTTATAAAGTGAAATACTCATTGAGACACGGAGCACGAGAGATAATGTCTCGTTTATTCGCCGCCCATACCGCCGATCTTGGCACCGAACAAGAGGATCTGAATCTCGTCGTACATGACCAGCACCAGAGCGCCGCCTGCAAGAAAAGTTCCTTGCAATTATACTTGCCGGGAAAGATCCAACAATAAGCCGAATGAAAATAAAGTTGCAATCAACTGCAAGGACTTGTCACACCCTAAAGAACATGGAGATGAAAGAGACTTGATCACTGAATTTACAGGCTCTAACAAATAATCACATTATTGGTTGCTGAACCTCCTGATTCGATACTTCGAAAGCCTAATGTACTCTAGCATGAAGTAGTATTCATATAAATTTTAAACCCGCAAAACACATCAGCCTAAGTATAGATCGCTTAAGCTTCAATCTCATATAAGCTAAAGTTCTGTATGTACTCCTAAAGCTTGAACACCTGGATGGACAAGCAGTCGTGAGGACAAGTTCTTCTGGCACGAATGAAAGCACAAAATAATAATGTGCTGCAACATCCGTGCCGCAGAATTATTTGTTCTTATCTGTTGAATTTTATATAAAAATTTACCATGCAAGAGAAATCAAGATGTTTACATAATAGGATTATTTTTTTTAGTAAAACGCCAGGAACTGGACGAAATGACTAATAAATATTTTCTTTGGAGAGTCGACCAAAATTCATTGAAGCATCCGCATTACAATTTTGAGTCAACAATACGAGCCTGTAACTATCAGCTTACCTGTGCCACGAAGGATGTTCGAGAAGGCTCCCTTGAAGAAGGCAGATGCGCCCTCCTGGCTCGCAACTTTCCTCCAGCAGTCGACGGTGCTCTTGTACATGATGTCGCCACCCTTACGGCCAGACTGCATCATCATGCGTCGCCTGTAAAACAACCATTACAGTCACGCGAGGCTCCTGGGAACGAGACCGTCGTGACCTAACATCTTGACAAGCATGGTTTGACTTAATTCGCATGAACAGTTGCCTTGGGTCCTCATTTTCAACCCATTTGCGCCAATGCCCGTTTCTATACAAACGATCTTCCTTTTTGAGCCAAGTATCAACTTGTCATTTATTTCAGTTCGATATCCTGAATATTTATATATATGGTTTCTATTTCTTGAACCAAAATAAATCAGAGAAACGACAACAAAACCTTGAATTATTAGAAAAACTACAACTCGGCTCTCGATGGCATCGGTGAATCGCCTGAAGCAAAACCAACAGCACATTCATAATTTGACGTTGCCCGATTCACAAGATATAATTCTGGAGTGTGATGCAAGAATTTAGACATCTTACTGAAAATAAGATTCTAAGCGTCTCCCAAATTAATCCCTTTACAGTAGACAACGTAATCTAGCAATAATGGTTCCCTGTTATTCAAATAAAGTAAAGCAATAACTGAAGTATCGGAGCGATAATATAAGTGAATATCTCTCACCTGACAGTGTCGAAGGGATAACTGATGATGCCGGACACGGTTGTGACGCACTGAGCAATCGCCCAGGAGATCAGGATGTTGGTCTTGCCAGTCATGCCCTTAGCGGTATCGTAGAGACCGAAGAAGGCAGCGCGGTAGATGATGATGCCCTGCACGGACACGAAGAAGCCACGGTACAGGCCACCCAAGCCATCGGCCTTGAAGATCTTCACCAAGCAGTCGCCAAGACCCTTGAATTCACGGGCTTCGGGTCCCTTACCGACATCAGCGGCCAGCCTATCGGGAGGAAAGGTTCCGTCATTACAGTCGGACGGCAGGTTTTTTCTCTGCACTTGTACTTCCCATGTAACTACTCTGCCTCACAACAAAGAGTAGCAACCAAAGAGAGCTGCGGCAGAACGAACAGGCATCTTGATGCCAGAACTCAGCGCAGCAGCAGGAACATTGCACTGCAGCACGTAGTGACAATTGAAACTACAATGAACGTTAACTGAATGATGAAAATTCAATTTAATTAAACCGTAGGTAAACCGAATTTAAACTTTTTAATTAAACAGTAAGGGCTCTGTTTATTCCTAACATAACCTAAGCGTTTTTCTACCAACCAGTACCAGGCAGTTACAACTGCTCCGAGAATTACTCGAGAAATGTATTCACACCAACTCCAGAGCAGGTTAGAGTTACGCATTCTAACTTGATATAGGACTTCAAGAAAAGTAGCTAAAAAGCATCCAAGTAATCGATTAGCGAGAGTATTTTACACAAAAACCACTGACTATTGACGCTAGGTGACTTCATACTTTGCGTGTAGATAGAAAAGTCAGAGGGGAATCAAGAAATAGCATTGAAATTTGAAATATTTTCATAATGCGATTATTAGAGGAACACGTGGCACAATTATCATTAATGATTGACAGGAGAGGCAAAAAGAGGATGAGACTGAGAAGCGAGCAAAACAGCTACACTAAAAATTATACGAGCATCTTATTCAACAACAATTAAAAATGTCGCACGGCGCAAAAACCGCTTAGGAAATAAACGCAATAGAAAATTAATAACATTGCAAGAGACAAGATACCACGCAGCCAGTTAGAAAATAGAGGGCAATAACGGCTGTCACACACCATTCCGCAACAGTCGGTCGCACAACACAGCGTTTTTATGCATGCATATTCTCAGGAACTACTTAAATCAAACTTTTATTCAGGACCATTTCAAGGCTAAAATCACAAATTAACCAAATTCACAGGTGCCGAGTGTGTTGGCCACTATATACCTTGTTCGGGCGAAGTCAAGAGGGTAGACGAAGCAGAGCGAAGTGGCACCAGCAGCACCACCAGACGCCAAGTTGCCAGCGAAGAATCTCCAGAACTGCTTGTTCTTGTCAACGCCACCCAAGAAGATCTGGCAAGAAAAATCATCAGAATCACAATAGGAAGGTTTACAAAAATAACCATCTAAAACAAATCAAAAACATTCTATGGCTGTTTCTATATACAAAAATATTCCGAGGTCAGCAAGTAGAGTAATTAACAAGAAACAGGCGACACAATGACTAGTTAACCAAGAGCAATGCTTTCATCATCCAGGGCTTCAACGTGGAATCAAAGTCGATTAAATATCACTTCGGTGAAATCAATTAGTAATATACTTGCCTGGTGGAGCAGGACTAATCAGTCGTATAAATTAGTTTTATAATGATTAAAAAGTATTCATTATACTCAAAATTCAACAAATTCTGTGCAGGTAAACTTTTGATCGCAGTCAAGTGTAAAGCATGCATTTTAATGGACTCAACCATCGACGTTAGTCCCAAGAGGCAATTCGCGACTCTAGGAAGGAGTGTCAGTCAATGAACATTACAGAAAAATCTCAACCTATGTATATCATGGACGATTTAGAGCAAAATTTATCTGCATTAGTAACTGCAATAATAGCGCACCTGCTTGTACCTGAAGCCATACAAGCAGACTACCTGCATTAGTAACTGCAATAATAGCGCATCTGCTTATACCTGTAGCCATAAGAGCAGACTGTACCTGCATTAGTAACTGCAATAATAGCGCACCTGCTTGTACCTGTAGCCATAAGAGCAGACTGTACCTGCATTAGTAACTGCAATAATAGCGCACCTGCTTGTACCTGTAGCCATAAGAGTAGACTGTACCTGCATTAGTAACTGCAATAATAGCGCATCTGCTTGTACCTGTAGCCATAAGAGCAGACTGTACCTGCATTAGTGAGAGTGACTATAATAATATCTCACCTGCTTGTACTTGTCCTTGAAGGCAAAGTTGAGGGCCTGTGTGGGGAAGTAACGGATGACGTTGGCCAAGTTGCCACGCCAGAACGCCAGGAAGCCTTGCTCACGGGGGATGCGAACAAAGCAATCCACCATACCTGCAAAAATAATTCATATATCAAATCCTTCGTATCATTTCACAGTTTCCCTAAGAGCAAGAAATAATGACGAGATGACGTCCGAAAATTCAAAGCTGCCCGTTATTGTTGAGAAACATGAATTGAACTTAAATATACACATTTAGACAACTAGAACTAAATTTCAGTTAACTTGAGCAGCCATTCATGTCTTTCACTGCCAGCTTTAGCTTACTTGCTCATGTGCTCTAAAAATATATTACAGGAATATTAAAAAAAAGGTAATTCTATTCTTACTATAATTATCTCTAATCATGATAGACACTCAGCATTAAAACAGATTGGTTACTGTCATGATGATTTTCTAAAATAGATAAAAATATGCTTTGGAAATTCCTCAACACGTTCTGGGCTTTGCACAGCATGTAGCTATCAATAAAATTGTTATCTGATTAGTGCTGATAACAGTAGAAATAGACAGCCAGAGCAATACCGTATACCAGAATGCCTCAAGCCTTGCTCAACGTGTTGTATTATATACATTCTGCATTGGCAGCCTGCATGAATATTATTTATTCAACAACCAACATTTAGATTTTACAAGTAAATTATGAAATCACATTTCAATCTCCTCCACTGATACCTCAGCCATTTCAGATAATTTCATCTGGTAGTCTAAATTTCTCAATTATTCAAATAAAATATGAATACTTTAAACCTGACAGCATATTTATGATGGTATTCTGATTTTCATCATACTTTGAGGGTGCAAGCAAACTACAGGAAATGACAAAAAGTCAACCATTCCTGCTAACAAAACTTGTCCAGAACAGCAACCATGACTCATTTTCCCCACTTATACATTCTGAAAGGAAGCTATATATATAGAACCCTTTACAATTTTCAGCAGCAATGATTCATCATCCATTTCACTGCAGAATTTGAGATTCATAGTGTAATGGAATTCGTGTATCATTATGTAGTAATTTCCTATTCGCTCATTATTTAATAATCCGATCAGTTCATGGAACTTGCCAAGTTTCGACAAGGTGCCATTACTGGAAGGCATTTTTGCTGTTTTGCCACTCAAACCATTGGTGTATTAATTCAATTTTCATACTTAATGCATCATGTTCCATATCATTCTCTAACAGATTTAAAAGTAAAATTCCATTCAAGCCAAGTCAATTATTACAGTACTACCAAGATGAAGCAACCAGTACCTATCCAAGTTCCCCTCTGCAACACCGTTAGCTGAATGAAGCTCTTCCTGCCATTTTATGGAGAGGAGATACTAGTTAATTTCATTACCATCACCAGCTCTATTTTCCATTTGCATTACTGGTTTGTATTATATAATTACACTCTATATCGTTTGTACAAGTTTACTTTGCCGAGAGTTTGTTCTTTTCGTTTTTGCAGTTATAGGGTTATGAATATTATTCCAATTTCACCATCAATGTTGTTCTTTATGTGCTCACCTGTTGCTAATTTTCTAAAATTCTTAAGCTTTTTAACTGTTATTTATTAATTTGACAACTTTGAATCATGTTGAGGAATATTGTTTATTCTTCAACATGAATGTTTCAAGCTACCTTTAGAAGTTTTAGAACAATTTATTATGATCCAAGCTTGGCATCAAGGTCATTGCCATTGCCCAATGTAGTTTTCCTTAACATTTTACCACGTTTTTCTTAGTTTCGTTTCGTCTCTGTCTGTCATCAAAAATTCAAACCTTAATTCAGAGCACTTCTGATGATCCTAGAAACTTGAAATTTGGCATGCAGGCTTATGCTGCCTAGCAATTCAAGATTTGATCATCAGGAGTAATAATTAAACAATTTTTTTTATTAAAAAACCATAAAAATTCACAGTTGGAAATCAAGTTTTTTTTTGTCTAACATACAGAGTTGCCAACCCTGGAAAATAATTTGAATTGCTAAAATTGCTAAACTAAAAAGTAGAAAAAAATATAAAAAACATTTTTAAAAACCAAGTTTAGCCACGTTTTTCTGGTAGTTACAAAACTAAAAACAATGAAATGAAACAAAAAACTTTTAAAAACTATTTTTTCTTAATGAACAAAAAAGAAATACATTAACTCTTACATAACATTGCATAACATTCTACAAAACTGTAATGTTTTGTGAGAGTATGTTTATCTTTTTCGTCTGTTAAGAAAACGGGGTTTTTAAAAGTTTTATATTTGTTTTATTTATTGACATCTTTCAGCTGTGTAAGAACCTTGTGAGCCATTGTCTGTCATGTGCTCCCTACTCCCTCTCACTAGTTACTAAACATGTGTAAACCACAAGAGTCCCAGAACACTGTATTAAATATTGTTTATCTACTAGCATTTATTGGCTCATCAGTTCTATTTAAAATCATAATAAACCTCAATTTTTAGTTTAACCTTTCACTAACACCATTATTGGACTACTTCAGCTTCCACTGCAAAATTCAAGAGGATTATAAGTCAATGCCCTTGCAGTTAAGACTGCAACAGTGCAGTCATGTTTCTTTGCCCAATCCCACAAAACTACTTGGGCTAGTATTACCAGACTTATCAAAACACCTAATCAAATGCAAATGTTAAGGGGACCAGCTACCCTAAAAATCGAAATTTTTGGCTTTTCCGCTTTTTATGCTCATTTTACAGCTTACTTTCTGCTGCATCGAACGGTACTAGAACCATCTCTGTATTTTGATTTATGCGTTCTTGACAGATTCTGAAAGGGAGGAGGGAGGTGGAGTCCCTCAACAAAACTATGGGAATTAATTCCGGCCTGGCATTATAAATGTGCTCTCAGTGGACCTGCAGCTCAGTTGCCTCCCAGCTATCTTGTGGAAAGGTGTTCATGCAGCCGTTCTATGCATTGCTGACTGACTTTCAAGCAAGATAACGCTTCCCTTCAGTATCTAAGCTACGTTACATGCCTTCACATAGCGCGCATCAGTTTATCGCCTCTACTGAGAAGTTGTGAAACCTGAAAACCTCCCTCAGGGCAAACCTGTCTCCTCTTGGAGTTTTGAAGCTACAGCAATGAGACAAATACCATTCGATTTGAAAAGGAAAGATCTAGCGATGAGCGTAGCATTTTTTTTTCGATTTCATTTTAGTTGGGATTATATATTGCAAAATGGGAGGGCGGGGGATTTCGAAAATTAGAAATTTCAGGAAAATCATCATAACAAGAGAACCAAAAAAAAATGAAAAAATGGCTCACTGAGCGCTAGATATTGTCTTTAGAAATCAAATGATATGCGTCTCGATGTTGTAGCACAATATTTGTAGGAGGAGATTCTATCAATTTCACATTTTCTTTCACTTTTTTCAAAAAATTTATACGAGCAAATTGTTTTTTATCCTACAATTTACATATGTGTATAAAATTTCAGCAAGATCGGATGATAAATGTAGAAATTTTTCTGGAGGGTAGCTGGTCCCCTCAAGTAGTGACTAGTGTCTTAGAGGGTGGGCCATTATTGACACTTTCTTCGAGTGTCACATTTCACTCTTAATCAAAGCATTGCACACAAGATAAACATAGCAATAATAATTCTGTTGTAGTGACAATAATATAAGTTGGCTCTTATCTTGTCAAGTAGCACACTTATCAAACAATTTTTTTGTACCAACAGAACCAGAAATTGGCAAATAAAGTGCACTTCCTTGTATACAACTGAATACAAAATTCAAGGGAGGCCAAACAAGGAGGAATTCTAGCAATGTTGGTTTTAGATATTCATGATCAGATGCTTTTTTTCCAGAAATTTCATTATTAATATCATAAATATTAGATTTTATACTTATTACTCATAACAACTATTATTAAAAACTGCCTCATTCTCTCAATAGCCATCTTCAAACATTGAAGAGTATATAAAACATACGTTTTATTGTATATTACTCATAACAACTATTATCAAAAACTGCCTCATTCTCTGAATAGCCATCTTCAAACATTGAAGAGTATATAAAACATACATTTTATTGTATTTTCCAAATTTTTTTCTGCTTTTAACCATAAGAACATTAATAATAGTTCAATATTTTTCTGACTAAGGATTTGTGCATGCAGGATGTTATTAAATATTAATACAAGTATGAAAGGCAGGTTTGAAAGGTAAAAATGATTGCCAGCCCAAGCTCCATACTAGTTGGGAAAAGTGCTTCTTTTCTTCTGATATATTGCAGCTCTAATATCATACAATTTCAGTAAGTAAGAAATCACACGGCTCTAATGTCATGTATTTTATTTGATTGAAAAAAATCACAGTTTGCACTTTGCAAACATGTCATAGCATAAAATTTTCTACTTCTGCAGTACTTCAGTGCTCCTGCCAAAATATCCTACTAAACATCATGATAGCGAGTTAACCCAAAATGTTTTGTTGAAGATTGCATAGTTGCAGCCATGTCAGAGCAATCAGACTGCATTATCACGTGATCAGTTGCCACTAACATAAAGCCAAATGCAAGTTTTGCTGTTTCTAGAGTAAAACTAGAGATTTAGGGTTGCTGATTCTAGGATAAAATTAGAGATTTGGGGTTACACGTGCAGAGGACTTTGTAAATGAGTTTGTGGCTCGTAAATAACTATGGCCAAGATATGGAATTCATGGAGTTGAGAAATGGAATAATTGCTAGCAAATCCATAAAAATACGGCTCAAAAATTTCAGTTGCGGTTCAGAGAGTAGATATTTTCCTCACTAGGCTCCACTCTCCAGACATGTGCATCCATCCCATTTGGGGAACACATAGGCAAAAAAGAATATACTCAATATTTTTATTTGCTTTTGAAGCACATGACATGCAAATTTTGGTAAAAAAATTACTATACATTGACATTAGAAAATATTTTTTGATACAATATTGGAGATATTCCTTGAGAAACTCCTAGGCCCACAGCACCACTTGTGAGCACTTGAAGATAAAATAAAATGCACTCAAAAATCACTTTTTAAAGATAACACTTCTAAAGAATTCAGTTCTTCAGAAGTGGATTTCTAATTTCTAATTCAACACACAAATTTCTAATTTCATATTCAAATATTAAAAATTGATTTTAAATAATTCTTTTATATAATCTAAATTATCAACATTATTTTTTCTGTCAATTGATTCATTCATGGTCTCCAACTTTACGCAAGTGTTCGGAATTTCAGATTGATTGGACAAGTAGAAGTGTGTTAAATATTGATTATAAGATTTGTAGCAAACAAACAACAAGAAGTGAAGTTAAAGAGAAGTGTTGTAACCAGGGTGAATACCGGTATTTAGAAAAAAAAAATTCCATAAATTTTTCCATGACCTGGTTCTAGCAATCTTTGAATGTTGGCTGAAAAGAGATTAGTTGGCGCAGTAGAACCAAACTTTGCCAGAAGATGTACAAAATGTGTATCAAACTTACATATCCACTTGTATATTTATTTGATCTTACAATTTTATTATGAATCCATTTTTCTCCGCTGATTCCAAATGAAACCACTCAGCATTAATGGGTTAACACATGCAGCACAGAAAACACTTCATTTTTGTTCATTTATTTGCAAATTCCATGACTTCCCATAACCTGAAATAAAATCCCATGACTTTCCAGGCCAGGAAAATAAAAAATCCAATTCCATGACTTTCCAGGTTTTCTACAACTGGTATGCACCCTGTGTAACTAGCCAGTCATATCACTGCTGTTGTCACATGACTCACATCCATTCAAATTTATGCAATACAAAAATTTTATTACCATTAGCTATAATAGCAACTAAATTATCCATTCTATTTCAATATTAGATGACAAATATAAGTTTTCAATATTTCAGACAATGAAAAGGTTTGCTTCTCAAGCCACAATTGAAGCCTTCTCACCATTTTTAGAAGCCTTGAGAATTAGATTTCTTGTAGATATTAAAATCTATTCATTCTATTGAATTGTTAGGGTAAACGTGGTATATTCCAACATCATGGGTAATTCCAACACCTCTCTAGTTTTTCCTTCATATTAAGCTTTTTTTTAGTTCCATGCGTTTGTTGACGGTTGAAATAGTGACGTCATACATTTGCACGTCAAACTACTGCCAAAACACTAGGTTTGGGCCATCTAGCGGGGAAATGTTGAGATCCAAAGAGAGACGGTGCATGCCACCCAATGAGATCATCGAAAAATGTGTCAAAGTTGACAGTTGACCTTGCTCTACCAAATAGTGATAAACTGTGTGTAGAAAGAATATCATGGTTTGAGACTTTTAAATACGTCTGCGAATATATTAGGAATCCTTTAAGTATACTTGTATTTGCTGATTTCAAGTGGTAAATAAATTAATAGATGATTAAGTTGAGAAACAGATTTAGACATAAAAACTAATTCTGACACAACTTGAATTGGACACACACAGCTCGTTCCAAGCTGAGTACAAAAATTAAAATTTTCTTAATTAAAAGCTTAACTGTTAATTAAAAGCCTAATTAAGTAGTGCTCAATATTCAATAGTGTTCTAATTCAAAGCCGTGTCGTATTCCAATACAGCTCACACAGCAATCGGAATTCAAACACGAGGATGTCGGAATAACGTATTAGTACAATTTGAAGCGCGGTCGGAAAACGTCTCACCACATACCGAATATAGTCACACACAGCATAGTGGCAATTGGCAAACCAGAGCTTTTTTGGAATCAGTTCATTTTTAATTTCCTCAAAAACTCAAGATTTAAACCAATTTCTTAAGTATGATAATGCTGGTATCCATGATACTTTACTGGTCTACTTATAGGACTCAAAAATGAACTTGAGGGAGAGTCTAAAAAATTCTCTGCTTTGTCACTATGACACACAGTATTGGAATATAGGGATTTGGTAGGTTTGCATTCTAAAGGCTATTAAATAAATATGGCAACATTTTGTGACGTTTCATTGTTGCTGGCGCGTAGTACGGTGTTTTGAAAGTCACGTAAAGCAAACAGAACTCGAGTAACGCATACGGTTATTTTTTATAGTTTTTCATTTCTCGATGCTTCCTTAATGTGTCGGAATATACCGCGTTTACCCTAATAAAATGTTGACTGAAATGCATAATCAAGATTCAATAATAGGTACTATTTCAAAGTTAGCACTAATTTCACTATGAAGCCATGAAATTTCAGTCTTGAGGATATTTCCATTTTTTATATAGATAAAATCAGAACTTTAATTGTGTTTAAAAAATTATAATCATCATGAAAATAGCTACTTTCTTTCACATCATAGTATGTTTCTTCAGAAATAAACCAGTATAGATAAGATTCAGATAAGAGTTCCTGATAGCGTATCTGATGAGACATGTTAACGTTAAGCCTTCAACTTTTAAGGTCATGCACAACTGAATGCATGCTGGAGCAGCGAAGAAAATTGTCGGATTGAAAGACGATTTTGAAAAAAGGTATACAACAAATACGATTCGGTTACTTTGAAGTATATTTACAGGGCTACCATAATGCGAGGGATTTTATTATAATTGACAATGGAGGGAATTTATTTTCAATTGAACTTCTAAGAATAATCCAAGATGGCGGCCGTAGCCGGCTGATTACAGCTGATCGCAAACCGGCTATCAGAAAGAAATTGGCTCACAAACGGATTTTTGGCGACAAAAATCCTTCAAGAACTAGTCTAAATGATGAAATGATCTCTAAAATTATTTCATACGTGTAGGTAACTTGCGTTAAAAAACACAAATGCATGATAATTTGATAGAAGATACCCCTTCCTTACAGTGTCAACTCGACTTACCCTTGTACTGTTGGTCCTTGGCGATCTGTTTGCTGGTATGTTGGACTTGCAACAACAATTTAACACGCTCAATAGGGGCCACAGCTGTTTTAGAGATGGCAGCGGCAATACCGCCGGCCAAGAAATCCTTGGCGAAGGACACGGGATCGAATGCTTTGGACATCTTGAATGGAGGGAGGAACACGCGTGTACGTCCAACTGATCACTGCGAAGAGAAAGAGGCGAAGGCGCAGTCGCCGGCTACTACGATCTCGTCCGTGGCCCAGCTACCAATCAGGAGGGGGGAAAACCGTGACGTATATTTTAACCAATCATGTGTAAAGTCGTCATCCTTCTAGCCAATGGTAAAAGAATGTTTCTCTGATGTCATTAAATGAAAATATTATGCCACAGACCAGTCTATGCCATTTACTATTTCCAGAGGCGAATGAATTTTAATATTTAATCAAGATTGAAGCAAATAACAGACAGATAAATTACTAGAATCGAGTAGGAAACCATGTATCTGCAGTTAAGTTTTTTATGTCAGCAGACAAGTGATTTGCCGGCGAGATCTGGGTCAAGGAAACTTGATTTATTTGAAGCTCTGGCATATTATAGACAGGTTTCCAAGAAATGCATTTACTAGAATTCTTGAATTTATTTCTTAGAATATATTTCGACGATTTATCATAATGATAGAACCTTAACCTGAAATGTGAAATATGACCTATGTAACATCTGGTGAAGTATTTTTAAGCAAAACAATCCCTTTCGAAATCATTATAGAATGAATCAAATTTGTCTAAATGACTTACAGCATTCGAGGATTCGGTCATATGATGAGCCATTCCGTATCTGTAGCTTCGGGACATTGCCTGGATTTTGTTATGTCTTGAATGTCAAATTTTCCTTTTTCTGCACAAGAGAACTTTCACATTCAGTTGATTTGGGTCTGTATATGTAGCTTTCAACGTGGTATAGGTACTTTAAATCGTTTAAATTGACGGAATAGCAGAAGTTCAAGACTAATATTAGACCATAGCTTGGCAAGACCTTGGCCGGCCTAGAGTTGGCAGCGCGTGTTGGCTTGATAATGCTGAGCAGGGAGCACGAGTTTCAGATTGGGTACTCGAACTCATAATGCGTCCTCACACATCGTCCATTACTAATGTAAATAGGTAGAGTTTCTTCTACGTTAGTCTCTACTGATTGTGCCCAATTCAACTTCGCATTCAGAAGTCTGCATTTTTCCCCTTGTTCGTTTATTGATTTTATTTATACCACAGTTAACGAATGATAATATTAATTTACGCTGGTTTATGCAGATACTGAGATACATTCATGTTTAATCACTCATAACAAATTATAACAGCTACCGGTAGTTTGCACCGAAATGTTAAATCATCGTAACTCTGGCTCATGGCGGTGCCATTAGGCTAAATGTGACGCCATTCTTAAAGACAATCTAATCACAAGGCCCCATCCTATCTCATGAAATTGTTAGCCTGCACATGCGTTAATTTCTATATTAGTTACGGTATGTTATGTGTCAAGGGCGTATACGCATATAGGAAATACAGAGCAACAAGTAATGAGCATATAAAAATACACGTTGCTTTGAACGTGGATTTGAATTTTCGGCGAGTGAATGTGCATTCGATGCGTGAATATGTATTTTTCGTACAATTGATATGAATTACGAACGTGAATGTGTATCGTTTGGACTGTGGATATGTATTGTTTGGACCGTGGATATGCATTGTTTGGACCATGAATATGTATTGTTTGGAAAGTTAATACGTATTGTTTGGACCGTGGATATGTATTTTTTGGATCATGAATACGTATTATTTGGACCGTGAATGCGTATTGTTTGGACCGTGAATACGTATTGTTTGTGCCATGGATACGTATTGTTTGGACCGTGAATATGTATTGTTTGGACCGTGGATATGTATTGTTTGGACCGTGGATATGTATTGTTTGGACCGTGGATATGTATTGTTTGGACCGTGGATATGCATTGTTTGGACCATGGATATGTATTGTTTGGACCGTGGATATGTATTGTTTGCACCGTGAATATGTATTGTTTGGACCGTGAATATCATTATTCAGTAAGTATAGTTATGTATTTTTTATATTATGGCTATGCCTAATTCGCAACATATATAAGCATAGTTCGATAACGTCTATGGGTATTGTTCGAAACGTAGATATAAATTTTTCGTGACGAAATTTTCTGGTAAATTCGTTTAAAAAAATATCCTGTATTATTCGAACAAAACATTACGAAATTCTCACGTTAAATCACTTCGACGATGGCTTCGTTTCACATCACAGAAGATAGATATTGTTCACGATAAAATTGCTTATTTTATCACAGATAAATTTATAATAAATATAAATAAATGAATAAATTCAACAAGCCTTTCTTTGTCACTGCAATTTAAATCAAATTTCCTGGAATTCGATCGTAGTTTTCAGAGAGCAAATGAACGGCGTTTCTGATCGTTTCTAACGGAAAATGCATCTCTCTATACATTATTTACTATATAATCTATTATACATATATCGGCCCAGCATGTGTACAATTACATAGCACAATCACACAGAGATTAGAGTGGGCCATCAAGTTAGCTAAATTCACTTTCACTATTCGATAACTGAATACAAATATATTTTTAGTTCTGAATGCAAGTCGTTCTTGAATGAAATTACAACAACAGACGCACGAATTGTTAATAAATTCAACTCTTGAAGACCAAAGAGTCTTGGGTCTTCAATTGGATGCGGAGATATTCGGAACACGTCGGAGTTTTCTCAACTCAGCACCCCTGACCTGCCCCGTGATGTCGCCAGAGCTGAGGTCTAAAATATAGCCCAGTGGTTAAAGTAATACCAGGATTGGTGCAGAGAGGCGCGGGTTAGATCCCAGCTTTGTGCGCAAGTTTCTGGTCAGAATCGGCGAGAGCAGAATTGTAGCAGTGAGTTGCAAGTTCGAGACCGCAAAATGCTGTGAATATTCTGTGATGCTAAGAATCGGCGACAGGCCTACGGCCTACTAAACGCTGAAACCGCTATAAGTTAGGGCTACCAATATTTTAATATTCATGTCAGGGCTACCAAAATTCTAATATTCATGTCAGGGCCACCAATATTTTAATATTCATGTCAGGGCCACCAATATTTTAATATTCATGTCAGGGCTACCAATATTCCATGTTGGTGCGGCAATACATGTGCGTCACGAGCCCAAGTTTTTCCCAGGTTCATGGTTTCACCAGAAAACTCTTTGGTGTTAGGCCTAAGTGACTTGTTCTTTCGGCTGGTCATGAGATGGAAGGAATTGAGGAATACATTTATTGAGTGTACATCGAATAGTTTGGGCAGGATTTTGGAGAGTTGTCTTCTACTCCGGCAAGTTGCACTTCCTATAACAAAATGTAGGAAACTGTTATTAGGAAAATTTTGACTGTGGTCCGACAATCAACTCGCACTTTTTTCTTTTGTTGAAAAGTTCACATGTATATTGTAATGACATACACTGAACATGTGTCTTCAAGAAGGTTTCCTATCCATGTGAAATATATATGATGCAGTTTTAACCAAATAAATCGTCGCAACGCACAACGAGGTATTGTAGCTGTCAATGTCAACAGTATGCACACTTGCATGCAGCAGCAGATGCTGGACTAGATCGGTGCCTTTATAAATTACAGGAAAATCTTCGTTCCATCACCACATTTTCTTCAACACTGAGGGGATCTATAAACAACGTTTAACACGGATTGAGGGAATGTCTCACTCAAGTAACTTTATTGCGTGATCAAGAAAGCATGAATAAAATTCCCGTCGTCGGCGTAATGGAGTGCATTTGGTGCTAAGCTCGGAAGTGTAGCTGCTGTTTCTGTAGCCTTGAAACGAGCTGCAGATACCGGTGCCGCGTGACGTCACGAGCCGTCACGTGCACCCCCCACATACAACAGCCAATGGCGGTCGCGCGTCGGTGTCGTCCCTGAGTGTCAGAAAAAACTAGTTCTTCATCTCGTTCAGCAGGCCTCTGATTCAAATTCACTTATACTTTTCACTTTTTTATACTTTTTCGGTTTTTTATACAAAATTAATAAATTCAAACGAATCTAGATTAAATCTTGGAGAAGTTCACAGGAAAGAATACGTTCGTAAATGCGTTGTAAATGCACTAAATTTATGTATATAGAATCAAACGAAAATTCAAACAGGTTCTCGAAACTATGAAATACCTTTCTTCAAACATGCAAAAATTACGCTAGTGTACAGCCGATAAAATTAGTTTAAATGCCAATTGAATAATATATAGGAGCTGCTCCTCCAATTCACAGTATAACCTAATAATTTATAGTTTTTAAGAGGATCCTAAATTAATTAAGAGGCATTAGGGTTTACGATCGAAATCATCCGAGACACAAGTGTCTTCAATGTCTTAATTAATTTTTCGATACGATCACATTTTGAGATTCTCACACAATGTTCCATGTCAAACCAATTCCAGATTTTTAAAGAATTTTAACGTTGCTATTAAAATCTCATAGTTGCCCAGAATTACATTCAATGGCACAACTGGGCTTTCATTTTATATTGGCTGAAAGCATCCACTAACGAGCATAGATAAAAATTTATATGGAAACTTTTAAAACAAATAGGTTATGAATGAACATACTATGATAGCGGTGAACTATAGGCGACGATCTTGCTTCCATTTTAGTTATAAATCAATAACAATTACACGAAATATCATTTATAGTAATACAACAATAAATCTAACTAACCGAATAGCTTGGTTCATCAAGTACTATACAGGCATCTAGGGTCAAGCAATAGATGCTGTGGCGCATTTGCAAATAACTGCGCTTAGTAGGCTAATTCTATTGCAGCAAATTCCAGTGAACATGAAAAACGGCTGCTACACCTTAGTTAAACCGTAGCATTTACAGTGCGTTTCATGCAGCTTCAGATGGAGTTAAAACAGAGTACGCGAATTATTAATACGTTTACTTGGCATCGCATGAAATAAAACTTCATTTTGATGTTGCAACTTTGTTTTCATCTATTTAACTTAGTTGTCTGGTAGGATAATGCAGGACTGAGAAACAATCGAACGTTAACATATAGGACACGCAGCAACAAATTAACAAGTTGACTACGTATTGGTACATATGCGTACCACGAAATGTACATATTTCTCCAGGAGGTAGTGGTACATATTTCA